AAGAGGGACGGCGTCGGCGGGGAGGACGGCATCAGCGACGGAGAAGGGGCGGGAGGAGGGAGAGAAGGTAGGGGGCGGGAGGAGGGAGAGAAGGTAGGGGGCGGGAAGAAAGAGAGAAACGGGAGAGGTCGGCTCCGTAGCGAGTCGGAGCGGAGTTTGTAAAATTTCACTGGGGTGGCAAATCCCACGTGTGACAAAAGGGCGGGGGAATTGGCGGGGGGCGGGAGGAGCGCGGGGCGTGAGATCAGACCGGAGGGAACCGAGCGTTGAGCCGAGATGCCGGTGGAATGTTCGGGACTTGGGAATGATCAGGACAACGTGCCTGGCGGCAACGAGAAGCTCCAGAAATAGTATTATACAAAAAAGGGCAGAAGGAGAGGTGTTTCCTGCGGTGTGCGGATATAGTGGCTAAGGTGGCTAATTAGCCGGGACGTAACTAGGGATCACCCGGCTAATAAGGTTTCAATAGTGGGATGTATAGGTGCGCGATTCGCTTTTTCTTGACGTTGGGCCCGAAAGGGATACAGCAGCTGATGCAGTGCCCGTATAGTCGTTCCTAGTTCTGTCCGATATTGTCGCATATACTTATCTTAGTTCGTCTTGATTTGCATCAAGCTATTCTCCACCAATCCCAGCTTCAGTGTCTAAAATGCATACGTCCGAACGAACAGCATCAAAGACTAAATAGCACTCTAAAGGCGCACCCTAACTGGTACTCAACCGCTGATCACCCGAGGTTGCAGATGGCACATCCTCCACGACGTAACATTGCGATCGACCCTTTCCTTGGTTTGTACTGAACTTCAGATGAACATGCCCTTGCATCAATCTCAATTCGGCTTATGACATGCCTTGAAAACATTTTTGACACTGAACGGCCCGGGGATGAAGGCAGGTTTATCTTTCCAACTCATATCAACTCTCACTGAGTCTGACGCCCATATATTGATTCAAATAGTTCTTTTCCGCATAGGTTGACATTGTATTCAGCTTAATTACCGACTTCCATTTACATGCGTGCTTCAATGCCTCAAGCAACTGACCTTGGATACGACACTAGGACAACGTGCCGCAATCGATTTTGGTTTGCCTAGTCTCAAGCCGAAACCAGCTATCAACTCAACATTAGGGTGTGCTTGCCGGGTTAAAGTTCTGTCTCAGCCTTGGCAGAATGCTCTACGAGAACTGAATCGAAAGAACAGAAATCTTCTTTTTAATGCCCATATTAACACATTCAATTTAGACAACAGAGATACCAACCAGCCTTGCAGCTGGTGCAGCCCCTCTTCAAAGCGACACGCCTCACCAACCCTGAACTCAGTGGCAAGTGTATTTGATCGAAGGGTCCGAAACCGGTCCCTCCCGTTATTCCTTTCACTCTTTAGGGCACGCACTGTACATGGCTCTCGGTCTGGTTCCCTACTCTGAAATGGCGCTTGCAAAAACACAGTACGCGCAGATTGTGGGTTATGGCGATGGTGCGTGAGGTCACATGCCAAGGGCTTATTCATTGCATGGCTAAGAGTGGATGGCAGTGGCGTTGTTGACACTCGTCTTGTACGACTATAGTGAGCTACTAGCAGATCTTGCGCCAACAATTGTGCGGTTAATATCATGTGCCCAGTGATCAACATTAGTCTAGAGGTAGGCGATAAGCTATGCTCCCAAAAAAGCTAGAAGTTCAAAGCTTGAACAAAACATTGGATTTTCACCGCGTTAGGTAGAGCTGCTATGGGTTAGTAGTGGCGCTTGATATGATGCCTTGCCTTTGGGGCTTACCACATATAATTCAGACCAACAAACTGTCGCCCGCTGCAGTCGTATACTTTCTGGTACGATCCTCGCGTTGAGTCCGATCACAGTGCTGAAACCCGCCTTAGATGAGATACTGGGGCATGGTATTCTCGCTGTAAGTCTCTGCGCCAATATTGAATTATTCTGTAGGCTGACTTCGAGGAGTCTGCTGGCACGTGAGTTATGGCTCGGTGTTCTCGATTATTTGCAGGAATATGACTAGTATCTGCCATTAATCTGCCATGTTAGTCGATCACCTGCCACTGTTTCTTTCTGAAAAGGTAAGGTGGCCATGAGTATTGCACATATTCTATCTGATTTCGGCCATAGCTGTAAGTTGGACTAGAAGGCTTCGTTAAATTCAAGCTCTAACTCAACTCAAACTTTGACTTGTTCACATAAGATGTAAGTTTATGATGCATTCGAGCATACAACTCCCTCACGGGAGTGCTACCAGGTGATCGATTGAGCTTGATTGTGAATGCGTCAAAGGTGTTGCTCTTATTTCTACTTCAAGGTAGATTTCTTATTTCTAAACTGTTGAAACTGCTACTAGTTTTGTTCATTGTAGGCTTGATGACACGCCGTGTCTCCGTCTTATATCGCCCGTCAAAAGTAATATGCATACTTCTATCCAGTCTCTTTGTTATCGCTCAGGCCACCTCCATCTTGTCCGTGGGCTTAGTCTCGGTCTCAGGTATGTTCGCCAAGTACAACAGAAGTAATTCAGAGAAGTAAAATTTCCACAGGCGCCGCGTACTACCAAACACTAAGTAAAGGCTATTGCTCTACCGCGATTCCGAAGGACGACCAACCTTGGAGGTTGTTCTTAGACGTCCTGTGCCCCATCTTACTGGAATTTGTTCTGCTTGCCTTAACCCTAATTCGATTCGTCACCAATGCCAAGGCCTCTCGTCGACGGCTCCTGAGGTGGTCTGTGGATGATATCCTTCATTTGGTGGTCAGGGACAACATCGTGTATTTCGTGATGTGAGTTCTGCGCGCGCCGCTCAACGATGCATACCGCTCATCCGGACGCTGCTTATCAGTATTTTGGCTTGCTTCTTCATGACCTCGAGATGGGCACTTCCTCATGATGAGGCCAAGCATGTAAGTATCTGTTTCCCGGTCACATGCTCATATGCGCCTGCTCACTGACTTACCAGTATACACTCGGCGCGGCGGCCTACATCGTCGTCTGCAACGCAAGCCAGGTGTTTTCCCTGGTCATGTGCGGTCCCCGTATAATTCTCAACGTGAGGCGGTTTTATGGTAATGAGTTTGAGAGTCATCATTCCTCAGCGAACGTAGATCTTGAACTTCAACTTACTACCATACAGCTGGACAGTGCATTGGCTGAGATCAACAGTACTTGTTAATTTTGCTTGAAAGATTCACGATAAAGTGATATATTTGTGGTAGACTACTCATGCTCAAGATGAATGGAAGAACTCCGCGCTCCTGAGGGGAGCAGGAGCGATTCGTTCCGCGCGTCACATAGAGCGTACCTAATATATCGCCACCCGAGAAAGGCTAAAGAATATTCTACAGGCGTAAAATCTGTTCTGCCGCTCACCTTCCAATAACCTTAGTTCAGTGTTGCAGGAATTTCTCTCAAGCGGAGTTTACGCATGCACTTATGAAACCAAAGGAATGGATTCGTGACAGACATAATTATGACCTTGTGTATTATACGCCCTTATATATTACATGCTGAACCCCATATATCGTCTAAATTCAAGTACTCGTCGCGACGAGAGGCCACTATTTATAATCACCAAACTCCCAGTTATAACAATCCTAGAAGCGAATGTGCTAGTGAGTCATGGCCATATTCCCAACGCAATCGGACGTGATGGAGACGTACCACGCAATCATCATCGTTGTCGAAATCTGGGACTTCCTTAGTCTCATTGTGACCGGTGAGCGTGTTCCAGTCGTCTGCAAGGAGCTTCTCGACGATGACCCTGATCCCATGAGTGCGTATGTCAGCCGCCCAGTTGAGATTTGAAATTGTGTCGTATCTAAATAGGCTGCCGTTAGAGCCAGCCAAGTTGCTGGGAAAACAGCGACCTACCTGCGTATATTACCCATGTGGCAATGCGACTCCATCGCATAGCCCGCGATGCCGCAAACGCTCGAGACACCCGTGCAGGTTCCCATAGCCAGAGGATCAGCAGTGTGAAGGACATGGGTGATGTGATTGTTGTTCGGCTTTAAGAAGTAGGTCAGTACACTGTCCAGCGAGGGGAAGGCTGACTTACTGGTCCTGGCAGGTGTAGTCGTTGTGCGGCCAAGCGTTCGCCAGGTGCTTCGAAAGCAACAACCGGTGAACCGAACGTTGAACCCAAAAGGGAGGCTAGAGAACCTCCGAGCGAGTGTCCGACGAGCCATATATTGGCATTGGGATAGAGGTATGTTACGTTATTGTATAAATCCTGAATTTATAAAGTCAGTAACAGAGACGGAGAAAGGGTACAACACTCACCACACCAACGCTATAGAATAGACTCTCCTTTGCAACGCTAGTCTCCAGACACCTCTGATCACATTTCCCACTACCCCCATAGCATCCGCAAACAGTGCTCCATGTCGGCCCAACGCGGGCGCAGCAGCAGCTGAATAGCATGTTGTCGTTGAGCTTATCTTTGGACACGGTTGGGCCGCCACCACCGAATATCCATCCTGCAGAAGTTCCCTTGATCGAGATTACAACGGTCGCGTTATCCTCGGAAACGAAGATGTGCCCTCTGAATCCATCAGCATCGGGTTCCCAGCCAAATGGTATCGACGGGGGAGCAGTGCCATTGGTCGAGTTGAACGGCGACGGAAGAGGATACCAGTCAGACTCGCTTGGGCTCGTATACGCGTTGGAAGTCATCTTTGCCAACGTGTGGAGGGTGTGGCGTGAGGATGTGTTCGGCGCTGGTATGGAATCCGGTACCCAGAGGTCGATCGGGGTTTGGGCGAGACGTGAGCCGGAACGCGCAGCATAGAAGGCAGCTGGCGATGACGGTCGGTGTGTAAGGATGGTCTCAGTGTCAAGGGTGAAAGTGAGCTCGGGCTCATCTAAACGCCGCGACGATAAGGAGGGTGGTCGAACGTCGGCGAAGAGGATGTGAGAAGAGTTGGCTGATTGGGCGTGAACGTGTCGTAGATTGAACGAGAGCGAGGTCGATTGGGATGGAGTTAGAGTCCTATCTGGAGGAGGTGCTGGGTCGGTCGTGCCGAGTCGGGACGACCACGAAAGTGCTTCGAGCAAGTACCAGAGAGGAAGGCGCATGCGATACGAGCGAGAAAGAACGACGCAGGAGGGTCAGGGAGACAAGGTAGATGATGGAGGTAACTGTTAGAGAAGAGTCACTGGGGTCAAGATGCCCCTCAGACTTCCGCTCCGCCTACCGTCCTCTCCAGATTAGGGAATTCACCCCGCACAATTGAGGCCGCGGTTCAAGTTGACCTGTCATTGGCCTGTCATCTCCGCTTCCGCTCTCTTTCGCGTCAATGCATTGCATGCCATGTTCTCAGCCTTCCCGCTTGGTTTAGAACTTCCACATGAGATTACTACGCTTGCGCAGTTTTGACTCAATTTCTACGGCAACAAAGCTTAGCTTGAATTCTTTGATCGGAATGTCACATGTTCCCACATACAACAAGACATGTTGTCACGCAAGCTGAAGAACTTAACATGTGGTTCAAACTTTGCTCAAGTTTCATCCGTGTCAGCGACACATATTCATCCCCAGATCTGACCATACACCAATCCAGCGGCCTAGCCATGGATGAAGCCGATTGTGTGGGGCACAAGAAAGTGCGAGACTCCTTTCATCAATGCGCCTAGCCTTTCGTAGATCCGTCAAAACCTTCCATGAACCTGGGACTTTGGCAACTTTGGCAACTTTGGCAACAATCCTCAATGGGTGCCTGTCGTTTCCACTTCTGACTGTTACTTCCACTGTTCTCGGTCAAAGAAGCCCCTACAGCCTGAGCCCAGCCAGTTTCACATAAAGCGGAAGGTTCCTTGTGTTCGTTAGCATCCGCCCGCCTTGATGTCCGCTCCCCTGCTAGCTACCCCATCCCTCGACGACACTTACGGGGCAATTCTTATAGGACTTGTAGGCGCGTCTACGTAAGTTACGACTTCCCACGTCAAGCACTCACAGTCTGAACGCTCGATGCAGATTGTTTGGTTTCAGCACTGTGCGGTCTTTTATATATCTTCGAAACCATACCCATGAAGCTCGATTCACACTTTGGAAAGTCGTCGTAAGTACTCAAGCTGTGCGAGTCTTTACAGGGGTGTTGAAATCTGCATCCTATTTCTCTTTGATCTTCTTTCCTCTCGTTGGACAGGTGTGGATGTTATGGTTTGTGACCAGCGCCCTGCAAGTCCCATCGAGTTGTTATCTGATATGCGCAGGTTCATGGATACCTTGCACCTTGCATTCATCGTTCATATGACTTACGTCTATCTCATCACGGACTATGCCGATATACTCTCCTTAGCTTGGGTGGTTTGGAGCTTCAAGGTTCGTAGTCACTCGCGTCCTTTGCCTTCGTCTAGGGCCTGATTGATATCCGTGATCTTCCTTCAGGCACATGTTGTTGTCGCTGTGAGTTTTCGATGCATTGGTTCATTCCAAAAGAGAACTAGAGCTGAGGGCATACTCTAGGTCGCCATGGTTCACTCCATTCACATGTACGTGATGAAATCGAAATCTACTGAAATTAATAGTGAGTCTTCACTTTCGAAGATTGGATTTATCACCTGAATCAAATGCGTCCGTGTATGTTTACCGTCCGATTTTCCAATGGCATTCAGTCTATACATCCATCGTCTACGGATTTGTAAGAGAATTGCTCTACCCCGAAACTAGCCTGGCTTATTGTGGATCCTAGTGAGCAACGGATGTAGCAAGCTTCTGTCAACCGTGGCCGTAAGGGCATCTACTACTTCGCCGTGACATTGCTGCATTTTATCCATCCGTGTTAGGTGGTTGTGATAATCCCTCTAATTACTGGTGAGTATGCGGATACCCTTTTGGAATACACCTGACATGCGTTTCTAGCAACTTCGATAGTACGGTCACAGATTCACCTTACGCACTTAACTGCTAACGACTACTCTGCCTGATAGTGTTAATATGGGCAACGTAAGCTGTCTTCATAATCGAGCTGTCCCTCCTGGTTTTACTGATGTACTTATCTTAGATTCAACTGCAACCTGTGGACTGACCTGACGCATTTGGAGGTAGGGTATTTTTTTTGGCTGCTAATGTGACGTTCGTTAAACAGCAAACCAATGTGAGCAGTGGGCGGTCTATACTACATTTGCTATAACCGCCGTGGTCGACATATTCATTGCCGGTTCCCTATGTTATCTCTTGGCCTCCACACGTACAGGTTTCGCATCGTGCGCATACTACACCTTGTGAATGTCTCTTAATTGCCAATGACTCTTTGTCAGGCCCGACTCCATCGTGTTAAAGATCATGACCTTCGTCTTAGACACGGGTCTTTTGACAAGGTGAGTAACTTCTCGCCCTTATCAGGTTGTTTTCAAATACTTTGCCGCAATATATCACAGTATCTGCTCTCTCACCATTATCATTACGGTACGACGACGACATGATGCCAGTCGATGTCTATGCTTAAAAACCGCTATTCGCAGTGTGCAGCCATGCCTCACAACTTCATTTTCCTCGGCGTTGATCTTGCTGTCATCGAGCGTACGAGTCTCCGTTTCTCTTGCGAGCTGAAGTGTCCGACTAACCCTTATTCGGTGTACATTAACTCGTTCCTAGCAATGATGAACGCTCGATACTATATTGGAGCGGATGGGGTGGCTGGAGCGTCTGCCGATGAGCTGAAGCTCAGTCGTTCCATGTCAGGAATCCCTGGGCTCAATCTGGAAGCGGCGGTAACGGCTCGGGAGCGCTCAGCGAGCGAGTCGGTGCAACCTCTGAGTCTCCAAGGATGTGGCAGAGACTTATCCTTCCCTGGCCCCCGTCCATATCGCTCCGGAACGTAGTGCTAAAAATGGACGGTTTTCCTCATCTACATGTCAAATATGAGTGTTTCCACTCCGGTTACTTTCATGAATCGCCTAGATACTGTTGATCGTGTAACTTATGTATCCGCCACTTTAGCATCGCTAAATCTAGACAATGAAAACGCAATTGTGATTTACTGAATTTTATCATGCCCTGAATATTTGATGGTTTATTGCGGAGCTATCGTGGACAACCGAACATTGCAGCGTACAAAAGCTTCTGACTCGGGAATGGTTGAACAGACTTGGCCGACGAGAGATCTTTTATGCTGCGGCACCCTGTCCCGTTCACTTGTAGTGCGCTTGTTACTGTAATCACAACACAGCTAGTCACTCAATCACATCACACGAGGAAAATGAAAGAAAGACAATAGTTGGTAATTTTATACGGTAACGAAGGAAAGAGTGGGTAATACGTATACGTATACGCTATATTAGGTAGACGCTTTTACAAGCTTGCTCAACGCATAATAAATATGAATGATTTACGTGCACAAAGGTGATTACAAGGCAAGAGAGAGGAAACGGGAACTCTTGACATCTCCTGCTTACTTGGCAAGCTTCAGCCAAAGTAAACAACCCGTCAGTCACCACCGACGGACAGTTTAGTCGAGATCATCAGCAAGCTAAACGATATGGTCAGATCATATGTCATATTAAAACAATGAAAGAGATAACACACAGAGCGCTTGGTCATGTCGAGTGCCTCACGGCGAGTGTTGTTGGGAGGGTGACGACGAGTGTTGTTGGGCGGATGACGGCGGGTATTGTTGGGAGGGTGACGGCGAGTGTTGTTAGGAGGGTGACGGCGAGTGTTATTCGGGGGGTGGCGGCGTGTGTTGTTGGGCGGATGACGACGGGTGTTGTTAGGTGGGTGACGGCGAGTGTTGTTCGGCGGGTGGCGGCGGGTGTTGTTCGGCGGGTGTGGCGAGCGAATAGTCCCAGCACGACGCGTGTTATTCGGTGGGTGGCGACGGGTGTTGTTGGGGGGGTGGCGGCGCGTGTTGTTCGGAGGGTGACGGCGCGTGTTGTTTGGCGGAGAGCGAACAGTACTAGCACGAAGCCAGTCCTTGTTGAGGGGGGACCTCACGGCTATGCCGTCGGGAGAAACATCAAGCTGCATAAAAAATGAGCCATTGCTTGAGGGCCAAGTTTTGATAAGACTTACTCCTCCAGCTGTGTCAGGCTTTGAACAAAGAAAAGCAGAGAATTTCGTCAGATAAGCTCGCCGCTTCGAACATGCTAGATAACTTACCACAGGGGCGGCAAAGGAAGCGGACATTACCGCCGCAACGACGAGCATGGAAACCTTGTTGAACAACATTATAGAGAGATGAGTTTGTTTATAGGCAAATATTAGCAAGCGCAGAGAAGCTGTTTGAGTTTAGACGATGGAAGTGGAGGTGCTGATATTGCTGGAGCCATTCCCAGCTCGCTTTTATATCATCCCAAGTTTTTCTAATCAGTCAAGAGCATAGATGCGCGGCCTTCATGGCCGCACACAACCACTTTGCAGGGGCAAGGGTTTCACGGACACGGTGTTTCAGGATCGTCGCTGATGCACCAGTGCCTTCTTCTCTTGTACCGAGACGTTCTCCGATGCCAAGTCAATGAGGAGTCTTTCATCAGAGCGATGTAAGAGCGCGTCGCCATAAAGCCATGAGCGAAGGCTGTCCGGCGCAAGAACAAGACCCAAGCAGGCGCAGATCAAGCCAGAATAGCAGTGTCAAAAGAACGCCAGTCCCCGAGAAGGCCGGTCTACGTATTCGAGCGCGAAGGCGGGCAAAACGGTTGCTTCGAGTTTGCGATTGTCATGCCAGTGGTACAGCCTGAGGTCGGCGTTGGGTCGGCATACCAGTTTAAGTTGCAGCTCAAGTCGCGAGCAAAAGTCGCGTCAGAAATCGCAAAGCCTCCGAGTCTGAAATAGGGGCTACTCCCGGAAGAGGAAAGCACACTGATCAAGTTTTTCGAGATACGCCTTGTGTTTGTCAAGCGTTTGGGAGGCCGTCAAATGAGCAGTCTCATTTCCTCGATAGCATGGCAAGTTAAAGGTTGCTTCATCGAAAACACACCAGACACTAACGCAACTCTTGTCCTGTCAGGGTGAAGCGCGGTGTGTCCACCCGCCATCCCAGTAAATATGTGTTGGACGAGAGCGAGCTTGAGCGCGTGAGCGCACTCGCCCAGATCGAGCTCGAGGATGCACGGACAGAGCTGCAGCGCGCACATGAAGCCGCAACATCCATGGGGAGGGGCGTTGAGCCGGATGACGATGATGATGTAACAGAGGGCGCGGGAGGAGAGGGCGAATGGGTTGAGTGAGTGCGTGCTCCTTGTGCTGATCGGGCCTCAAGGGGACTCATGTTGACAGCGAGGAAGATGATTCCATGGCGGTTGACCAAGAGCCTGGTGTAACAAACGGCAAAACTCGAGGCGATGATCTTGCCGAGTACAATCTCGACGATTATGACGAGGACGAAACCAAAATCGACGGTATGTCACAGGGTTGATGTTTGCAAACATGGCGCCTTATCATCTCGCCACGGAATAGGGCCTTTCACCAATATCAAAGGTTTGACATTCTATAAGGATAACGCAGAGGATCCTTATATCACATTGAAGGAGGGACGTCCAGTTTTCCATCCCTTCGGGTCTAGTGGACTTATCTCGTAGTTATCAGGATGACGAAGATGAAGAGCGTCAGGACCTTGAAGTCATGCCCACCGACAATCTCATTGTCGCCGCCAAAACCGAAGACGATATATCCCAGCTCGAGATCTACATCTACGACGAGTCCGAAGAAAACCTCTTCGTACACCACGACCTCATGCTTCCCAACTTCCCCCTTTGCCTCGAGTGGCTTGACTTCCCGCCCGCCTCCTCCTCCACGACCGCACAAAATGGCGCAGCTCGCGAGTTCGGGAGCTATATCGCCGTCGGCACGCTCGACCCCGAGATCGAGATCTGGTCGCTCGACGTCGTCGAGAGCATGTATCCCGACGCGGTGCTCGGACGCCCCGACAAGACCGCCGCGCACGTGCCGATGCCCGCGGGCACAGGCAAGAAGAAGCGCAAGAAGGCGAAGCACCGGGCGACGGTAGACGAGCACCACGTCGACGCTGTGCTCGCACTCTCGTGGAATCGCACGCATCGGCAGCTGCTTGCGAGTGCGAGCGCGGATCGGACTGTCAAGCTTTGGGACCTGAGCAGGGCGGCGCCTACGGAGGGTGAGGATGCGGGGCGCGGGATTGCAGCGATACGGAGTTTCTCGGTGCACAAGGATAAAGTGCAGGCGGTGCAGTGGAACCAACGGGAACCGACCGTGTTGCTCTCCGGGAGCTATGACCGGACGGTTCGATTATTTGACTCCCGAGCGCCCGACGCTGGCGTCGGGGCTGTCTTGGGTGCAGATGTGGAAGCCCTTCGATGGGATCCTTGGGAAAGTCACAGCTTCTATGTGAGTTCATTTGATACTTGTTATGCTCAGCTCATCCAACGCCGCACTAGGTTTCGCTGGAGAACGGTCACATTCTCAACTTTGACGCACGGACATTGCCATCCGACCTGAAATCGTCATCCCCTGCTCGTTTCACTATATCTGCTCATGATGGTGCCGCGTCCGCGATTGACATTAACCCACACATACGGGGTTGTATCTGCACGGGAGGCACGGATAAAGTGGTCAAGATTTGGAATGTCGACGAAGCAGCGAACGGAAAGCAGCAAGTCAGCCTCGTGACTTCACGGGACTTGGGAGTTGTAAGTCTCTGCTTGATGAGCAAAACATATGCTGACGCGTGTTCGTTAAAGGGCAAGATCTTCTCTACGGTCTGGTCACCAGACGATCCTCTCACTCTGGCTGCGGCCGGTTCGAAAGCAATGATGCAAATCTGGGATGTTGGATCCAACTTTGGCGTGCGCAAGGCGTTCTCGAGTAAGCTCGCGGCTGCAGGTCGGGAGCTCAAAGAGAAGAAGGAGGGCAACGGCGGTCTGATAGGGCTTGCCAACGATGAGGAGGATGAAAGCGACGATGGCGACGGGGATGGCGACGAGTGACGCAATGAACCGCGTTTCCTATCAAAAATGTAGATCAAGAAGTTGCCGCTTCTATTGATGATGCATGACCGATTGCTACAGTAGATAAGTAAGTGGCGCGAAGTATATGGCGGGTATTCTACATGAAATCGTCTGGGTTGTTCCCGAAGTCATCCAATGGATCATCGTAGGTAGCCGTGTCGATTCTGCGGGACGGTGAGTGATGTACAAAGGAGAAGGCAAGCAAGACATACTTTTTCGTCGCTTTGGCGACACCGAGGGCGGGCTTCGCTTTGGGCTTCTTCTTACCGCTCGCCTTGTCGCGCGCCTCCTTCTGCTTCTCGTTGGCGAGGGTAGTAAGGCCACTTGCAGCCTTGCGAATCTCGACGTCACGAAGTGACTGGGCTATCTCGCGGGCGTGGTGCTCGACAAACATGGGATAAGCGGGCTTGTCCTGATGTCGCTTGATGATGAACTCCATGATGCGGGACGAGAAAAGTTGGAAGTCTTCCTTCGACCGGGGGTCGGCGGTCAGAAGCGCGTCAAGATCTTTGGAGGATGAGCCTGTAGCAACACATGCGACACATGAGACCAATCTGCCAGGGCCAGATGAAGGCAGGGAGGGAACAGATCACGCACTGGTGACAGCCACGCTGCCAAACAAGGACGCGGCGTTGTCGAGATCGGCCTTGATCTCGCGCTCCTTGTCGAGACGCGCCTTTTCGCGGGGATCGAGCACCAGATCCTCGTCGTAGACGTCGTCGTCGTCGTCGCCGTCCTCGGCGGAGCGCGCTGCGCGTGCGGCCTCCTTCTCGGCGATCTTCTGCTTGATAGTGCCCTTCTTCTTTGGCGGTGCGGCGGTGACGGCGCGTACGGGCTGCTCATCCTCCTCTTCCTCTTCAGAGGACTTTTCCCAGTCGGACTATCGACGCGGGTGCGACGTGAAGTGACAGGGAGGGCACAGCGGATGAACGAGGGGTACAGCGAGCGGTTCAAGAGATAAGACGTACGACGGGGTCCGAGTCCTCCTTGTCTTCGTTTTCCCACTTGCTCTTCACGGGTGGTCTGCGTGCTGCGGGTGCGGGAGCGGCAGCAGGGGCTTTAGCCTCGTCACCAGATGAATTTTCTAGAGCGAGCTGATTAGATTCTGAAGAGCAAGTTTCGGACAAGATGAGCATACCCCAGTCAGACATTTTGCGTGTTTAAAACGAGGGAGGGTAGGATACAGGTGGGATAGTGTACAGAGGTGTACAGGAAGAGACAGGCAGTGGCTGAAGCGAAAGATCAGTAGAGGAACAAGAGATTATAATTCGGATCGGGTACAATTGGCCCGTCTCCCTCGCCGCGTCCGTCAAACATATGGCCTCCTCCTCTCCGTCCGTGTCCTTGTTTCTGCTCTCATCAATATTATGTCTAATGCGACGCGTTAATTTCTTTAAAACAGTACAAGGCTGCTTCAGCTCGCCCTCCCGCTCGTCAGAACAAACGGCTTCACGCGCACCGCCCTCGCCCGCTCCGTCCTCTCCCTCCCGGAGCCCCATGAACGGCCCCTCTCCGACACCGCCGTGACCGCCCTCTTTGGCAGCGGAGACGATGCCAGCCGGAAACTCATCCACGCGTGGCTGGCAGACGCGCGCCAGACGATGAAGGCCGCGCCGGCTCATGACATGCGCACCCTCCTGCGCACCCGGCTCGAGCAGAACGAGCCCGTGCTGCAGCATTTACCCCAGGTAAGCTGCTTTCGCCTCTAGTGCCTGTATTTTGTCCTTGGAAAGTTTGCTGATGATACGGGCGCAAGGCTTTTGCACTACTTGCGACCTCATCGAATATTCTACCTGTTGACCCAGTCCCTGTGCTCAAGCATGCGGCCGAGGTTGGTAATGACGCGTGTTGGTTCGCACAAAGGGAGGCAAGAGAGGTCAGTCCTCATACCTAAGATCCATGGGCATGCACACTGACTCCTGTACAGCTCGAGTGGTATACGCAGCGCGCCTCTGCCTCTGCCATCTACCTCGCTGCGGGTAAGCTACTGTCCTTCATTTCGTTCAAGGACTTGATGCATCTGACATTGTTCGTGCCTTCGTAGAGCTCCATCAGTTGAATTCTCCAAGTACGACGTATTCTTTCCTAGATTCATTGCTAGAGAACAGCTCGGCCTTGGAGAAGGCATTTGGCGAGACCGCACTGTTTGGGTCTTATGTCCTCAAGAGCTGGCAAGGCATTATCAAGAATTCTGGGGTATTCCCATAGTTTGAACTTCTCTTGCTCTTGGGCTTTCCCTCGTCATTTAGAGATAGAAGCGTGAAGTTGACGTAGAAACGTGCGGGTATATTGTCCATTGCTATTCTATTCCAACATATGGATACAATAAAAATTTTGACTTCTGACCAACACGACAGATGATTATTCGCAATAAAGCGAAAGCGACAGAGCAAAGACAAAACCGGTGAGGATGCTTGTATGCACAGAGCGCATGCAGGCAGGGGCTTACGCCCAGTTGTCGATCAGCGAGTCTCTCATCTCGCCGATAACTGCTGACGACTCTTGGCCCTGGAGCTCTGCGAACAGCGTCAGCATCGAGATGCATACCTGGCAGCCCATAGAATAAACGTACTGAATGTCGCCTCAATCACGCTGATTTCGGTGGCGGTCGTCTCTAGACCAGTGAACGCACACCAATCGTTGACGACCAGGCCTGCTCCAATCACGTCTGAACCACGGTTTACAGTTCCCGCCTGCGTGCCATCTCAACTTTTAGCAGCCCCTTCGTAGATAACCGCCGGCAATGCAAGACTCACCACCAAGGGGATCTGGAGCAAGCTACTCAGTTCATCCTGGTCCTGCACACTGGTCTTGGGGTGGACCAGGCCGCCCTGGTTGGTGATGGCACAGTAGGAGCCGACAAGGACATTGTCGGCGATGGTCTGACGGAAGACCTCGACCTTGAGGACGTCAGCGATGATCTCTTCCGTCTCGCGGTCGACGTCCGGGTGGACGAGAGCGACGTAGTCATTGCAGGCGATAACGTTGCCGAGCGCGGAGAGACGCTCCTCGACACGCTGGATGGCAACAGCGTCCGGGATGGAGTTGCGGAGATGTTGGAGCTCCTGGTCGGTCGTCGAGGATGGTACGAGGAGACCGTGCCGGTTGCCTGTTGAGACAGTGATAAATATCAGATCTGACGCTGGATACAGCGTAAACGAGAGATTGTTGACCGGCAGTCATGCGTCCGACGATGCGAGTACCACCGATGGAGGTGTGCACGATGGGGACGACATCTCCGAGTTCTGCTTCGAAGGCGGAGTAGAAGTTTGTGCTGCCTTGGATTGCAGCCAGGCAGTAGCTGTTTGTGAGTTTGGCGAAGACGCCGATGTCGCTGTTGTTCTCGAACTGGATGCCTATAGAGAAAAAAGAGACATAATCAGATCACCAGGTCCTTATCGGTGGGTGTATGCTGGGTGATACGTACGGGTAGCCATGAGTAGAGGGGATACAATTAGTGCTACAGAGAAAGAGGTGTTGTGCTGCTGAAAGAAAAGAAAGACTAGAGAAAAGTAGAGTAGAAGAGCGCGGGTTGTGGACTCGTCAGATGGTGAGGCTCATTGGCTGATCGTGTGCAATCTATAAAAACCAGAAAATTGCTGGCGTAAGTCACCCCGCGTCACCCTCGGACCCGCCGAGACGCGACTTCGATTCCCGCCTCTTGCACCGCTCCGAACCTAAACTTGCAGCGTTTCACTTTGACAGCCACTGACTCACTCAAGATGCTTCCGAGGCTACGCACTATTCTGGCTCAGCGCAGAAACTTGGCTAGACATGCATTCACTGCCCCAACACGCGCCTACACGGCTCCGGCTACACCTAGCCCGTCGTCTCATGTCATAACCGAAGTAGAGAAGATTCTGCTCGGGACCGTAAAGGCGCGTCATTCCGCGACTCAGTCCACGGCGCGCAGTCTGACCTCCAGCACAGGCGACTGGCCCCGTCTCTTTCTCGACGTATATGCAGCTCTGCCTCTCGCACCCAACGCATGGCTACTACACGAACCCTGCCCACAGCGTGTTCGGCGCATCTGGCGACTTTGTGACCAGCCCTGAGATCAGCCAGGTCTTCGCCGAGGTGCGTATACCGCCACGATTATCTCGCCAGCAAAAGGTGACGAGCATGTAGCGTCGTAAATCGCACGCCAAATAATGTCGGGCAGCTCATTGGAGTATGGCTACTTGAACACTGGTCGACCAATGCGCCTCAGAAAAAGTTCCGCATCGTAGAGCTTGGCCCTGGACGCGGGACAATGCTCGAGGACATATGTCTGCACGTGAGCCCTGTCTCATTCTCTATGGAGTCTTCTTGCTGATGCATGTGACTGGGTTACCTCCATAACGTAGGTTCTTCCGCGTTTCGCGTCGATATTACCACAATTTACAGGTATCCACCTAGTGGACTCGAGTCTTCATATGCAAAAACTACAAGAAGAGAGGCTAGGGGATGCCGCCCGTTCAAGAGGCTGGGATCTCAAGTGGTACGACTGGCTCGCTGACGTCCCCTCGGACCCAGAACAGTACACCCTCTTCATCGCTCACGAGTTCTTCGACGCGCTGCCGGTCCAAGTCATCGAGGTGCGTTGGCCTGAAAGCGCCGAGACGTCAAGTGCATTGATCAGACACTGTCCAGCGCACAGAGCAAGGCTGGCACGAGATCATGATTGCGCCCTCTGATGACCCGAGCATAAAGTACGCACGACCTTCAGTCGACTCGACCGCAGCGGACGGGTCAACGGCGGAATCCTCGCCGGTATCATCATCGACGGAACCTTCAACTTCTCCCTTACCCCCACCTGCAACTTCCGCACGTTGGACGCGTGTACTCTCGCCGCAGCCGACCGCGTCGTCTCAACTACTCGCAGCATTTTCTCCGAGGTTTGCCGAGCTTCCTGTCGGAACGCGGATCGAGGTGTCCGCCGCATCCGCCAAAGCTGCGCACACCATAGGCGAGCTGCTCACTCCTGGCGGCGGCGCAGGGCTTGTCGTGGACTACGGAAAAGAGCACGTGTTGGGGGATTCATTGCGTGTAAGTCACCTCGGGCCTGTAGCGTCGGATACATGTTAGACTGATGTGTCGGGCATGGCACAGGCTTTCAAGGAGCATAGGCAGGTCGACATCTTTACGTCACCGGGCGAGTGCGACATCACTGCGGATGTCGACTTTGCACTCCTGAAGGAGTCGTTCAAGGACTCTGGTGGGTGGACCTCTAATCCAGTATTTACCCTATGGGCTAAGATAGTGGGCGTGACACAGCTACGACGCACGGTACGCTGAGCCAAGGCAACTACTTGCGGCGGATGGGCATCGACCTTCGCACGCGTGTGCTCATGCAGAGCGCGAAGAGCGATGACCGCAGGCGGGCGATCGAGACTGCTTCGAAGCGTCTCATCGACCCACTTGGCATGGGCGAGCAGTACCGCATCATGGGAGTAAGCGTGCCGCAGAAAGGGGAGGAAGTGTATCCGTTTCTGAAGGAGATGGATGGCAAGTAGGGAAGGAGAGCGTTGACCATTGTTCGTCCGACTGCTGACTGCATCTAGCCCACCAATTCACCTCAGTTTACCGGCTGTTCCTATTCTGCGTGCTGATGTTGAGCTGTCAATTGTTGCGCGTGGATATGATGCTGTAGGAGGATCAAACCCCAGATTTTTTGGGTGGAGTGAGCTTTCCTCAAAAGTGGACGCTATGAATAGAACAGGTTTCGGCAGACGCGTAACGTGGCAAGCAGACAGCAATGATCGCCCCAGGGACACGGGGAACAAGGAGACCGACGCCGGTGCCTGCAGATCCGATGACAGCTGTCAGTGGAAACTTCTCCGCGCTTACGCGTGTATGGCGATGTAAGAATTCGGAATTGGGTGGCATGTGGGCGCCGTGGTGGAGTAGACTGAGCTCGAGAACATACACACGAGAGTCGCATGAGAGCGTTCGTGACTCACTACCCGCGTTTCGAGTTGCTATGGATCTGGGACTGCGGATAAGTAATCAAGATGTGCATATGGCACGAGGCATTGGACAAGGTGGATTGAGAATCGGAGAAACGATTAATCGGAGAGATTTGCTTCCAGTACTTCGGTTTACGATGCGTAGTTCAAAGGTGTATCGCGTTTTTACTTGTTAGACATAAGTTGGGACATCGGAACTGAGTACTGGTGAGCGGCTTCGTATTAACCTCCGTTGCGGCGGGGTTTGAATGTAAGTAGGATGGTACTCGAAGGTGGCGGTGATCTTTCTCCTCCTCCTCCCAACATCTAGCAACCTGAATCAAGCTTACATCACCGCGGTGGATCGCACTAGAGACCGCACCTTGGTCCACTCTCGTTTATGCCAAGTCACAACTCCACCGACTCTCAACTCTTGAGCTAAAATTAACTCGCTGCTCCACCACCAAATGCCTTTACTTTACACTTTTCGCGTTCGTCGGCCTCTCCACTCAATGATCTTAACAATCTTCGGGGCTGATGCCCGCGTCTCTCCCGGCAACCCTCTCGGTACTGCCTCTCGCTAGTACTCTACTAGGTGGAGCCATCGCATGACTTGATGTCTTCTGCACACCTGAGCGCGTCTGTTTCTCTGACATCGTTGGAAGCTGCTGTGCTGGCAAAGTTATACCAGACCCTCCAAAGGCAACAAGGGCATCATGTCTTTGAGGTCTTCATCACCTGTTGCACTGGTCTTAAAATCGTATAAAAGAGGGACTGTTTCACCGGGGGGAAAAACATCTTCCAGCTCCTCTGTTGTCCACAGCTCTTCCACAGTCGCACATCCACTTCATCCTCTTTAATCACAATGTCTGCCTTCCGTGCCCTCTCTATCGCTGCTATCGCGGCCGTCGCCTCTGCCCAGTCCGTCAATGTCGTCAACAAGTGCTCTGACGCTGTCACGCTCTTTACCCAGAGCTCCTTCGGCACGATCGACAACAACGTCAACGTCGCCGCTGGTGCGACCAACGACATGCACATCTCCAGCGACTGGGACGGTGCCATCAACGTCGGCACGGGCTGCAATGGCAACACGTGCACGACTGGTGGCCCCACCTGGGACGGTCAGACCCCCTTCTCGCGTGCCGAGTTCAACTTCGTCAGTTTCTTTGCTTTTCTTCTGCTCGTGAGCTTTGTTTTTTTCTAACCGACGTTTTGTTTCGTACAGAACGCCGTCCCCGGCTCCGTCACCTACGACATCTCGCTGATCTACGGTTACAACGTCGGAATGGAGATCTCCTCCGCTGACTCTGGCTGCTCCGCCTTCGCCTGCACTCTTCCCAGCGGCTGCGTAAGTTGCTTAAAAACAGGACCGCTTGCATGAGATGCTGACGTTGCTATAACAGCCTGTAACTGGCCCTGACAACTCCTGCTTCTCGCCCTGCTGCTCGTCCTCGGACGCCTGCTCGGGCGGTGCGCTCCCCGCCAGCAACGGTGGCTGCGTGAGCAACGCCGGCCCCGGCCCCAACTCGCCCTTCTACTACAAGTCGTGCACCAACGCGTACGCCTTCCCCGACAACGACGGTGCCGCCGGATACACCCCCGCCGACAACGTCGACTTCACCTGCGGCAACACCGCTATCACCCTCACTCTCTGCCCCGGTACCACCTCCAACATCCCCAAGTAAACGGTCGGCGCGACACCATATTGGCGATGAGAGGACACGGTTTGCACGCCTGCGCCATCTTCAGATCCGTTATTCGTGAGAGGATGCGGTGGATTGTATTTAATATCATTATCCATGTAAATAAATCTGCACATATACCCTTGCGTTCTGTAGGGTCCTCGTGGAATACCACTATTTATGAGAAGAACGTTCGGCATGTCCATGAATGAGTTTTCACCTGTGGGGAAGTAGTTGGCGTTCCAAAGCGTCAAACATCGGGGCATTGGACAGTGGGTGGTGGCTGATGGAGAGTCAACCAATCGGCGTGCTGGCTTGATCATGCAGAGCCGTCGGATCCTGGATTTGCTCAAAGTTATTCACTCTCCGTTCTGAGAATTCTACATGCAAATCAATGCCCATCGTCTTTCAGCCCATAATAAATCCGAGAGGCTTTCTACTGACACATAAATTAAGCTTAAATATATGAAATAAGGCCTATATACTCGGTCCATAGAACGTTTGAGACACTGTGATCCTCTGCCACCTTCTTGACCGTGTCCAGCTGCGCATATCAAGTACATGTTCATCTATCTTATTAATGCTGGCTGCACACAGCTATCTGTGGCATCTGACGGCCAGGGAAAGAGAGGTCTCTACCACAATCCATGAGCAGTGCTTTAATAGGTTCACTTGGTGAAATTTCTCCTGTGAACCCGTTCTCGACATTTAAGGGCTTTGCGTCGCTGCTATCGGAAGAGTCGATTCGTTGGTGGGCGTGGTCGTTTGGAGTGTCGGGCCCTTGATTGGCATGTATGTAATAGCGCGCGTTCAGCATAGCGAGGAAGGAGTTGATGTATACTAGACATAGCTTACTACAGGATGTACCGGATGAGAACATGGGTAGGCACATACATTTGGTGACCACAAGGTCAATACCGACGTATACCAGATTGCTGGACATTAGCACACACTGGTTCATTCGCGTTAGATGTGGTAAGCTGCGGTAAGTTGCTGTAGCCTTACCGCTAGAAGAACTGAGAGAGAACATATGCTTTTATAGCTGTTAAAGCTATATTTTTTGTGGGCGAGTGCCTCTCACCTCGTTAGCAGGCCAGTATCAAAAGTGAAAGCCATTATCTTCACAACTAGAGTGTCGGACCTGATGATCTTATTAGTTTCTGACAAAGCTAAGATTTATGTGTCATCACCCACGGGCCAAACCCTGTGCGAGCGGAAGATAGAAGGTAGCAGAAACTTGCGGCAAGAATAATATCAACCGCAGCCATGTTTGCCAGCGTCAATGTAATCGCCCACTAAAGTGGTGGGTTAATTTCTTGGCTAATTATGTAGCAAAACCACCTACTTGGATGTTCAATACATCACTCCATAAGTCACTTCGAAAGCTTCCTCGAGGCTATTGGTCAGACACGACCTTTGCGTTGAAATCTCATGCTTACATTGCCCAGCAAAGTACTGTTTCCAGCTCGTTCATCAGCAATCCTCCAGCGGAATAACCAATAAAAGGAGCTTACTTATTGAGGTGGCTATTTGCATAAGGCACGTCAGATATATGCGTTGGGAAATCAGGGCACACCTGTAACTGTCGGAATGACTAAAATGGACTATGAAGTCTGTCATTATGAGGGATAAATTATGGATACAATGAACCACCTACCACCACCATCGGGAGGGTGCAATTTCTCCCTCTGCTCACTGAAGTAAGTATTCAGTCAAAAAGCCCCTGGTGAGCTTCTAAGTATAATCTTACTAATCCAGAGGCGGTAAGTATACAGCCTGTCAATTGCACAAGGCATAGTCAGCGAGGAAGCGAGATTTACTGTGGCACTTCGAATTAGGAAATATACCTACACATGAATAGAGTAGATCATCAAAATCTAAGCCATATATTTACCTGGGTCAGTTTACTCCACAGCGGCAAAAGCGGCAGATATCTTACGGAAACCACCTCATTTGCCTATAAGAAAATAATGATTTAAGTACTCATTCGTAGCAGTTGCCTGTCATGCTACACACCTTGAAGCTCCATGTGATTTGGAGAAGCTCGATTGGATCCAAGTATTCCGTGATGAGATAATGGTACACCATGATGGTTATCAAGGCAAGGTGCAAAGCATCCAGGAACCTGGCCTCTATGTCAAAATTCGTTCTAAATCCCTGCGAAAATTTCTGAGAAGTGCAGACCAAAGACCGTAGATCTATCCGTACGAGTGAGTCATATATTCGTAGTGGTCAAGGCGACTCAGCGCACCGATAGTTTCCAGAGCTTTAGGTCCGAAGTCTGAGTATGTGTCCGGAGGTAAATGAAAGCCTGCACAGTGCTAAACCCAAACAGCCTGCATGAAGTGAGCGGGACTCTGGACCGAAGCAGTTTGAGTTATATGAAACATACGTCGATGCCGCAACAAGACCCAGGAGAACCGCGCCATAGGTGTCGTTGAGACTGGGTATGTCTGGAAGCGGGGTAGTTGACATCAGAGGCTTCAGTTGCCAGTAGCTGTTTAGCAGCTTGGTTAGCATTGCTTGAAAGTGCCTTTATAGTTCCACACCTGTGAAATGCGATCAATGGCTATTTAAAGGCAATTGATAGCCCGATGATCACTGGTGGCCACAGTGAGTTCATCAGACCTAGGTTGATGAGCGCGCTTTGTAATTCTCGTTGTCCATCACGCTATTCATAGCACCTCTATACTCGTGGTTGCCCCCAGTGTAGTGTTCCCCAAGGCAAACATGGTTGACAGTTCAGGTCCAACATATCTGTCGGCTCGGCGGTTCTGGTGGACTCACGTCGAGAGACCAGAATGCGGGACTCACATGAATGATATAGTATCCCGTTTCGCTGTGCCAGCATAACCTTAAATTAGAGATCAAGCCAGCAGGTCGAGGCGGTGATATAAGTAGTACAGCCCTCTATGGCACGACTCACAGGCATTCCTATACAATCGATCAAGCAATCGATATTGGCCACTGTGAGTCCAGCGCTAATAGTCAAAAAGGCTCGGTGGCTTCAAGTAGGTTCAGAAGTAGCACCAAGCAGCACAGTTCGAAGTGAGGATGACTTATCAGAGCCTTAAAGAAAACAAAGAGTGGACTCGAAAACTGACCGAACGTGTCTCCATTGACATAAGAGAATGCATTGAAGAGATCTAGCGCCTTGAAGGCTGAGCGCTGAGTTGCTAGAGGGCTAAAGCAATGAGTCCAAACTGCTTTTAATTAAAAATTGGACTTGTCGATAACCAAGCATTTGTCGTGCACTGCCAATATGTAGTTCCCATGATGATCGATGAGAGATGGCAGTACGCAAGTATTATTCAGTCCCGTATGCAGCAAGGTGCCATGTGTAAACAATGTAACATACATAGAACAGAACATGAGCGGTAATCATGGAGCCAACCGGCGCGAGAAAAACAATGTTTGTCGCAGCATATCAAGTGAGAACTTCACCGGGAATCTTATACATTTTTCATAACACTCAAGTTGTAGGCCGAGGTTCGAGTTCATCCACAACCAGGATAGTTCTAATCCACTACTACAATACTATCATGGACCGCTGAATATTATCAATACGAAAATCTGGAAGGAAATAAAGATAGAGCTAAATTGCACTGTCGTGCGAGCCTGGGTAGTACGCAGAGGTGCGAAATGAACAATCAATCAATCAAGAAGACGAACGTTTAGGCAAAGGGTGCCTCATACTAACCCGCCGCCTCCCATCTTAACAGTGTCGACCACAACACGGAGAGTTTCCCTCCACAAGCGGAGCGGTAATGATTCTCCCCTAGCGTCTTGCAACCTTCGTCTAACCTGGATAGCCGCGCTGGGCGGCGGCGTGGGCAAGGTTGAACGCCTACGTACACGTAGCATGAGTGCTAAGAGTGGTAGAAGCACAAACACGAGCGACAACGTCGCAAATTTGTTGGTCGCGATATGACGTTTCACGTAAGCCTTCAGAAGGGCGTACGTGCTCGGTGGTGGGGAGGGTACTAGAGGCATGTCGACCGGCGGAGCACGAGGAAGCCGCGAAGCATGGATAGCGCTACCATTACGACTTCCTTGCGACGCCGAGGGTTTTTCTATTTGTCGTTGACGAGATGAGCGCCGGGTAACTGTAGCATCAGACTTAAACGACGCCGAAGATGGGGAGGAGGGAATGGAAGGAATGTCTTCGATACTGGAGGGTCCAGCGCGGTGGTTGTTGGGTACAGCCGTGCGTGTGGATGTTGTGGAAAGGGAAGAGGTGGAAGAGGCTGGGGAGGGAGACCGAGGTGGTGGTGTTATCAATGGAGGCTTGACCTGCTGCTTCTGGAGGAAAGCAGCCTTAGCCTGTGCATGGAGCCCCTCCAGTGATATACGGAGGTTCTGAGGCGGAAGTTCAAAGTTCATAGTTTAATCGGTAAGTATATGTGCTCACCTTCTTCCGTTCATGCGGGAGTTCGCTCTCATAGTCCAGGAACTGCTTCGCGTAGTCCCAACCTTCCATCCGCGGCAGGACATGAAGACAGTACATCTCGAGCACCTTCTCATAACCTTCTAGATCTCCCAGCTGGGCCTCACTATGTACGCGATGTGAGAGCCACTCCTCTACTATGCCTCGTCCAAAGTCCGGAGTATCGATCTTGAGGCTCGACGCGACGAGAGTAACGAGAACCTGATGCGGTAGGAAGGATGATCGTGGATGGTGTTGCATACTCGAGGGAGTGAAGAGGTCTAGGGAGCGAGTGTGCAGCGTTGCAATGAAGGCATGAGACGAGAGCAGTAGATTGGCGCGCAATGCTTTTGGGAGACTGTCTTTATCTACGGGCGAGTGGTATACAGTGGTGTCCAGGGTTATGCGAAGTATATCCCACTTTCTCCTATGGGCGCCAAGACCATCCGGAGAGGCATCTTGAGGAGCTGTGAGGGTAGAGAAAGCAGTGTTAACGAGATTGAAGGTTGTGAGGAAGTCGCGGTGAATGAAGGCCTTTGCCGCTCGATTGTAGAGGGAGCGCAGACTGGTGTCTGAGCCATCCTGGGAGACAGGGGCAGAGGAATGGGAGCCAGCCTTGAGAGCCAGGATGCCATGGTCTTTGGGCATGTCCTGGACGGTTGCGACTGTCGCGGTCGCTGTCGGCATTGAGCAGAAATGGAGAGGGAGGGAAAGGAGGAATGCCTGTGCGGGACTATAGCCGGTAAATAAGGTGGAAGTAAGCCCAAGACCGTCACCGGGAGCGGAGTTTGCAAATCACAAGGGCCGTCTGTCCCTTTCCCCTCGGGCGCCCAAATCAATTGGTTGGTGTCATACGCCGAGTGAGCCGAAGGAAGACTAGTTCTATCATGCAACTCATCCTTAATTACACCATCGCACCTCCGGCTTTCCGCTCGGATTTGCATTCGCCTTGATACGAACATGATCTGCATACAGGTCCGGAGTCTGCAGACGATGTAATTATGCCATATTGACTCGGGCGGCAAATTGGAATGCCGGACACCTTGCGGGCATCTCGTTAGAGTCCGCAGGCTCAGGTTGTATTTCTTTTCAACATACACTCCTTCAAGCCCTCCTCAAAGATCTCTCGATTTGTCGCTGAAATGGCCGTGGGGTCATTCTTCCATTCCCTTTGGACCACGCTCCTTTGTATCCTGCACACCTTCTCCCTTCTTCTCTGTTATCGACGCCAGACACCAGCTTCTACTTTCTCGGCGCCCGAGAGCAAAACCTATCCTGATATTTCATTGGCCTCTCGTACCGATGCAGATGGACGATGTCACCCACAACAAACTCGTACCGCTTCCTTGTCGCGTGTTAGCCGTACACTAAGTCAATTCCGCATCAGCCTTCTCTCACTTCAGAGGATCAATCCTGAAGCCTCTATTGGCGACTCTCAGTTACACGCTGAGCTTGGTCAATCCAAACTCATCAACACTTGCCACGATTCTCTGTCTACTCATGCCACTGTTGGGTTAGGCTTTCTGTCGCCTGAGGCTTTTGGCTCACCACAAGTTGTACGTGACCGATTTGGCTCTTTAATCTCTCCAGCTCTGTTGTCAAACGCAAAACACGCTGCAGAGCACTCCATTCAGTATGCAGAAAGGGGCATTTCAGTCACCATCCTGCCTGGTCCGACGTGTCATGGTGTCAAGATCGAGGACAGCCCACTTGAGAAAAGCTTAGTTACCGAACCTGAAGGTGAAGAGCATCTCATCTCTTCCCTGCTTCTCGCGCGCCACAGCCGCTCCTTCAGTTTGGTCTCTGCTTCGTACTCTGAGTTGGACTCTTCCCCACACCTATGCGCTGCTCTGGCTTCGTGCGATTCTTCAGTCGCGTTCTTCTCCTCTCTGAGAGTCTTTGAGCCGCTCACAATGCTCTCTATCGCGCCCGGCTCATTGGCGGCTCCACCGAGGGCGGCATCTAGGTCTAGAAGCAAGTCGTTTCCAGCAAATTCTCAGAACTTTATGTCCACTCCCACACAATGTCCGGACACGACGAAGCATTCAGCGGTGCATCCTAAGGGCAAGCGGCACACTATCTCTTTAGCTGAGGCACTGCCATTGCTCAATGATGTCGTTCAAAAGCCTGAGGACAGAGTGGAGGAAGAAATGGAGGAAGAGGTTGTCATCAGCCCTTTTCAACGCTCGTGGGCAAGTGATGGATCAGAGACATCACTTTGCGCCCTAGCAGACAAGTAGTTTAGTGGCTCAAGCACATGTACTAGCACATAAAACACTCTTTCGGTCGTATTTGGTTTGGACATTCGGAAGAACTAGGTGGTTTAGTACATGTGAAGAAGCTTCAAGATGATTTACTCGGTGATCCACAGCTACCTTGAGTATGCCCACAGAAACCCTGACCGGACAATATACTAAGACAAGCCGGCAACAATACCATCGAACGCAGGCTTCTTGACCAGATTCTATGCAGAGATGTTATGAGAATATATCAAGTATATTCTAGCCTAGCACTTACACTGTCGTAAGGGCAAGCCGCGCCATAGCCAGAGAAGGTCGAAGGGACCCAAGAATACTGGGAATTTTGGAGATAAGTCAGTGAAATGGTACTTAGCCTTCCCCACCACGGACCTTGTCGGTGAAATCCCAGACGGTCATGCCGACGCAACCGGAGACAGCCGCGCAAGCAGCGATGACGGTCTCGTAGTCCGACTTCTGCTGGTCAAGAAGGTCGGCGGTCTCGGGGAGCTCCATGCGGATGTCAAGCTCCGTGATCTGGACGTCGACGCCGAGCGCGGTGAACGCCTCCATGTTGGACTGCAGGTCGGAGGGGATCTCCCCGAGGATGAAGTGACTCTCGAACCCGATACAGTCGATGGGGACGCTGTTGGCCTTGAGGGTCTGGACGAGGTTCTGCATCGCTGTGGACTTGGTGCCTGCAATTTGTTAGGTGTGCGTTTGAAGTAGAGGCGGGGGTGATTACCTGAGCCCTCGATGCCGTAGTCGTTGATGCACAGCTTGGCGTCCGGGTCAGCGGCATGGGCGGCATTCAGAGCGATTGAGATGAAGTCCGAACCGAGGGTATTATAGAACACGTCAGAAACGAATGTACCATCACTGTTGAACGGTTCTGAAGGAAGATCAGAGATGCTAGTCACTGGAGTGACTTAAATCTGTACCGTTGACGACATCCCATGCATCTGTAAGTAGGGAGCATAATTCAAGTTAATGTCACAAACACAAACATCCAATGATGTACTAACAACTGAGAGATTGGTGAGCCTCAACGTGAACAATATCCTATGGAAAGTTGTACTCACATTTGTCCTTTGTAATGGCTGATCATCGTTGGATATTACTGTTAGAGTATGAAACAAATTCAAGTTGTCCACCTACCCCACGACATTGCTTATGTGATTTTGGATGACCGAAGTGAGCTCGTCGGCAGTAAAGTTACTATCGCTGACCCAGCTTGGGAGCTGACTCTGCCAGACGAGGTTGTGGCCTGTGATGCATTTAGCTCATGAACCGACTGAGGTACGGATCTATCAACCTCTGACGATTTTGCCGGTGGAGTTAGCGATAGCTACCACAGCATCACCTCCTGAAAAGGTAAAGGTATTTTGCTCGGGCTCCGTGGCGTCCTGTCATCGAGTTTGAGCACACCTACGTAGCATGATGACGCGAGAACAGACAAACCCATTTCATGCTGTTACCGGGAGTGATCTGACCGAACTCTGAAGACTCAAGGATGGCCATATAAGCGGAGTCGGTGAACTCGGGGTTGTCGGTGGCAGACCCAAAGTACTTCTTGCCGATGCCCTGCGCTAAGGTGTTGAGGACCCCCATAGAGGTGCCCGAGGGGAGAGCACTGGTTGCCGTTGTGGTACCGGATGTATCACTGCCTGCGTTGCTCTGAAGAAGGTTAGGGCGCATGCGTAATTTGTTGAAGAACAACGCAACGCACGGGGAGGCATTGAGACAGACTTATGAAAGGCAGAAGAGCTGCGACCGGGGCCAAGAGCTTCATTGTTGCGTTGGGCTGGGGTCTGCCTTACCGACATACATCTCGATTTCGGGTTTTATGTAGTCGCTTTAGCAGCACGGATATTTGTCGCAAAAAAGCTGGAAGGTTACGAGGAGACACGTGAGGAGGCAACCGAGTGGATTTCCCTGGCCCTGAAAATATCTGAACGGATTGACTCTTTGCGGCACGACAATGAGAAAGAGGTTCGTTGCGAAGGTCTTAGAAACATAATCGTTGACGTGGACTTAGATACCTATAATTACTTCATGGCTGGTTGAATACCTTCGGATGTAGGTCGGATATCGAGGTGTGTTCATGAAGACTGAGATACAATGAGCGCCGCAGCTGATTCCGTAAAACCGATTTCCTTGATCAACATTTCTGAAGGATGTTATTTGGAGCATAGTTTGTTTATTTCAGCAAAGTAAAGTACAACATAAGCGATGAGCAAACCAATGATCAATCCATCGATCAAAAAGATGTAGAACCCTCCTCCCATAACAAAAACTCCTCCTAGCTTTCCCAGTCGATCATGAGCGCCAGCCGAAGCGGTACCTCCAGAACAAGGTGGGCCAGTCAAAGCGGAGAATCCGCTGCGGGAACAGGGCTCCGCGTGCACGAGACACATCACTATAGAGGACGGGAACGCGGACAAGGAGGCGGAAAAGCTTGTACCGAGCCCGAACTTTTGAGTCCTCAGAAAATATTGTTCTAAAGAGACCCGCCCTCGGCTACATTCGGGTTCTTGTAGGGCGGAAATCAGTTACATAATTTCTTCTCACAATGCTAAAGTGTTGTCAGGAGCGGCATTAGTGGTCGACCTGCATAGCTCAGTTTCCATCAGGTTCCATCCATCCATGCCTTTTACAACGGCTGTAGCAGACGACGGACACCGGACACGCAATCAACCTTCTCATTGTCTTGCTTTCCGGCTGTAAAGCTTTTTTAACGAAAAACCTCGCGCTTTTGACGCGTTAACTCTGGAGATACTTTAATTGAAATTATCAAGCGGTCCGCTGCGACCCGGGCCCGCTACCTTTGGATGAGAACAGTACTTGCCGGACCTGCTGCTTGGACTAAGCTTGGACGTGATTTACCTTGCTTGGACTTCTTGGTCCCTTGTTGCCGCGTGCTCCCTGAAGAAGCCATTTAACCCTGGTCCATCCAAACAGTGTTGCCCCGAGCCACCCTATTGGCTTTGATTGGAGTTTGCACACCATGTTCCTCCTGCGATCTCTCGCCGGGCCTCGGAGATGGCGCGCAAACGGAACTAAAAGCCTTAAACTGGTGTTACTGTCAACCTTGCAGCCGGCGTTGAATGTGATTTCCGTGGATGGCTTTATATTCATTGTCCCTTCGTTGTGGGAGCCTTTTGACAGGATCAACACATCAAAAGATTCACTGCTATAGGCACCTCATCACCAGTGTTTAGCCTCTGCTAGCCGTCCGCTGTGCCTTGAGGATGAGCTGATATCCTTTGCTCCACTACTTCAGATCTGTCACGTCGCATGGTATCCAAGCGTCTATAGGACCATCTCCGGAAACCCTTGCCGACAGTATGCGCTTTGCTCTACCACGCTTGTACCGTTGCTTGCTGTCATCGTCGACCCTTAGATCCATATGACTTCCTTCCGCTTCTGGTGGTATAAAGGGCTAATGAAATCGTCCAACTGAACCCCAGGTTCTGGATTCTTCGTCACTTACCATGAATTTCGTTTACCCTCTACCCTTTCCTGCGGTGGATCCATCCACCTCCCCGGAAGATCTACCAAGCCACCAACTTTTCAATGGATCCGAGGACGTAAGTACGATACCATCTGTCCTTAACGCTGAACTTAATGTCATATAAAGCAAATTTTGCCATCATCTTTCTCGCGCCATCCTCGTGTATCAGAAAGAAGCATCCAACCTCTCAGACACACTCCGACATTTGTAGCGGTTTTATCTCCTGGATGCACATCTGGAGGCGCATATCTGCATACGGCGCATTGTTCCGTGGACATACCCTCGTCTATGAAAGCCACGATGTCTCCGCCTTCGTCGTGCGATTACATGGATATATCGGACGAAATGACTACTCAAAGCCCGCCGCTGACCGTGTTGGCTCCCTCAGGCTTACTCCCAAGTAAAGCCTACGAACATCTCGATCCCAACGGAATGGAGGGATCATCCTCTACTCTGCCAAGGCACTGGCTGTTACCTCAGCCTGGTGTTCGACATGACAATGAAAGCGATTGGCACATGTGGCCAATCGCCTTCTCGAGAAATGACGGTCTCTCTCCTTACGCAGTAGCAGACTTAGTCGGGGACCTGCATGAACCTCTGAACCTTCAAGGTGCTTCAGACACTCCGTTCGAAGAACTCGGTGACGCTACATTGACTGTTCGGATTAACGTATGCGCCCTCCCATGACTCTGATTATACTGGCTCACGATTTTCAGTGGCCGGGCTACACGCCCTTTGATAGGGAGATACGCACCGATGGGGGCACTATCAGCCGCGATGAACTACTCCTTTGCGTCGCAAGAATTATCGACCACTTCGCTCAGAAGGTCTTTGCCGAGAACACACCCCAAGTTCAGCCAGGCTACGAGGGATGTCGCCTGCGGACGCAGGACTACCGGGCAGGCATTTTTCATGAGCGTTGTATCATTACTGGCCTTACACTGTACACCGATGGGACATGGCGCCCTGACATTTTCGTGCCATTCGAGTAGAATAATTCATAGTGTTGTGTAGGTCATCACGCTGCTGTCAGCGTAAATTGTGAAGAATTGGTGAACAGACAGGGTCTATATTTACATGGATCCCAGTGGCGCTACTATGGTAATTCTGTATAATATTGTGGATGTTTCGCATTATAGTAAACCACAGCATGAAATCGACATCATATGGAAGATATATTTGGCGTGATGAGAAGTTTGAACAAAAGCGATGGCCTCTCGGTACTCAGTTCTCTCTGACGATTTCGGACCCTAGGCGAGAAATTTCAGAAAAAGCGGCTCTGAGAAGGTCGAGATCTGCGTCGAGGCTCTCTGCTCGTGTCTTCATCTTTCGAGCGTGTCAGCAGCCGACAGACAGGAATTTAACTGATACATACAGCGGCTATAGTATCACTAGCAGCAATGAGTTCATGATGGTGATTGTATACCAGCGCTTGCCGTTCACCATCCAGTTGTTTGATTTCTAGCATGATCTCAGCTTAGTCACTCGAATTCTAGGATAGCATGCGCACCCGACATGAGCTCATTTTCTTTCTTTAGGAGCGTAGGCAGGTTCGACGTTGTGATGAGCTGCTCATAGTACGACTTGGCATCGAATGCAGCTGAATCTGCGCGCTTGTTCAATAAATGAGTGGGATTTGGCGAGAACATTGATACCCAAATCCATAGGATCATTGACTTTTCCGGGAAGCGGTTGAGGGGGTCCTATGCCTAAGCCATAATGTTTCCTAAGTAGATCCCTAGCGCGGCTTTTGGAAGTGGGAGGCGGAGACGTCGAGCCAACGGGAAGGGATGTTCTCCGAGAGGCCGGAGTGGAAGGATTGCTATTGGTCTGTCGGGGAGATGGGGGATGAAGAGGAGAAGGCGATAGGGGTATACGCGGAATGGGCTGGCGCTGGCCCGAAGGCGAGGTTGGAGGAGACTGCGGTGACGAGGACATGGGCGCCGGCTTGGGCGGGTCGGAAACAAGGGCTGATAGGGTGACAGGGGCCATGTCACGGTCATGTGACCGTGATCAATCTCGCGGCGTGCTGCCACGCGTTTGCCTTGGCATTCAGCATCTGTAAACGCTGACTAGGACTCGCTGCACACCCCCGACTACCCTTCCTCCTTCTTGATTGCGACCATCCAGAATGGTTACAGGCAATGACTGGCTTGTTGCTGACAGCGAGGACGAGGATAGCTTCCAGCCACCTCCCCAGCGAGCGAGTCCTATAAGCTCTATTTCAAACTCAACGCATGATCACACAGGTGCGTAGTATACCGTATCTTTGCAATTCAGGCTGAGATACGACTTATATACAGCACTTGGCCGTCAAGTGCATTCCGTTATTGAAACGCCCTCATCGCTCAGTCTTCCTCACCCAGAGGACATATCCAACGCTTCCCTCTTCACCTCGCCGCTTGGTGAAGGCATGGAAACGCAACATAGCCTACCGCCGATAGCGCATTTAGTCACATCACCTACGTTGGCGGCACCGACAAAACCCAAGCCTCGGCAAAGGAAGCGAGCCCCCGGAGCTGCACCTGGCGACGAAGATTGGTCCGCGCAAGACAAGTCATGGGACCTTGCGCCTTCTGATAACAACGAGCCTCCATTTATTCCATCAGCCCTCAATACGACCATAGATGCCACAAATCCTTATGAGAGCACCTCTGCGTCCAACCCATCATTCTTTGCTGATGATTTTAATCTCTCTGGTATTGCAGAACGCGCTAAGATGCGCTCGCGTAAATCGCGCGAGAAGGCCTCATCCAAGCCTCCATTACAGTCCACAGATATTATCGAGCTCAGCTCCGATGATGATGACGAGCTGAATATCAGGCCATCCAAGCGTCAGAAATCCCCAGAGCCCAAGGCGAAGCCGAAACCTAAGCCGAAACCAAGGCAGAAGAAAGTTGTGGTAGAACCTTTGCCATCCTCTCCCACCCATTTGCCACCACCTCCCGATCACGTTAATATCTCGAGCTCTGTTACAGGGGACTTGCCACCTTCGTCGTTGCATATCCCGCCCTCCACAATTCCGTCTGGGCCTCCGTCGACACCTCCGTTGCCTCGCGCAAACTCGACTTCACCATCGCCATCACCTCAGCCGCTACCAACGCGAAAGCGAAAACGACCTCAGCCCTCTGCATTTGCGTCGGCTGACGAAATGAACATCACTGTGGAACATGACGCGTCCAAGGACATGGAATCACACCAAGTCAATTATTCGAATCTTGTGCCAGAATTATCCGTATCAGGGACCATCAACGACTCTGGCGTGGATTTGTCTGCTGGACCTTCAGTCAAGAATCCTTTAGCTAAGAAGACAGGTCAAACGAAAAATTCGGCGAAATCAACCACGCAGACCAAGAAAGGCAAGAAAGAGAAGAAAGGCAAGAAGATGCAAGTGGAAGTCGTAATTGAGTCACCAATAAAGCCCAAGCCACTGGCACATGAACGCGATGAGGAGCAAGATGCATGGAGCTCTCCACTGTCCTCGGACTTTGAGTCTGGTCTGGTCCAAAAGCGAAAAGGGAAGGTACAAAAACCTGACAAGGCTGTTACTCAGAATAAAAAGGCAAAGGCTGGCAAGAAAGGAGACAATAGAAAGAACAAAGGGAAACCACAAGCTGTAATATCAGAGGATGAACAAGAGCTAGAGATACCTGCTCCTGTTCAAGAGGCGGCGCCACGTTCATCAGAGAAGAAATTTACCAGCCGTGGGGATGAACAGCATCGCGAGCTTGAAGAAAGTCTTGCAGTTCAAAAGGTGGGTCGCGTAAATGATCACTGTAGCATGACTATTTAATCGTCCGCTAACTTGGTTCAGGAAAATCTGGGCCCGCAGGATCAAACATCTCTCTTTCAATCTGCCCCTCCCAAGCCGAATCCACCAAATGTACCGACCTCTGTTTCCAAGAGCACTCCGGCGCGACCTAAATCTACGCCGATGTCGGAACTTATTCGACGAGCTAACTCGCACCCAAGTTCCCCTTTTGCCAGCAGCTCGCGCGGGCGATATTCGCCCATGATCAAGTCTTCTCGATCCATGCTTTCGCGCATGGCACCGTTGCACCCTAATCGACGCACACCTCCACCTCCGCCGCCGCGTCCGCCGCCGCCAAAGAAGAGTAAGAAGCAGCTTCAGATGGAAGAAAGGATTGAAGAGGAGCTTTCTGAAACCATCGAAGGATGGTCGTGCATGACAGATGAGGAGCGCAGAGACTTGAGACGGGCGAGGATAGATGCCGAGTTGGGATTCGACGATTGAGGCGGACAGCCCTGGGTCTTGATTATGCTGATTATTCTTAATTTATTCGTTGCAATAATCATGATTATCGTGGATCTTCCCCTTGTCATACGTTCCATCTTGCGTGTACGTTAAGTCTTTTCAGCACAACAGCGATGCTCAGCGCGATCGTCATGACCACGTGGAACCTCGAGTGCAAGCTTGTCGTGGCTGTGTGCATTTCGTCTCATCCCGTCTCCTCCGCCTTCGCCGCGAAAGATCGAAGTTTCTCCAGTCACACAGGCATCAATATTCAATCTGCGCCGGCATTGTACATTTGTAGGATTAACACTTCCACGAAGCTTTCCCTTTGGTCCTCGAACTCGTCACGATGGCTCTTCCTCCGGCACTACTTAATGCTCTGGATACCCTCAAGGACCAGGCAAAGGATGCGCTATGGGCTCTCTCATCCTGCATGTGCCAGCAATCTGCCAAGGTTAAGATCAATGGGCGGTCATGTGAGTGCTGCAAGCCATATCAACCCTCTTGACGAACTTGACTGACTTGTGACTAGTCAATATTATCAAGGTGCTAGGAGAGGGTGGATTCTCGTTTGTATACCTTGCTCAGGATGAGTCAAGCGGCGTACGAAGTGCTGTTTCTTGCTTGAACCCCAATGATCTCATGATAATTGACAGAGGCAATTTGCGCTTAAGAAAATAAGGTGTCCGACGGGATCTGACGCGGTGAAAGAGGCTATGCGTGAAGTGGAGGCTTACAGACGGTTCAAGTGAGTTTCACTTCTTCGTGATATAACTGGTAAGCTCTTAAACCTGCCTGACAATGCCAGACACCCAAATATTATTCGCATCCTGGTCCGTTAGCATTCAGCCCGCCGGGTGTTTCCCTAACAAGTATAACAGGACTCTGCAGTCGTGCAAGATCCCGAAGGCGATGGGAAAATTGTCTACTTGTTCCTTCCACTCTACAAGGTAAGATGCCAGCCTTACTGGTGCTCACGGTTGCTGACTGCTGGTTCAAGCGAGGAAACCTACAAGATGCAATCAATGCCAATGTCGTGAATGGCAGTCATTTTCCCGAACAAGACATGGTCCGCTTATTCAAGGGAACTTGTGAAGCCTTGCGCGCCCTGCACAACTACCAGACCACTGTCGGTGCTCAGGCAGCATCAAAACAGAACACCCAGCCGCAGCCTTCCTCGTCACGCCAGACTGCATCGCCTGCACGCCATTCGGATGATGAAGATGAGATGTTCCCGCACCCTGAGGGTGACGGTGAGGGTGGATTCTCGTACGGATCTTCCGTGAACGTACCTCTCATGTCAAAGCACCGAGTGGAGGATGAGGGTGATGCTATCTTTGAGGGCGATGAAGAGGTATCACGTATTGAGCATGCTCAGAACGGGAATGAGAATGTTGGTCAGAAGCAGCATGTACCATATGCCCACAGGGACCTAAAACCAGGGTAAAGCACTTGTTCGTGCATTTACTCTGACACTGATTTCCGCAGAAATGTGATGATTTCGGATGACGGGATCACTCCGATATTGATGGACTTCGGGAGTTGCATGAAAGCACGGGTACGGATTGAAAACAGATCACAGGCTTTACTCCAGCAGGTACGTTGGGCAACATTCCACGGGTTGATCAGTGTTCACAAGTCCTTAGGATATCGCCGCCGAGCAAAGTACCATGGCCTACAGGGCCCCCGAATTGTTTGACGTCAAGACTGGCGTAACGCTAGACGAAAAGGTTGACATTTGGGTAGGTGTACTGCTCAGCTACCTGGAATCGAGTGACACGGAATCTGTTTTAGTCACTTGGATGCACCTTGTTTGCTCTCGCTTATTCGCATTCTCCATTTGAGAACATGCAAACTACTGAACAAGGAGGGTCGATTGCCATGGCTGTTCTCAACGCAAAATATAAGCATCCTCAATCTGCTTACTCGCAAGGGCTTCGTGACTTGATAGACAGCATGCTGAAGGTGGACCCTAAGGACCGACCGGATATCCATCAGGTATACTTTGATGTGTAGCACGCTTTCCTAAGACAGTTTACACTGACATCTTCTTAGGTTCTTGACATGACCGACAAGGTACTGCAAACTTTGGCGTAAGCGAGGACAGATGCAGGGACTATCTAGTTGGGACATTCAGACGTATTTATGTGTTACCCCTCTCCTTCTGTATTGTCATAGGGCCATTTCGGAATGACACAATAGACTAATCCTACATAGGAATAACGGAAAAGTTGATCTACGTGCTGGACTTCAGCTTCATCTTGAACTTCTTTGATGAGGTAGGCGTCCTTTTGGCGAGGACCTTTGAAACATTGGCAGGCTTCTTAACCAATTCTGACTTTGCTTTGGGCTGTTTTGACGGTTTTGTTGGCGACTTTGAGTCTGATTTGACGTCTTCGACCTTCACAGTCGTCCGAGGCCTTTTCTTCGCGGACGTCGTTTTGTCTCGTGCAGAAGCATCCTTCACTGACTTTACCTTTGATTTGGTGGTTTGAGATGACTCTGCTGGTTCAATGGGTTCGTCTGCCAAAGGCGTGTCAAGTTTTGTGTTCTTCCCGCTTTCTTCCTGTTTCTTGAGTGCGGAACGGGGCTTCTCATCGCCCTTATCGGAGTGACTCGATGCACTACCCTTAGCTTCTCGCTTGGCCATCGCCTTAGTTTTGAGCCTTTGGTGAAGTTTCCGTTTCTCCAAGACGGCCTCCCGCTTGGCAATCTGACAACCTAGAGTCAATATGTGGTACGAAACAAGACCAAAAACGACGAACACGTTTGAGAGCCCGTTTCGATAGCTTCTCCGGAGTAGTTGCTTCAATGGCTTGTCCTCTTTCAAACTCTTGTACGTGTACAAGGTCCCAAGCATCGCTCTGAGGGTCTACCTTGGTAGCCTCTTGTTTGAACTTTTCGAAACGCTTCTTATGAATCTAGACGAAGTTCATAAGTTGGTTGACGGAGGGAGAAATGATGGACCACGGGAACACGAACGCACATACTCTTGAATCCTTGTGAACATTGATCATTTGTACATTTTTAATTTGTTTGCCCTTGCAGAGGATGCATGCACGGAGCTCAGGATCTAAAGAAATGACATAGATAGGATCCTTGAGGGCCTCCTCGACGGATATTGGCGGTTCGTCATCAGCATCATCCTCAGCAATCTCGCCATCAGCATCGTCGCTGGGAGGGTCTCCTTCTGACGCATCTTCGTCTGCATTTTCCTCCTCCGAGTCCTTCTCATCAGAGTCAGAGTCCGTTTCGTCTGAGTCGGTATCTTGAACACCAAGGACTTCCTTCATCTCCTCGTCGAGGCCGAGATCTTCTTCTTCTTCCTTTCTCTTCCTCTTCCGCTCTACTCTCTTGAACATGATGAGAGGCTGTAGCTTGTCTGGGACTCGATCAAGGGAAGGTAGGGTCGCGTGGGTGGAGGATCGACCCGGAAGCTCCGGGAAAGTACTTCCGTGACAAAATTTGCACAGCCACCGCAACATTGGCTTGCGTCCAGCCATGCACCGTTCCTCTCGCTCAGTTCTCTCGGATATAGCACCTCGGCTCGTCGCAAGTACACGCTCATCGCCATGTCAGCAACAAAGGTTCAAGCACGTATCCAAGGTCGCACCAAAGTTGCTCTCTGAGGAGGAATGGAATGACACTACCTCCACCATGAAAAAACTCGCGAAGCAGGCGACGCGTTATAAGGACAACGCTCGCGATGATTGGTCGCATACGCGCACGCGTCGTGGCGAAGAGAGGAGGCTGAGAGATGCGGTCTTGACGCGGCGCCCGCGCAAGCAACCTGTCAAGAAAAAGTCAACGCCAGCAGAGGAGGAAGCGACGCCCAAGTCAGGCGTGTCGTCGGTCAAACTTGGTACATTTGTTGACATACGGAAGTGAGTTGACTCGAGTCTATCTTGTCTTCTTCGCCTCGCCTAACGATTTGACAGCGACGCGGGTGTCTCGCATGGTATCATCATCGGCGAAGCTATCTTTGATAGACGAAACTTCGTCTTCAGTCTGTTGGCCACGGGGGATGTCATTCAGCACACAGAACAAGATATATTCGTTGCCGTTCCTGGTATCGTTCCCTACGATACTGCCGCTCGCTGTGGCTATCACACACAGCCAGGTGACCAGACACAGGTAAATGCGAGGGTGACGGTCCTGAAGCGCCTTCGAGAACTCGATAATATGGTCACGAGAACACTAACCGCATTTCCAAACGACCAAACGTTTCTGCATCGCTCTCTTCGCTCTCTGAACCCGGATGATTGGACACAAGTTAAATTGCAGGATGCCGTTGGGAAGATGCACTTTCAAATGTTCAAACAACCTCCAAAGGAGCACGACTATGTGTTCACGCTCGCTGTGCATAGATACATGATGAGCCACCCCGAACTCTTCATTCCTCATCCTAGTTTCCACCGGATGCTTCAGACATTCGACGTACGCCCTCAGTCGCATGTTGAAAAGCTACAGGTAGCCACCGACCTGCTTCGGCGACGCGACCCAGCATTTGACGACTTCATCAAGAAGGCAAAAAAGATCATGGAGGCGAGAAATGATCTCGCTCATTCTACCTGGCATGAACCGCCTTCTCGCGTGGAGCATCCAGAAATTGCCTTTACACCCGAGGACCGTGCCTTCTTGGATGTTATACGATTTGCCATTCCCAGGAATCGTGGCACGCCGTTCAATCCCTATATTACAGCCGTTACACGGATTGTGAAGGCGCTCGATTTCACCGACAGTGCCATTACCGATACGGTGATGAGAAACCTTCTGGTGGCGCTGGGCGAGATGGCTCCCTGGGACGACTTTCCATCTCGGGAGCGATTCCAAGGGCTAGATCTCCAGGGCGAGAGTACTCAGGCGGCTGCGGACAACCAGTTGATTGAAAGGAAATTATCCAAGCTTTCTACCACGTCCCCACCCTCAACAGCTTCTACTGTTCTTGGTCCGGAAGATTTCTATCCTCGGGATCCGGTTGACCACCTTCGTCATGACTTTGGAAATCTCCCCGTCTACGTGGTTGATGATGTGACTGCAGAAGAGCTGGATGACGGGCTGTCTATAGAACCAGACCAGACAGACCCTGGTGCTGTTTGGATACGCGCTCATATTGCGGACCCCACTTCCCTTCTCCACCCCACTCATGTCTTCTCCGAGCGCGCGAAGAAGGCTGGGTCAAATCTTTACTTCAATCAGGGCACTTTTAACATGCTTCCTCCTGCACTTGGCAAGCTTCGCCTCAGCATGGGCACGCTTGCGGCAAAGGGTGAACCAGATCGTGTGCTTACGTTCAGCTACAAGGTGGACGCCACTGGCAAGGTAGTTGACTACGACGTCCGAGCTGGGCTCATTAGAAATATTAGGAAGATCAGTTATGCTGAAGTCGACCGGATTCTTGACTACGGATATGTCCCCACCCTACGACCTTTTGAGCCTAATCCCAGTCCCCCTGTGGTACCAGACATCGTCTATCCTCCCTCTATGGTTCAAGACCTCAGTCTACTGGGCGATTATTCCAAAAGGATAGTGGAACACAACAATAAAGTCCTCAATCCGCTGCTGTTCTTGATACCCCAAGCTCGCGTCAGCTCCACGCCAAAGCCACTACAAGGCGCACCCATAAATTCCTATAGGCCTTCACTCTTCAGCGGATTCCCTAGCATGACGTACGAGGTTGGCAATCAAGCCACAGACATGTGGGGTGCGCGGGGGATTATTAGCGAGTGTATGAAACTCGCTTGCCGCGCTGCTTCTCGCTGGCTGGCGGACCGTAACATCCCTATGCTTCGGCGTGTATCTCCGCCGCCGCTCATGTGGGATCCCGATGCCCTTAATGTTGTAGAAAAGACACGCGATGCAAATGGGTTTGTGGACTACTTTGCGGCTCTCCGAGCGGACATGTACATACCACCGGTCAAGTACTCGCTTGAGCCTGGCATGCACTGGAGCTTGGGAATACCACAGGGCGAGGGCTACGTCCGGGTCACGTCACCTCTCCGGCGCTACACGGACATGGTCGTGCACTGGCAAATCAAGCACGCGATGCTGAACCCAACGGCGCAGCCACTCTTCTCGCGCGAGTGGCTTGAAGACTTTGGGCGGCGACTGATGCCGCTGGAGCGCGAGCAGCGCAACCTGCAAGGGGGGAACCAGATGCAGTGGGTGATGATGTATCTCAAGCGTTGGATGGAAGACCCGAATGCGGATCCGGGACGGTATAACCCGCTGGAGAAATTGACGGGGCGCGTCATGGGCCGAGTGATGGTGAGCACGAGGAGACAGGAGCATCACTGGCAGGTGCTGGTACCCGAGCTGGGAGTGGTTGGACAGTGGCTGCATCGTGAAACGTATCGAGGGAAGGAGTACGAGAAGGGCGACGAGGTGCCGGTGCAGATTGCTGACATTCAGATCGGAGAGAAGGCAAGGCTCGTTCTGAAACCGAGATGATCATCTCATGCAGGTGTTGTGGTCGTACGCACTCACAGAGGGAGGTTGGGTATATCTAGATTATTCTACGCCTCTGTATATAGTTATGATACTGATTCGCCGACCATATAGTCGACTTAATGAACAAACGCCTCTCAGCTTTTCTATGGGAGAACAGATTAGCCGTATGGGCTGATTGGGAAGAATAGGATGACGTGACGTTGATAATGGCGCCACTCAGTCTGCAAACACCAACTTTTCTATCGCTTCCAAAATTATAGGTATGAGCAGATTGTGTCTTAGTACAACGGAAGCCGCTCGGAGTGTTGACGCGTTGACGATTTGTGGATTATGCCAGCCGACGGAAGCAATACTAGCGTGATATTGAAGCGCGTCAGTGGTGGTACGATATTTTTGTGCGGGTTAAAAGACTGAGTTCGCGCGTTCGTCTGTCCTCTCACGACGCAACGATGAACAGCTCTCTGCCCATCATCCAGGGGCACGTCGCCACCGCCCTCCACGTCGCACAGGACTATGTCGTCGCTAACCCCATACGCTGTGCTGTCCTTGCCGTCCTCTACTCCCCCATCATTGCAATTATCCTCAATGTTCTGAGGCAAATCGTCAGTCATCTCTTCTTCATGTGAAAACTTAAGTGGCTAATGTAACTATGTAGGTCATCCCCAAGGACCCTTCGCTGCCACCCGAAGTGTTCCACTGGCTTCCTATCGTTGGCTCAGCAATCCAGTACGGTAGCGACCCTCTCAACTTCTTCTTCAAGTGCAGAGAGAAGGTTTGTGGTCTTGTGTACTGTTTTTATTGATGCATATTCCTGACTCGCCTGCTATCAGTATGGCGACGTCTTCACCTTTGTCCTCCTCGGTCGCAAAATCACGGTTGCTCTTGGAAACAAGGGAAATAACTTCGTCCTCGGTGGCAAGCACACCTCGTTCTCGGCAGAGGACGCATACACTGTAAGGCCGTACTTTCCGTCCAGTTATCGCTAGCTTATACCGTGGCCAGCACCTCACCACCCCGGTCTTCGGCAAAGATGTCGTGTACGACGTTCCCAACGAAGTCTTCATGGAGCAGAAGAAGTTTGTCAAGTTCGGACTTTCAGCAGACAACCTACGCAGCTATGTCGGCATGATTGAGGACGAAGTTGAGGAGTTCATGAAGAACGATGGCAGCTTCTTGATCTATCAAATGAACGATATCAACGAATGGGGTCGTTTCGACGTCACTGAGGCCATGTCCGGGCTCACCATTTTGACGGCTTCGCGCACGCTCCAGGGCAAGGAAGTTCGTGATGGCCTTAACAAATCGTTCTCTGAGCTGTACAATGACCTCGACGGCGGATTTACACCTCTCAATTTCATGTTCCCCAACCTTCCTCTTGAGAGCTACCGTCGCCGCGACCGTGCTCATGCGAAAATGAGCCAATTTTATGTTGACATCATCAACAAACGCAGGGAAGGAAACTCGGATGTGTGTTCATCTGCATTATGCGTTCCTTCATCATTGGTTAATTGTTTTTACAGACCGACCACGACATGATTGCAGCTCTCATGGACCAGAAGTACCGTGATGGCAGGTCTCTGCGTGATCACGAGATTGCCCACATCATGATTGCTCTTCTCATGGCCGGCCAACACACCAGTTCTGCTACTAGCTCGTGGGCGCTTCTCCACATTGCCCACGACCAAGCCGTCCAGTAAGAACCTTAGTTGTTGCGCGTACGACTCCTCCCTGACCATTTTTCAGGAAAGCGCTTTACGAGGAACAGGTCAAGTACTTCGGTGCTGGTGAAGGCAAGTTCCGCCCTCTCACCCATGAAGAGCTCCGTCAACTCCCTATTCTGGACTCGGTCATTCGCGAAACTCTTCGCATGCACCCTCCGCTGCACAGTCTGATGCGCAAGGTTCGCGAAGATGTCCCGGTCCCTCCTACGCTCTCTGCTCCCTCCAAGGATGGCACATACGTCGTTCCCAAGGGTCACTTTGTCCTTTCCTCCGCCTATGTCAGTCAAATGGATCCCCTTGTCTGGTCGAAGCCCAACGATTTTAACGCTGCTCGGTGGAGCGAACCCGACGGTGCTGCGGCGGAAGCCTTCCGTGTATACAGCGATGAGACTGGCGAGAAGGTCGACTATGGTTTCGGTGCTGTGAGCAAGGGTACGGAAAGTCCATACCAGCCGTTCGGCGCTGGCCGGCATCGGTGCATTGGCGAGCAGTTCGCCTACCTTCAGCTTGGCACAGTCATTTCGACCATCATTCGCAAGGTCGAGCTCCGGCTCGAGAGCGACAAGGTTCCAGATCACAATTACCACGTAAGTTACTAAGTACTATATGCTACACCCAGCTAACGTTCATCCTTGTAGACCATGATTGTGATGCCCAAGAAGCCGCGTAACATCTGCTACAGACGACGGAACTTCAACTGAAAAGACAGGTGTTGCTGAAAATTAGATATACTATACCATACTAGAGTACTACGTTTTTATTACGAGTTAGATATCCCGGAATATTATGATGCTTTGAGCACAAGTTGGTATTTGGGCAATGGTCATTATATCGATTTAGGAGAGTTTGCCAATTAAAGTAGACTACCGGTGCTGGAGCCAGCGCAGTCCGTTTGCTGCGACGTTCGGCAATTTCCGGTGTCCAGTCGGTGTGGTCATACCGTCTGAAGGCGTCGGCAGTTGACAAGAGACAACTCAGCCTCAACGTCGTCCACTAAGATGGCGTCCCTATTTCCAGTCATTCTCTTGCTGGCTGTTGTCGCCGGGTTGATGGTGTGCAGCTTCCTATTTGTGCCCAAGGGACCCCAGCAAACGTATGTCTCTCGACGCTGCCGGTGCTCGACGAGTTGGACTAACTGCGGTGCTTGTGCAACGCGCGTAATCTACAGGCTGTACCGGACATCGCTCATGCTTGCCCTCGGGTCGTGCTATCTCATGTGGATGATCACATACCTCGCCCAGTTGCACCCTCTAATTGGTGAGTAGCTCGGCCTCCGTCGCCATTGGTGTCAGCTCATCCATTTTGGGAACTGTAGCACCTCAGATGAAGGTTGAGCCAGTCGAGTAGTGATTGAGGATAAACTGCAGGCGCCCCTGCCTAGGCAGAGAGACGTATATACCATGTGAGCCTGGGCAATGTGTTCTGTCTCATTGCTGCGACTGATGCTGTTGGCAGCATTGTAGCTTGTACATGTCACCTAATTTGCGCACTTCGTTTGTCTGGATTGTGCGTACTGAGAATGAATAGGACAAGTCCATCGAGTCCATGGTGAATCGGAGAGTGGGATACTACTACAATTATGGTATGTTCTATGGTAATACATCTAGCTAGGTTCTTCTCTCGTTCGTGACACCTCCAAGTCTACCTCCAAGTCATCTCCGTTGTTATCTTGTGCTACACCCTTCCAAAGTGGGCCATTATCGCCGTCTTCGTCTTTCACCTCGCTGTTCCCCCATTGACCCCATTGCTTGGATGAATCTTCTTCGTCGACGACAGCTCCCTGCCCCCAACCGGCCTCGTTTGACCATGGGTCCTTCTCTCCACCTTCCCAAGGATTATCCTTGCTGGAATCTTCTGTCTCCGATATCCAAGTAGGCTGCGGTACCTCCCAATCCTCTTCCGGCCTGACTTCGCCTCCTGGTCCGACATGCGACCACTGCTGCGATAGCTCCTCCGAATCCGCCTCTGATGAGGCCCATTCGTGGGTTGACGACCGTCGTATTGCACCTAGTCTGTGAACCACCCAGTCTCCAACGCCTTTCTCCTCTTCCGTGAGGAGCTCGAGTCGGGAGTTGGCCTCAATGGCCTCGGTAAGCAGGTCCAACGAGCCACCGCACAGCGGGCCAATTCCATCGGAAAACCAGATTTCCTGTAGCCGAATGTGCGTCTCACCAGGCACATCGAATTGCCGCGTTACTTCGTCTGCGATCTCCTCCAAGGAGCCTGGTGTCCCCACCCGTTCGTGGACGACGTATTGGTGTGTGATCAGCAAGCGGTGCTGTTCCATGGCTCCTGCCACTGCTTTCATTTCCTGTTTCTTTTCCTCGCGCTGTAACTGCACGCTCTCGTCGAGATTACTCTCATCGATGCGTCTGAATTCCGCCACTTGGGTTGCCCCTCCGATGTCTTGGTCGCGTCCCCATTCATCCGTTTCGAGCGCGTAACCAATGGTGTCCAGGCTGACTTCGTATCCCCACTGCTCTGCCACACAGGAACACCACTCGGTGAATTCCTCAACGGTCCACTCGAACTTGTGGTCTGCGTGCCTGAAGATCCGGTCAGTGCGCTTAGTTGGGTCCGGGTAGCCACCAGGTCTTGGAGCGTCGGGTGGTGCGAACCGCGCGTTGAATGCGTATGAAGGTGTGGTGATGAGTAGAAGGCGCGGGCGGTACACGCCAAGAAGCACGGGTGCAAATGCTGCGAGCGCCTCGTCGGCGAGGTGCTCAACGCTGAGTGGGGGGCTGTTCAGACGCGAGTTACAACGCAGCGGAGCAGGACTTACACCTCCGTTGCGATGATGCAGTCTGCGCCGACGAATTCGGGGTTGACCACCTCCAGCGCGCCGAGCCAGAGCTTGACTTCGAGCGGCTCCCAGCGCGGGTAGGGCGTGTTCAGGCCCGGGGCGGTCTCTTCTGCGGCGTAATTGAGTTCTTGTTCTAAGATGTCGAGACCGGCGACATGGGAAGGGTGCAAGTTGCGCGGGTCGTTGCTGGTCGAGGGCACGTCATCGTTCGCGCGATCCGTCTCGGTCTTGGAGGCGAGCCATGGTGCAGGTTGACAGAGGGTGGCGAGAAGTTCCCCATTGCCACACCCGATGTCAAGGATCTGCAACAGGGGGTTCAATAGTGATGGATGGGTGTTGGGCGGAGACTGACCGAAGCCGGCTGCTCTCGCCTGAGAACGCCAATGATCCATGCCCGCCTCTGGAGATGGAGCGGAGGGAAGAACGTGACTTTGAATTCGGGTGTTGAGCTCATGGAGAGCCGCTACGTATACGTAGGATATTGCGAGCTACGTAGATGAACTTAACGTCACCTTTCGGATAGTGGCTGCCCTCCGCATCCATGAACCCACGATGGCGCACACCGAAAGTGGGACTATCCGCGTGAACTGGCGCAAGGACTATTATTAATATCATAATCGTATACTCTTTACCGACACTACTTGCAATGCAAATAAATTAGCTACAACAATCTGACAGGGCTAACCAAAACGTTCACAAGTCATCGCCAGCCGACGTGGTGAAACACAACAAAAGAAAGGTATGCACTATAGTTCTACAAGCACTGGGAATCCACATGTGGTGGTATCAATAGCAAGCTGCAAGCGAAAGTAAATCTCATCCTTGAGCTGTCATTAAACGAGAGCAGCCGACTGCAAGTATCCTCGGAATATCGAATCGCGAACTGGTAAAAAATATGGGTTATTATGCCGAATTGTTGACGATCGACAACACGATGTACGTACCATTGCCTATGATACTCTGAGTGGCTTTGGTGTCCTAAAAAGATCGGTTCAGTACGGACCGCAACGTGTTAGCGACATCAAAGGAGCTTACCACGACGCTGGTCAGGTGAGTGTACAATACACGCCGGTTCTCGTTATTCCGGCGGTGGACTTGCAGGAAGTGTGCACGGAAGTATTGCACGACGGCGTCGTATTCGTTTGGTCGATCGCCGTAGGAAAGAATGCTGTCGTCAGGCCACAGGCCATCAGCGTCTAGCTTCGCATAATCAGAGGATGCGAGACGCACTATTTGGCGACCGGAATACCCCTCTCCAACTTCTTTCTCAGGATATCTGTCTTGTCTGTACGACAGGGGTGAGAGTATGTCCGGGTAAACTATCAAGAGACAAAAGGTACGCACTCAAAAACAATACCAAATGAACCTTCTTCAGTAACGGATTCGAGCATATCTGGGTAAACAGCTGCAAGGAGTCGTCGATCCGGTTCGTTCGTGGGTCCTCTTCCAGGTACTGGAAACAGGAGTGGCGATCAGCGACGGGGTCCGGCGGTTCTGATGACATTTGTGATGGGAATCGTACCTGATCAAATGCGCTGATGGGGCTGACAAAGATAATGGCGTTGGCGTCGTCAAAGTAGGGTACCCACGAATGGCGTTGGCCCCTCGCACCACCCACGTCATATAAGTGCCATGTCACAGTTTTACCATGGATGTCCACGTCAAAGATGTGTTCCGCAACGCCCATTGTCTGGATACGAGCGTGGAGAATATCATCTGCAAAATTGTGAATTTCTGCACAAATTATTGCAATTTATTACAACGAACGTACCGACGGTTGGAACGTAATTCCGTGCTGAAATACGTCCAATGTCATTCAAGAAGCTGTAAGAGGATCTGTAAGCATCATAATAGCCCATGTATGCGTGTACATACAACTCCGACCACTCGTCCAGCTTCAGCTTCCTGGTCCCAATGAGCGCCTTGACGGTGGGGTGATCCCAAAGCGTCCTGATATCTTCGCGGCATTGATTAAGCATGGTGGCGATATCGTCGGCGAGGGGGTCGGCTTCAACTGCCGATAATGCTGTGTCAGAAGGTCCAGCGGTTAGCTCCATACTCTCGAGACTCCGTCTAGACCGGCGACCCAGCATCTTCTGACCTTTTTGAATTGTACGTGCTTGCCAGCCGCTGCGGACGAAAACCTCTCCCTTGCCTGAGCCAGCGACATTAACACCACCGCTGAGGCGGTCAGCCAGCTGAGCCTCGGTATTAGTTAGAGGCATGAGACGCCTGCGAATATCGGCGATGGCAGCGAGCCCTAGACGGGAAGGGGAGGAAGCTCGGGTACCGTTCGGCGAAACGGGAGGAGAGGGAGATAAGGCAACACCGATCTGAGAGCTGGTGACACTGGAAGGAGAAGCTGTTCGAGGAAGGTCATCATAAAGCTCTTGACGGTCTAAGATACTGAAAGTCCGAACCATCATCATTTTCCTCCCATGATTCAAGGGTTGTCAGGATCTTCCTCAGGGAGCGAACGATGTTGAAATAGACGACTGTGCGCCAGGACATGCGCTCGCTCTCGAGGGAAGCGGGAGAGTACATGAGCTGAAATTGCTTCTGGAGGGTGGACTTTCCGGACTCCGCCTGGCCCAGGAGGAGAAGCTGGGTAGTGATAGATTCAGGGATAAGCATACATGTGAGAAAAGAGACAACTACGCGTGTCATGGGTATTGGGAAAGATAATTACCTTGACGTCGCTCTTGTTTTTCTTGAGTCTTTCTCGCTCGATCCTGAGCTCCTCGTCAATCTGCTCAGAGATACGGCGTGCGTCTGACTCGCTCTGGAGTCTGGCGACGCGCTCTGCATCTGTCTCCGACTCTGGGGGGAGCATTGCGAGGGAGAGGGGATCATCTGTGCTGCGAATGGATGAGGTACGCATCATGGTAGGGAGAGAGGTGAGAGAGGAATCGGCGAGTCGGGAGCGGGAACGGGGAGACGGGCAAGTTTGGGGCAAGTCAGCGCCTTCAAAGGCGAAAGGGAGCACGGCTGATTGCTATATCCTATGTACTTATGTAATAAGATAAAGATATAAGATGAATATTATAATTGCTTCGGAATTTATTACGACTCGCATACAAGCACCTGCAGCACAGCTTTTTATGACTTTGTTCCATGGACGATGGTCTGTCCGTCCACTTCTGCATGTCCCGTCTCTCGACTAACAACAATCCCTCCCCTCCCAGTCGGTCACACTACACACCACCCATGGGGAACTCAAGGAAAGTCTCTATCAATGCTCTTTTGGACCATCACTTGACGCGTCGTTTATCACCTCAGATCGAGATATTTTGTGAGGCAGTACCAAAAACCGCAGAGGTCCGTCTGCAGTGCTATGCCGCTCCATCACGCGCCCGGCAACACTTCGCCAATCTTTTGATGTCTCTTCGACTAACATGACTCAAATATTGCCTGCAGAACTTTTTAGCCCTATGTGCATCCAATTACTACGACGATTCCCTCTTCCACCGCAATATCAAGGGCTTCATGGCCCAGACCGGTGACCCCTCGGGCTCCGGGAAAGGTGGCCAGAGCATATGGGGCAAGCCCTTCGACGATGAAATCCGGTCCACGCTCAAGGTACGCTCCTCACGATTGGTTGTTCAACTGTTGTCCTTTGTCGCCTCAGTTCGCACACTTCCTGGACGCTAACTACTTGGACTTCGGTCAGTTCAATGCCCGAGGAATGGTCGCTATGGCGAACTCTGGCCCAGATACCAACAACTCACAATTCTTCATCACCTATGCCAAACAGCCTCATCTTGACGGCAAGTACACTATCTTCGGTAAGGTCATAGACGGCGCCGACTCTACCCTTGACGCCATCGAACGGGTCCCGGTCAATAACAAAAATCGACCCCTCTCTGAGGTCAAGCTCATCAATGTTCGTCTGTCGCGCACGCTATGGTTACGTCTTATATTGAGCTCCACTCTCAGATAACGATACACGCGAACCCGATAGCGGATGCAGCGCTCGCATCACGATGACACGAGACATCGGGTCATCGGCCCCTCCACCCAGGGAATCTGGCCACCTCACGGTTGATGGGCGTGTCGATCACCGCTTAATAAACCCGACAAGCTCCTTCTGTAGCTCTCTTTGCCTCCGCGCCTTTTCCAGGTCATCCACACTACGTAGATCGTATACGATATCACGTGTCTTGTTAAAGTACACCTGTCAATTGAGACCAGCGTCAATGGACCTGTCAAGACCAGAAGTCACAGGCACTTTACCTCTTGCAGCAAGTTGCGCATCTTGATCTCCATGTCTTCGACCATCCGACCCGTGTTGGAGACATGCGAAGACGAGTCTTGTAAGGGCCAATCCTGTTCGATCTACACACGTTCCACTTGTTAATTAGTTCCTCAATATTGGACGTTGTGATCATCAAACCTGTCGCGTCATACTTCCGCCCAAGGTGACTTCACCATTTCTTTTCCATGATCCCAATTTTTCCTTGGCCTGTGCAGAAAGGCTACCATCACCGGACTCATCCGAATTTTGGCGAGTGACAAGCTGCAGCATGATCGTTGACGTCAGCTTGTAATGCGCTTGTCGTCCTCGCTCGGATGCCTCGAAGACATGGATGGAGTCCCATGTGCCGGCGGGCTCATCATTGTTCGTGGGGTTCATGACTGCGGTGTGCCAATGTCAAGGTCGATAATTCGAAAAACGTTTTGTGTGATTGCCAGCAGGGAGATAACACAGGTTTAAACAGCAAGGACAGCTCACCTTTCTTGAGCAAGATTACTCCGGCGAACCCGCCATCGTCCAAGTCCCAAAGATACACGGAGGAAACGCCGCCCTCAAAGTACCTGGGTATATGAGTAAGTCCAAGGAACACCTGGGCGTCTTATATCACTCCCGTACATCTCGCGATAAGTATCGAATGCCTCGTTGGCTGTGATCTCGAGCTTGCGGAGTTTGGGAGAGGGTGTAGTGCCATCATCAAGCGGAGGCTCGTATTCGTTTGACCATGGCGAGCTGATACGAGGTAGAGGGATAGATTAACATGACTAGCCACAAGAGCGCAAAGTTAAGGGAGCGTGAACGCGTCGATCAGGCCACACCAGAAAGAGGTCATACATGCAGCCCGATCGCGAAAAGCAGACATAGACGCGCACCGATAGCTCTCTCCATCCCTGTTGTAGTCGCAGGCTAGATAGTCGCGCCCAGTTGCGCGATCCGTCCTAAGCTGGAGGGGCTGATCTACGCTGCCCAGGAGATCGTCTGCGTAGTCCGGACAGATGTCAATCAATGCTTGGACGTTCTCCTCCACCCGTGTTGGCGGGAGACGACGCATGAGGTCGAGCATTGAGTCCACTATATCACCCATGGTTGAAATGGATGCTTGGCGCAAGAAGGTAGAATGTACTTGAGGTGTGTGGTGCTGGGTCACTGCGACTGGGGTAACAGCCACTCAGACCAGAAAGGGAAGTATCGCTGGACGATGCGATGTTGAGTTAAACTCCCATTGATACGATTCGGACACAAGTCACTTTGATAGAATAGCAAAGTACATCCAGATTTTTGGCGTCAATATATGCGAGTGTGTAGGGTATAATACATGAAGTTCGCAGATTCGACTGTTCTAACCTTCCATATCTTCATCGCCTCGGCAGCGTTGGTGCATGGTCTGACCCGCCATCTACATTGAACTGTGCCTCGAGCCTCCGAGCGAACTCCGAGTCAGTTTGAGATTGCCTCTCGCGCTCAGCACGCTCCCTTTCAAGCGCTTCTTCCCGTTCCTGTTCTCTTCGAGCGACCTCCATGTCTGCATCCTCTTGACGCCTCCGTTCCTCAGATGCCTGCATCTCCCTCTCCATCTCCTCCTGGGCCTGGCGGGCGAACGCCTCGTCGGCCTCCTCAATGCGACGACGTTCTGCTTGTTCGGCCTCCCATTGAGCGCGTGCAAATGCCTCGTCAGCTTCTTCTTGTCGTCGTCGCTCTTCCTTGCGCTTCTGCTCGGCCTCGATGATACGCTTACGCTCTTCTTGCCACTTGCGCTCCGCCTCTTCCTCGGCGCGCTTTCGTTCCTCTGCAACCTTGCGACGCCCCTCCTCTTCCGCTTTCTTTCGGGCTTCTTCCTCAGCCTTGATCCGCGCCTCTTCTTCTGCCCTACGGCGTGCCTCTTCTTCTGCCCTGCGGCGTGCCTCTTCTTCTGCCTGTAGACGTGCCTCCTCAGCCTTGCGTCGCGCTTCATCTTCTTCAGCCTTGCGACGAGCCGCTTCCTCCTCTTCTCGCTTCCTGCGCTCTTCCTCTTCTCTCTGTCTCTGTTCCTCTTCCTCCCTCATGCGCTGCTCCACCTCTCGGCGCATGCGCTCGCTCTCTTCGCGCTGCTGACGCTCCTCTTCTTCGCGCTGCTGACGCTCCTCTTCTTCGCGCCTCGCATGTTCCTCCGCTTCATGTCTCGCATGCTCTTCCTCCTGTTTTCGGCGTTCTTCCTCGCGCTTGCGGTTCTCTTCTTCTTGAGCGCCTGGAGGCAGAGGAAGGGGAGCCTGATAGCGTGGGTTATTTGCACGATCGGGCTCAGACGGTGTCGACTGATCGTTATAGACCGGGTATGCTCCAGGTAGGGCAGGAGATGCATTCCTATACTGAGGGGACAGAGAGGGTGGAGGGAGTGACCCTTGTGAATGCGGGGCTGATACAGGTGTATGCGTGAGTGGCATGGGCGAGTTTCCGCGCGAGTGGGCTGTGGATGGAGGGTACTGTCCGGGATAGCCATTTTGTCCATATTGAGAGGTGGCGGCTCGATATCCCTGATCCTGATACGGGGTACCATAGCCCTGTGAAGGTGGCGATGGCTCGCTAGCAGGTGGATTTATGGTTGGTACAGGGAAAGACAAAGGGCCCGTCGGCGCTGGCACTGGAGTAGTCCCGTATGGGTCAGCATCGGAAATAGGGTATGGGGCAGGGGGATAGGATGTTCCATAAGGATCGTTCGGCGGTGCCGAGCCAGCACCTACGTCATACGGCGAAGGAGGGTATACTGAAGGGGCGCGATACGATGTTCCATACGGGTCTACAGTTATGAGTTCAGGGGTCTGACTTGGCGGCGATTGGTATAATCCGGGCGTTGTACTCTGTCCCGAATGTCCCGGTCGAAGGGCTTCCGCTGTCAAGCTTGAAGGATGGCCTCCGTGACCAGCACCAGGTTTTCTTCCAGGGCGCAGAATAGTCGGCAAATGCGCCGGTTTGCCTGCGCCACGTCCTGAAACGGGAAGCGCATCTTTCTCTTCGGGTAATGGTGGCAGCTCTTCGTGACGATGCCCTACGCGTGGAGGGCTCGTTCCTCCAGGATGCCCAGCAGCTGGAAGCAGAGAGGCAGGGAGACCTTCATTCTTTGCTAGCACCGGTCGTGAATTGGGAGATGTTTGACGTCCTGCTTTAGGTGGAGCAGTGTTCTGAGGCTGAGTCTGTCCCCGCAGCGCAGCAAGCCTGCTGGCTCCAGGCGGTGTTGCACCAAGTGAAGGTGGTGCGAGTCTCTCGGAAGGATTAAGCTTAGATGGACGACGTTGCAGTGGTGGAGGGGCGTTAGCATAGTAGGTCATCTCGAGGTAGATCTCTCCGCGCTGTCCACCAGTCTCCGTTTCCAATGGTATCCAATCTACAGTGGATTCAGCTTACGAAAGGAACATAATAGAAACAGAAATGCATACCATCGAACTCGCCCGACTGTAAAGTATCCCTGACGTTAACTTTACCAACCCCTAGCAGTGGGTCCTTCTTCTTCGGTGCATCTGCAAAGACCGAGATCTCCAGAGTTCGATTCTTGTCATTGTCGTCCTGGAGGACGGGGAAGCGAAGCTCCTCATCCCAAGTAGGATGTTGGCCCCCCTTGGGATCGACCTTGGTGCGCTGAGTGGTTCCAACGAGCTCTACCTTGGCATAAGGGTCTTGTTTGTAGAATGTCGGTTGATGCAAATGGCGTGCTTTAAGGACCACCACCACCAGAGTGCCGATCTCTTTCGCCATGTGAGGGGGTAATGATACGGGGTATCTTCAGAGTCTCGTAGCTAGTATTGGAACTTAGATTGCTGCTTGATCTTTCGCTGATCGTTGGAAACACATGCAACTCACCAGTAGGGACTGTGCCTAGACAAGGAGGGCCAGAATGGAGAAGGTCAAGTGGAGAGATGATGAAGTGGTATGGACGGCCGAGTGAAACGGAACTACAAGGAAAAAGTATAGATCTGCCAAGACCATTGTTACCAAAATATCACAGGGTTTTATAGTGATATCATCGGTTGTTGGGGTAAGCTGTACTTGTTTTTTTTACATGGCGGCAGTGCTCCAGGGTCTCTGCCTTCACGGCCACAATTCCATGACTGCGCATACAGCCCCAGCGAGGGTTTGGACTATCTTTCGCAGTTTGAGTTTGACCGCAGCTGTAGTGATTGAACACCATTGGAACACCGACTCACACAGCGCTTACTCGGACCAGCTTGAAGTTGAATACCACATACGCGTCAATTACGCACAACATAAATAAGTTTAAGTTTAAGTATATAGCGAATAATTCTAAAAGTCAAACATCGCAAAGCGCTGAGGGAAATGATCAGTGGGTTGACGTCCCAATCTTATTCTGGGCATTCTGTATGTCGTCCAAGGAGATTGACGACTCGTCACACATCCCCCGGAAAATGCCATCAGTTTTTGCGTAGAGTGCATCCGGCGTGTCGAACTCCTATATTGGCGGCAATTATGAGCTCAGAAGGGCTAAATCATGAAGGAAAATATTACTTACCGCGATACGGCCCGAATCAAGGACACAAATCCTGTCGTACGAGATGATGGTCCTAAGTCGATCTACAAGGTCCCTGTCAGACACCTCTTGCGAACTCATGGAATCTACGTACGAGCAATGCAGAGGATAGTCCGACCACGGAACTCGGAGGCGATGGTGTCCTGGATCTTGCGATCCGTCTCATAATCAACCGACGCTAAAAGCATTAAACTGATTAGTATGGGATTCGAGCAGAAAAAAATGCTCCTCACCGGTCGCCTCGTCTAAAATCAAGATTTTGGTATCATTCACCAAGGCACGAGCCAATGACACCAGCGATCGCTGTCAAATGGGTGTTAGTTTCCAATGTAAGCTGTGCGACGCGCAGAAAGCTCACCTGGCCGGCGGATAAATTACTACCCTCAACTTGGATTGAACTATCCAAGTCTAAGTTAGAAGTTGGTTGCGTTCCTTCTTTTGCCTCGTTAGGGGCACCTGGCGCCTTCGCAGAACTAGGGTCTACAAGATGGGCGCGTTTCAATGCATCCCATAAGCTGGCATCATCGTGCTGCCCAAAGGGGTCCAAATTTGATCGCAGAGTTCCTGAAACTGCGAATGGATCAGAATGGTTTAGATCAAATCACCACGGAGATAGCTTTACAGAGGAACTGTGAATGTTGATCAGTCTCCACATCCACTGTTTTTATAAGCATAGAGAGACATACTGCATCCTGAGGAATGATGGACATCCCAGTCCGAAGCTTCGTGAGACCGACTCGCGTAGTTTCAACACCGTCAATTGATATTTGACCCGACGACAGTTCGACCAAGCGATACAATGCTGTCATCACCGATGACTTCCCCGCACCCGTCCTATCTCAGGTCAGTATAGGTGCAACTGAATGCCAATGTCATTTACCGGCCGACAAAACCTATTTTCTCTCCGGCGGCAATTGACATAGAAATGCCCTTGAGCACGAGTGGTAACTCAGGTCGATACTTCATGGTGATGTTCTTGAACTCCACTTCTCCTTTGTTGGGCCACTCTGCTGGCATGGATGTATCTTCCACGGAGGGTGCTTCCTGCTCGATTTCGTTGGCATAATGGAGAATACGCTCGACGGAGTTCATGTTGTTTTCGACATCAGCAGCTTGACGCACGACGTATCCGAATGACTGTAGGAAATGTTGAGCAAGACCAATGCCAACAAGGAGGTTTTATTTACTTGTTGGACCAGAACGATGTATGCCAGAGCAACACCAGTTTGGCCAGGTGAAATCTTGAACCGTAGACCAATAGTTAACAGAGAGACTGCCAGCGTCAGGACGATACCCAGGAAGTCAAGTCGGATACCCAGCCATCTCTGATTGACCACAGTCAACCAATAAGCACTGATGATATGACTGGTCAGTACATAGTTACGGTAGTCCCAGAAAGGACATGACGAACCGATTCTCGAGGTCAACCCGAGCGTCGCCCTCGCGCTTGAAGCGTTCCATCTCGCCATATGCTCTAATAGTTGTCAAACCAGACAATGACTCAGCAAAGTGAGCGTAGATGGAGGACCGCAAGATGCCATCTAATGTTGGTGTCAGCACGAGATTGAACGGTCATTTTCACCTACGAACCTAATTGCTGGAGCAGAATGTCAGAACCAAGTGCATGACTGATAGTGAAGGAACCAAAAGGTCTCGTACCTTCAGCTCCCGAGCACTTGCGCGATAGAAGGACGCAGCTAACACGTAGCAGACTAGTACACAGGCGATCACTATGAGGAACCATGGCGTAATAATGGAAATCAGTATGATCGGTCCCGCAATAGCCGACAGGGTCGCCATGAGCATGCGCATGGAGTCTACGATCAAATGAGTAACAGACAGGAAGGACTCATGCATGATTTACCCACCTCCAATTGTGTTATCAACTGTATCGATATCTAGGAGACTTAGACTTAGCAAACTTCATCCAAATTTAGTTGTTCCGTCCTCACCCTTTCCAAAGCGCCCTATGATGCGACCGAGAGGCTGTGAAGGTACGTCAGTGCAGTACGCGGAGCCGTTAGAGTACTCTTACTGTCGTATCAAAGAAGTTCATTGGTGCGTGAATCACCCGATCAAGCGCTTTCTGTAAGTACATGTCAACGAAGTGTTTATAATTTATCGGAGAGGTTACCTACTGAGTGAAGCCTTTGCGACGCATAGTAGGTTAGCATGGCAAACATGACACCCATCAGGAACATAGACAGGGAGGTGGAGATCCCCAAAGCCGCATAGATCCCCATCTAACGGGAATAAGTTAAGATGCGAAGATATTGTAGTGAGGTTGAGACATACATAAAAGCCATTTGGCCTGTCGAACCTCCGTTCTTCCCAGTATACGAGCCTGTGCATCAAGGAGGGCTTTAGCTTCTGTGCATCGAAGCGGCCTCCGAAACCTACCAGTAAGAAGACATGAGGCCGGCAGCAGTCATTACTACCAGGGACAGTAGTAAAAGTGGTACAAGGACAACTCCATGCCCTCCAAGGAGGTATTCGATCCATACTGCCCTCTTAACCGAACCTCTGGTCCGTTCCTCTTCTTGCATCATCGCCTTTCCTGGTCCAGCAGCAGGTTTCTTTGGGGCTGCTTCAGATTCGTTCTGAGCGTTGGCATTCTCCCTTTGTTCGATCTTCTTTGTCTCCTCATTTGTTCCAAACTTGTTAACATATTGAGCAAAGGCACCATCATTCTCCATGAGCTCATCGTAGGTACCGCATTCTGCGATCCTGCCGTCGGCAAGGGTATAAATATAATCAACACTTGGTAGCAAGTGCAGCGCATGCGTCACGAGAATGCGCGTTTTGCCGTGGAGGTGTTGCTTGATGACGTTGTTGAAAACCGCCTTACCGACGTGAGCATCTAGTGCAGAGAGTGGGTCCTGTAGACTGTAGTAAGCAATCTTTGCGAGATAAAACCTTTTTGTTCTTTACTGACATCGAAAATGACGATGTCACTGTCGTGGTAAATAGCGCGGCATATGTTGACACGTTGTTTCTGGCCTCCAGACAAAGAAATACCTTTCTCCCCAACCTGCGTGAGATCGTGATTAGGGAGCATGTCCAGGTCAGGTTGTAAGCAGGCTGCGCGGACGGCATTCCAGTACTTTTCTTCCTCAAAGGGGCGACCAAAGCAAATATTTTCGCGTATGGTGGCGTTCTGCGACTTAACGTTGGTCTCTTACTATATCATTGGAAAATCCGGCACTGACCTGGATCCAAGCAGTCTGTGCGCAGTAGCTTACACTGCCGCCAAACTCGACAACACCAGCAGTACGACGCATTTCTCCAATCAAGCCCTGAAGCAGAGAGGTCTTTCCTGTTCCAATGGCACCGGTAATTGCTACGAGCTGTCCTCGAGGTACCTCGAGATTGATGTCAGCGAGCTTAAACACATTCTGTTGCACCTTAGCAGCGTCTGTTCCTGAGACTGTAGTAGGCTGGGGAGGACTGGGCGCCTTCGTGGCCGCTGCTTGAGCTTGGGGGAGTGGGGAATCCCAGGTAAACTCTGCACCTCGCACGCATACGGCGGGGTCAAGCTCTCGATTCTCGACTAGGGTCGCGTCCACAGTTTCAGCTTCGAATACAGCATAAAGACGACCACAAGCAGCAATAGCATCCGTGACCGATCCCAGGGACATGGCTTGAAACGAATGAGAGGAACGAAGCAAGATATGGAGAAGATTACATACGCAAAAACATTAAGGGCATGCGCACCAGCTGGAAAAGCGCGAGGGAGGAGAAGACATCTGCCGCGCTTAAGGTATGGCCAGTCCCCACGTAGGTGATGAAGGAGAGTACAGCTGCTAATGCAGGGACGGAGATCGCGAATGCATTCAAGGCCGCTCGGTAGATCGTCAGAGTCCGGATGTACCTGACAATATCTATAAATGACGACGTTCACAGTGGACGAGGATGCTTACTTCATCTCCTTCTGCCGATATTCAGAGATGCGTTTCAGGAAGGGGAGCTCCCATGCAAAAAGTTTGATAACTTGAATTCCATTGAAGATCTCTTGCAAAGCTTTAGAACGTTTGTCAGTCCACATCATGCTCTTTTTCCTCAGTTTGATGAACTGCTTCATGATCTTTGCTTGTGCGGGAGTTGCGAGGAGAAGCAACCCGTAGCCTACGAGAGCACTAGGACCCAAATTGATGAGGAGCAGTATCAGACATATGAGAAGTTGTATTGGGGCAGCCCAGGCCATATGGAACCAGTTGAGGCAGATCTCTATACGCGAGACATCCGCCGAGACATGGGTGATGAGCTTCGCATTTCCGTGAATCATCCGAGCCCGAGTACTCAGACGGAGTGAACGAGCGTATATGGCGGAAATGAGACCGCCACGAAGAAGGATAGCGCTTGACATGCTACGGTAAAAGAAGTGATTGTTGCACCAGGAGCCAACCAATTGCAATGCCAGAAGTCCGAAGGCGAGGCCAATTCCCTTGCCAATGGGTGGCGGCGAAACGTCAGTATAGCGTGCAGCATACGACTCTGAAACAAAGTTGGTGATTGCCTAGTGAAAGTCCAGTCGCTCAGTGTTGTTCAAACAGTGTAGGGAATATGGCCTGACCTTAACAAGCAACGGGCTTGTTACAACAGCTGTGTCACCTATCACCTTCATTATACCGCCTGACCAGAACCACCATTTTATACTGTCGTTCATAGCTAAGATGAGACTAGCTTTCTTCTTCCCATCTTTCTCTTGCCATTGCTTCTCGCGTTCTTGACGTTTCCCTTTAATAGTCCACCATAGGCCCTTGACACCAGGACCGATACTTCCCGCTGCAAGCCTTTCATTGTACTCATCCGCTTGCTTACGACGTGTTTTGAAAGACTGAAGAATCTTGTCTGCAATGACGGATGCTGAACGATCTTCAGAGAGTTTGTAGAGATCAGGAACTTGCAAGGGTCGGGCGTAACCCAAGGATAAAATGGGCGTCACCCAGCTGAAGAACAGGAGGTTGAGAATATTGGCATTTGCCTCAGGTGACAACGAGGAATCCTGCACGGAAACCGGGGGAGGAGGGACTTGGGCTGCCTTGAGCGAGAGTAAACTGAGGCGGACGCGGTCAACGTGGATTTGCTAGTAGGGAGCATACTTTTACATACCTCCACCAACTCAATGAGGTCTTCTTTTTTGCTGCAGATTCCCTCTTCATTGGGTCTGCTGGAGCATCGGGAAGGCCACTCTTTTCATCTGGGGTGGCTTTACCTTCGAGCGAAGCGTCGTCGGAGCTCATGATAGTCGACCCGACTGGATAGCTCGACAAGCAAGTCAGGTCCAGTCAAGATGACTATAAATTGGCCGTGAGCTACGGGTGGGCGCAAAGCGCTTCAACTTTTGATGGTAGTCGACATTTGCCGAAGTGATTGACTGTGATTGATGGACCTTGGTGTCAAGACGTCAAGCAATGGGAGGCATTGAGACATGCAAGGGAGGTTGTTACCGTTTAGATGCAGACTCAAGATGAAGGAGATCCATTGTCAGATTTTGGGACACCTATCCCGCTAGGAGGATAGAGTAAAAAGGACGGGTGGTTCGCCCAACAATTCATTTCAGCTTGGCGTCATACTGGTCATGTACATATGATGGGCCGGAAGTTTCGTGTCGGGATCAATTAGCGCGCGTCAATGTGATTTTCCCAGCGCTCCCGCTCTTCACCAACTGGATCCGGAAGGTATAGATAGGGGCTTTCTCAGAGGAACAGCACATGCGCGTACTGCAGTCGTACTGCTCAACGCATCTGCCGTTCCTTCGCAGGTGTGTTATTCGGACCCATGATGAGTGCAATAATACTACGGTGAGAACGACTTTGAGCTCGCTAGCCTCGTCACGCGCGCTCCCATGCTCCACCTTTCCTCGGTGTTCCCACCACTTACCAGTAGTAGTAAAGCCTGAGGGACGGTGTGTCCGCGAGATTACGGACCTCAGACTTTTCCCTCCCTTCCAACCTCAACAGGTTCTGCGCTGACCATGCCTGCTAACGTATTGCTCTATTGGGCCACCGCTGGATACGTCCATGATTCCATCCCTGATTCGAGAGAGGCAATCAAAAGCAGGCCTCTCGAAGTAAACAACATTCCCGTCGTGTTCGAGGACACAGATGACAAGTCTTGGTTCACCGACGAGACCCTGGAAAAATATGATGCCATCGTCTTCTTGAACAACTCTGGGTATGGTAGTAAGTGTGTCCGAGCTACAACATCGATGCCGTCGTTCAGATACTGGATTCATTCAGTCCTCGATGATACGGGCAAAGCTGCTCTCCAGAAGTGGATCAACTTGGGGGGCAACTTCGTAGGCATACATTGCGCAGCAGATGCTTTACGCGACACGCCGTTCTTCGGAAGACAGCTTGGTGAGTAGAACCTAAGACAATGACTTCATAAAATATTAATGTTGAGTTAGGTGCATACTTCCACTACCACCCTAAGATCTCGGAGGCTGTAAGACGAACACACTCTTAGGGCGTTGTGCCAAATGACATTGTTCGCTAGACGGTCAAAGTTGTGGATGCGAATCATCCCAGTACTAAGCCACTGCCAAAGAACGGCTCATGGACCCTGGTAGATGAAATGTAAGTAGCTTTGACCGCATGCGTACTTTTTGTTTACTTTGTGACCAGGTACTGTTTTGAGTCAAACCCGTTGGAAAATCCAGTGAATGCGAAACTCCTTCTGGTCGCAGATCCGACAAGCTACATTGGTATTCAGGCTGTTTTCCTTCAGCTGACCTTATTGTTGATTGCATACCCGAGATGACGATGAGAGACGCAACCAGCGGAAATTCGTTCATGATCCACACCCGATTGGTGAGCAGGATTGTTAATAGCTGAAAGGTTCGGTTGATCATAGCCGCGGAAAGCCTGGTACCAAGAGAAAGGTGCTGGTGTCGAAATTGACAAAGGCGGAATTGCAGGTCGAAGCTGGTACACCTCGTTAGGACATGAAAAGGCAATATGGAGGGTGAGTTACTTGGCCTTTAGTCACCTCGTCGGGACCAACGAAGATGCACAGGATGAAACGTTTCTTGGGCATGTGTTCGGTGGGATTCAATGGGCCTTGGAGTCTAACACGACGCGAGCATTCAATACCCAAGGCAAAGTTGGCGGTGCTTCGAATTAATGCGTCTATGAGATTGAACTAGGATAGAATGATTACTGAGTAGCGAAAATGAATGTGACTAGGCTATATCCAATGCAACGAGTGATAGATGCGAAAGAAAAACCTTCCTTGTACTAACGGAGAAGAGTAATTCACTGAGGTCTGCACTCAGGTTGAGCACCAGGGAAGTCGTCGTCATCATAGTCGTCGTCTTCCCAGTCATGCTCATCACCTTCGCCAAACTGGGATGAAAACCCATGATCAAAGAAGTCTGAAGTAGCGGCAAAAGACCGTCCACGCACGTCTTCAATGTCAGCCTCCTCAAAAGTGACCTCGTCCACGACGCTTGGGGTAGGTTCTAAGTCTGCCTTCTTTGGGGGAAGAAGTTGCTCCAAAAGCTAGCAAGCATCAGTCCCTAGACCATGTACAAGCCAAAGTGAACAACACACCTTGCCGTCAATGGCGTTCATCCAAGTGGCATCTGGCATCTCGACATCAAACACTATATAGAGGTTACCTCTGTGGTCAGGATTTTTGTACGTCGGCATGCCTTCCCCTCGGATAATTATAGTGTGACCAGGTTTGATGATCTTTCTAGGAGGATTCGCGACATGTATCCCCCGCCCATCCAAATGAGTGATAAGTATCCGAGAAAAGCCAAGAAGTGCCTCTGATAGCGTTATCTTCACATTAGTCATGAGATCGGGACCAGAGCGTTCGAATGATTCGTGATGGGTCATCTTCAGCTGGAAAACGACATCACCAGGGGGTACACCGGGCTAACACCTAGTTAGCATTGACGCTACGCTGGTGTACAACTTTCATACCTCCTCGTCCCCGGCACCCGAAAGTACTATCTTTTGGCCATCGACCATCCCTTTTTCTACGAATATTTCTTGCCGGTTCTTCTCTTTCACGGTTTTCGCGCCTTTGCACTTCTTACACCTGAAAGAGACTTGATACGTATTGCACAATCACCATGAGTAAACGCACCGATCCTTTTCCCTGAACTTCGATCCCTCGCCATTGCAATCCGTACATTTTGCCCGAGCAGTTCCATAGCGCTGGGGAGAAAGCTACGGAAAACCAATGAATTGAGGACAATCTTAGAGGGGATATATAAAGTACCTGGGTATGTATAGCTGTCCAACCTTTACCCTGGCATTGAGCACACTCTTTGGGCTTGGCACTCCCTTTTGCTCCAATACTATAGTGGCATGAGTGACTGGTTCAGGGGTATAGGGAGAGTACGCACCCTTGACAACCATTGCACACGACCTCCTTTTCCATGTTCAGCTTTATAGACTTTCCGTTATATAAATCTTCCAGGGTGACGTCGTAGGGTATATGAGTGTCCTGGCCCTTCCGGGGACGCATGCCTGCGCCTGGACCAAAGTCGAAGAAAGCACCACCACCACCACCACCGAAAAACTGCGCGAACATGTCTGCTGGATCCGGCATGCCTCCGTCAGAAGAGCCACCCAGTCCAGACATCCCTTGGGCATCGTATGCGGCTCTTGACTGGGAGTCGATTAAAATCTCATAGCTGGGCCGGGCACGCAACGTTAGTAGCTGGCCAGTAGGTAGGTTAGCGTTACGACGTACGCTGCCGCCATCTCCTGGAACTTCTGGGCTGCATTGGGGTCATCGGGATTCTATCTCAACTTCAACCAATGTTGCGGACGGAATGTGCAGGAACCGAACAGACCTTATCCTTTTTGCCACAGAGACCGCATCAATGGAAAGACAATTCATGAAGGAGTAGACTGCTTACAGGATGGTGTTCCTTGGCCTGAAAATTGGTTAGAGCGCGTCAGGGATGACTGTTGTGCATATGCACCTTTTTCCGATACGCTTTCTTTATGTCGCCTGGAGTGACTGATTAAAACTGTGCTCCGCTTAGTATCTGCAGTGTATTCATTACCTTCGCTTGCGGTAGGTGGAACTCCCAGTAAGTCATACAGCTCAGTGTCAACAGGCACTATTGTTTTAGATAGTCAGACAATCACACAGAAGGAAAATGAGGGTGACCCACTGGTGATTCAAGGGGGGGAGCAAAAGGAAGACGCGTAGAAGCATCGGCATGCTGCAAGCGCGTTCTAAGCAATTGCTTTCGCGAGACGTGTTTCTCACGACCTAAACTTGCGGGGTCTAAAATTTCTCGACCTTCGGGTCGGCAATTGCGAGCTGTCGATCAACGTCCCTTTCTATCTTCACGCATCGTGGTCCTCTCTAGCCCTGTTTTTGACGCCGTCCTTTCCCTCCATCGTACTCAGTGAGGAAAAGGTGGACAAATCGACTACCGGTGAGCTCCAGTCTAATACCCATCTTTACCTACATGATGTTTTCATAATTATCTACATTGTCTAACCATTTTGCTGGGGTGACGAAACAATCAGCCTGATTCTCCTATTACGTTTGCCTCTGCTCCGTTGCTCATCCTATCTTCACAGATTCATATCTTGCCTGTGCAACAAGAGCTAATATGTCTCGTATCTGTATATAGTGCTACTTTTCAATGAATTTTTACTTCGATGCAGCCAAAGCTCTTGACCGATTGGACTCCAAGCAAGGCTCCATAAAGGGCATCCTTGCCAGTATGCCCCAAGCAAATCGAGCGAGGAGTGCTGCTCTTGTGATTGAAACACTGAAGTGTGAGCGCCCTCATCCGGCGGACTGGTGCATTCGCCCGCTGAGGACTATTTGTTAGACAAATCTGTGTTGACCGAAGTCATACATACATCTAAGCTACTCGCTGAAGAAAAGAAGAAGATAACTTCTTTGAACCTCGCTCTTGTGCTGGTCCATGATTTACTACTCACAAGTGGCATACAAGCCGGTGATGGGCCTGTAAAGCAGGCCATACTCCGTCACAAGACTAGACTTCGTTCCGAATTTCAACGCATCAAAGTGAAGAGAGCGGTAACATCAAATCTGCAACTTATCAACGCTGGCGATGAGCGCGCAGGTTACTTGATCCCGCTTATGGAGACCATATGGCACTGAATCACTTTCAGAGCGGATACCTCGATATGTTCGCGTAAATACGTCTTTGTGTAGCACCGAAGACGCCGTCGAGTATTTTACTTCGCAAGGATTCAGGGTGGCAGACCCCCTTTCTGATAGGTTCGCCTTCTACTAAAGCGGTGGCTTAGATTTCTCATCCCTTCGGCAGCAAGGCCTTCTCAAAAGATGGTCACATTCCAGACCTTCTTGCTTTCAACCCGGCTTTCCGTTTTCATGACGATTCTTGGTACAAATCTGGCAAGCTGATCATCCAGGACAAGGCATCATGTTTTCCTGCATACGTGCTCAACCCACCACTGGGAGATGACCGTGTCGCTATAGATGCGACCTCTGCTCCCGGGAACAAGACGTCGCATCTGAGTGCGTTAATGCAAAATCGTGGAAAGGTGCGGACGAACGAATCCAGATAATATAAACTTATGTCTGCTCCAGATCTTCGCTTTTGAGAGAGATAAAACCCGATTTACCACTTTATCAAAGATGCTATCAATAGCCAAATGTGAGAACGTAGAACCGATACGCGCTGATTTTCTCACTGTGGACCCCATGGATTCTCAGTATGCACAAGTCACCCACATGTGAGAATCTCAGATGTCTAAACGTTTAACGCCCAAGTGCTAATTTGACGCCAAGACTGGTCGACCCTTCATGCAGCGGATCTGGTATTGTAAATCGCCTGGACCATCTTCTCGAATCAGGTAAACTCAGCACTTGCCAACATCGCGAATAGACCCTGATTTGCACAGAGAACAAGGAGGAAACGGACCAAAATGAACTGGATCGCCTTCAAAAACTGTCTTCATTCCAGCTGCTCATGATCAAACACGCCATGAAATGTACGAGTGCTCTGCTAGGGTGGAGGCTTTGCCGGGCTGAAATTGTGATGCCAGTCCCCGCAGCCCAAAAAATTGTATATTCTACATGCAGTATTCACGCAGAAGAAAATGAAAGGGTAGTACAACACGCGTTGTCATCCGAAGAAGCCAAAGTTGCAGGCTTTACCCTGGCGCCCTCGACTAGCGTTCTCCCTTCATGGAACCGCCGAGGCCTTCCAGAAGAAATGGGAAACCCAAGTATGTAGACTTTACCTTCGTGACACGTAAAACTCACCACACTTGCAGGCCAAGCTGCATCCTTAATCCGGTGCGTACCCGGGGAAGATCAGACGAACGGTTTCTTTGTGTCCTGCTTTGTCAGAGGGGGCAAGGTCTCAAGCTCAAGTATGAAGCGTCCCGCGACAGACCTGCACTCTCACTCTGGCTCAAAGAAGCGCCGCAAAGCCGCCAAGAAATGATCGTTACAGTACTCGATTTGACAATAAAGAGGCTACATTTCCAAACGTAAACGCGAAAAAGACAGTCATTTGACGCCTATAAGCCGGAAGAGGTTAGTCGAAGTGAGTAGAGCCTCTTTCCCAGCGCAACCTGGAGAGGCAATTGCTTGTCGCCTGTGAAGAGTTTATTGGAACGTTACCCCCAGGGCAAAGTGAAAGGACAAGGCGGTAAGAGAAGCTAAGCTGACGAATGTGATGAGTTTCTTCAGAGTAAGTTTACCAGGGGTGCACATATTGAAACTAATGGCTAGGGGTTGTGAGCTGCTGCTGAGCGTATTGTTGTTGATAGTATTGCGCATAGTTGGCGGAATAGTCTTGCTGACCATAACCTCCTTGGCCATAACCCTGTTGTTGACCGTAGGCTCCGTATTGGCCCTGGTAGCCACCGTAAGCTTGCGGGGGACGATAACCCGTGTTCTGTTGGGGAGCGTTGTTGCTTTGCCAAACTTCGGGACGACGCCAAGGAGGTATGTTGGAACCGCCGGCTGTGATGTCGTGACCAGCGCTAGAAGATGCCCAGGGGTTTCGCGCGCCATCTCCATTGCTGCTTTTGGCGCCCTCGCCAAGTTCTGCCATAAGACTAGCATATTCCGAATCAAAGCCCCCTTTGTTCATCGGAGGAGAAGGGCCGCCCAGTGCAGCGTTAGGATCCCTGACTGTGCAGTCACGAGCCATGTGCCCTGCACTGCCGCAAACGCGACAGATGATGTTAGCGGTGAAGTTGCGCTGCTCAGGACAATCGTATTTGCGGTGACCGAGACCACCACAATTTTGACATATTTGGTTCTCATCGTCTCTCAACGTGCCGTTAAGGGCTGCCAACTCACGAAGCTGGTTACGCTTGTGGTCATTCTGACCCTCGGGAGTGGAAGCAGCCTAATGACGGTACAATAAGCACAATATTCTGAGAGGCCAGTAGAAATAACAGTGGCTTACCGTCTCAATGACTCTGTTAATTAGTCTCACGCAAGATGTAACTTTTTCTTCAGATTCTGCTACAACGAGACAATGAAGGTCTTCTTCGGCGTCGTCCGCATACTGATCCGGACGAGCTTTACCCTCCTTCACGCTACCTTTTCCTCGAATGCTGATCTTGGCGCCACTTTCTCGCTCCATTTTCTTCAGACTGTTTCCGCGAGGGCCGACAAGGAGACCAAAGAAGTTGATTTCGGGAAATTCTTTGACGGGGATATACACCTTCTCGGTAGGACGCTGAGACCGCTTCTGCTGGTGATATTCGACAGGAGGGCGGAAGTTAGGGTCATTCTTCATGGCTCGATCAACCAGCCGAATTCGCTCGTCTTCCAGCTTTTTCCGGTATCGAACTTCCCTCGTGTTGGTCCTGCGACCATGTGCATCGTATGTAGGAGGAGGCGAAGGGGAGCTACAGAACGGCAAGTGTAAGGATGAGGTAACAGATAGCAGTAGGGAGGATCTGTACCGCTCTCGCTCGGGAGGAATGAAGTCATTCAACCTGAGTTTACGATTAATCTCTTCAAGTCGAAGATGTATTGCGTAGTTATCGAGCTGTGCCTGCGAAACTCCTGCGGCTGAAATGGCTGTGGGAAGACCAGGGATTTCTGACTTGGCTTCGCCCCAGCGACTGCGTCTCTTGCGAGGTCCAGCATCAGCTGAGTAAGTGAGGAAAAACACGAACGTTAGTATAAAGGTTAGTATCGACGTTAGACTTTTAATCAAAAGAGTATTTGCCGATGGTCGCAAATGACCTGAGAAAACATCACTTCCAACCGCAACCTGCAGCCCGGATGTGAAAGATGAGCATTCAGGGGGTTGGCTTACCAAGTGCGCCCGCTGACACGGGAGAATCGTCTCTGCCCCTCCGGTCTTGCTCTTGATGTGCCTGGCGAGGATACGCAGACGGGGAGGGCTGGGCGAGCTGCGGAGGAGCTGTTTCCTCGGCTGGGGCAGGTCCAAATCGCCGCCTGTTTCCCAAAGGCACTGTTCACCGGATGTCAGTATCGAAACGAGGAAAGATAAGGTATAGTACGCACCGTCGTTAGTACCGGTGACTTCGCGGGTCGCAACTCTCCACATTGTAAGCAAGAAAAGCAAGGGTAATTGTCAAATCCTCAGGACTATCCGGAAGAGGTGGTAGTCGTCTTCAATCTCCGCTGTAGTATTCCAAAGGTTCAAACTCCGAACGTCCGCCGGCGTTTGTAATCCTAACAGTGTTATGTACTGGCTTGCTCGAGTCTTGTAATCGCGACACCGTCCTACTCTTCAACGTTCAACCTTACCCCCAGCTTGCAGCGTGATTCAGCTATATTTGCGCAGGCGTTGAAAAAGGTGCACGAATATGTCGAAACGAGGACCGGAAGGTATGTACTGCCGGGCTCAATTCTGTATTTCATCCTCACTTGCATTCCCCCAGGCCTACCAGACCCTGCTGGTCCATCTAAGAGAACCAAGAAGGCATTGGATGGGGATGGCTATGTTGACATTGAGGAAGATGAATATGCCAGTGATCCTGCTACTGACAGTGCCCTTGTCCCGCGAGGCGCTACCATTAACTTTAGTGCATTAACGCGCAAGCTGGCTGAGGGTCGGCGGGAGAAAGGTGACGAAGTGGATGGAGACTCGTTGGACACACACAGGAGACAGCAGGATGCCCTCGTGTCCCACATCTTCATGGACCAAGATTTCTCCTGGCTACATCTGAAGCCCGACCACGCCTCACGGCCATTGTGGATCAGCCCGGAAGATGGCCATATCATCCTCGAGGCCTTCTCACCTATAGCTGAACAGGCACAGGACTTCCTCGTAGCCATTAGTGAGCCTGTCAGCAGGTACGCCGAACGTTCGTGTAGGATACGATACAGCTTCATTCTGGCATCGTCAGGCCAGCTTTCATTCATGAATATAAACTCACTTCGTATTCGCTTTATGCCGCCGTGTCCGTCGGGTTGCAAACAGAAGACATTATTGAAGTCCGTGAGGTTGTTCGATAAACATTCCACAGCACTGACGATCAGATCTTGTTCTAAACAAGGTGTTGAACAGGCTGTCAAAGGTAACGAAAGACACATATACACGAGATAAACTCCCACTGACCTGGAGACAGGTACCTGTCCCCGAGGCTATCATCAGCTTCATCCGAGAAAGAACGCTCTCCTATGGAAAAGTGAAGTTGGTGCTGAAACACAACAAGTATTTTATCGAGTCAAGCCACCCGGAAACCTTGCAGCTTTTGCTCAAGGACAAGGTTATACGAGATGCACGCGTGGTTACGCAGCAAGCAGATACGAGCATCAAAGCCGCGACATTCACCACCATGAAAGCTCCAGTGAAGGGCAATTTAGTCATTCCAGGCACTAAGGAAGCCGACAAGAAAAAGGACGACAACGCAGCGTCGAGGGACAGTACTGAGGCATATAAAGCCAATGATGCGGACCTTTTTACCTCTGTTGTAGGAGTTGAAGGTGGTGAGCAATATCTATCTTGTATTTCTTTCGAGTGACTTACTGATCGGTTCAGACGAGATCGATGAAGATGATGATAATGTTCATGCATTCGAAATAGACGACGCGAAAATAGACGTAAGACCTTTCATCTCTATCTTACCCAGCACACCTAACGTGTATCATTCCATGTAGGATGTGAAGAAACGGTGTAATGAATTGGAGTACCCCATGCTGGAAGAATACGATTTCCGAAATGATACTATCAATGCCAATTTGGACATAGACCTGAAGCCGGCCACCACAATTCGCCCTTACCAGGAAACGAGTTTGAGCAAGATGTTCGGAAATGGGTAGGTTCATCGCCGAAATACAGGTGCGGATCTGACGTGCTCGCAGTCGTGCACGCTCAGGCATAATTGTGCTTCCATGCGGCGCTGGCAAGACCCTTGTTGGGATCACAGCAGCATGCACAATTAAGAAGTCGTGTCTGTGCTTGTGCACGTCGTCGTGCGTACCCAGTTTCAGGTGTTTTCAATGCACGGCTTGACTAACTAGCCCGTAGAGTATCCGTTATGCAGTGGAAACAACAGTTCATGCAATGGTCAAATGTTACTGACAGGCAAATTGCGGTCTTCACTGCCGACCAAAAAGAGAGGGTGCGTGCAACGCGTCGTGTCCATGGGTAATCTTTTCAACATGCGACTGCACAGTTCGCGGGAGAAAGTGGCATTGTCATATCAACGTACTCCATGGTTGCAAACACACATAATCGTTCTCACGAATCGAAGAAGATGATGGAGTTCTTGACATCTCGGGAATGGGGTTTCATCCTTCTCGATGAAGTTCATGTTGTTCCAGCTGCCATGTTCCGCCGTGTTGTGACCACGATCAAAGCGCACTCAAAGCTTGGATTAACCGGTATGTATAGATGGTTGAGGATTTGATTGCCACACACCGACTTATCCTCAATCAGCTACATTGGTTCGCGAGGACGACAAGATCGCAGATCTCAATTACATGATTGGACCTAAACTGTACGAGGCAAACTGGATGGATCTTGCAGCGAAAGGGCATATCGCGAATGTTCAGGTACTTGTCATAATATTTCTGCGTTACACTGATGGCCTGACATATGACTTCAGTGTGCCGAGGTTTGGTGTCCCATGACTCCAGAATTCTACCGAGAATATCTCCGGGAGCAATCTCGCAAGCGTATGCTGCTTTACTGTATGAACCCCAAGAAATTTCAGGCCTGCCAGTTTTTAATCAAGTTTCACGAAGACCGAGGAGACAAGATCATCGTGTTTTCTGACAACGTGTATGCACTCAAGGCCAGTCCCTATTGACACCCGATAGCAGCGCATGATCCTGACACTCAAAATCTAGGCTTATGCTGAAAAACTTGGGAAACCTTACATCCATGGCGGCACCGGACAGGTTGAGCGAATGCGAGTGCTTCAATGGTTTCAACATGACTCCAACGTCAACACGATCTTTCTCTCCAAGGTTGTCTTTTCTTGTACTGCCGCAGCACCGCGAAACTGATGTCCTTGGTCAGGTCGGAGATACCTCCATTGACCTTCCGGAGGCAACATGCCTAATCCAAATATCATCTCATTTTGGCTCTCGGAGACAAGAGGCGCAGCGACTTGGTAAGTCATTTGCATCCTTTCAATTTCAAACATGTACCTATCTCACATTCAGGGCGCATTTTACGAGCCAAACGTCGAAATGACGAAGGTTTCAACGCCTTTTTCTATTCACTTGTGTCAAAGGATACACAGGAGATGTTCTACAGTACGAAACGGCAACAATTCCTCATTGACCAGGGATATGCCTTTAAAGTCATCACGCACCTTGATGGGCTCGACAATCTCCCTAACCTCGTTTACAAGACGAAAGACGAGCAAATCGAACTCATATCATCTGTGCTTCTGGCCAACGAGAGTGAGGCCGACTTGGGCAGTGACATTCGGGCGGACGAGGGTGACTTGGCAGGAACTGTGACTTCAAAGGACTTCGGCGATCCATCCAAGTTCCCCACGACTTACAGAACCACAGGTTCCATCACAGCATTGAGCGGTGGACAATACATGTCGTATGCGGAGCAGAGCAAGTCCGCTAATAAAAAGCTGGCACGCGAGATTGCTCCACGCCACAAGCTCTTTGCAAAGCGGGACAAGGACAAGGCAACAGCTAGAAAAGAGGCTCGGACCACCGGTCGGAGCTGAGTTCATCGGTGGGCTGACAGACGTTTACTCAGGTTGACAATTGAAGCGTGCATACTATACTATACATTCATGTAATGTTTGATTCACTACATCAATTGATGGTCTACTCAAGCTTTCGATTATTTGTACCGCCTCAACGCTTCTGAAGTCGATCGCCGGGGCCGGAAGCTGTAAACGTGGCGACCGAGGTGTCATGTTGTATGCAGGCGCGTGCCTCGTTCCGATGCGCTGGAGTCAGTGCGGCAATACGTAAGGCTGAGATCCTTTCGAAAGTCTAGGTCTTCTGGGTCAAGTAGCAGGAACATCTAGGAACATCACCTGATGCCCAAGATTCGAGCAGAACTATAACAGAGTGACGCGCGGCGATGACTTGAGGACAGAAGGTGGTTTTTATTTTTTGCCGAGTTCTTCTTGGTTGCTCGTTCACGTTAGTGGCCATGAGCGGATGTAACATTCGTAGCGCCGATCTCTTCGTTGCCAGACACGACGGCGCGAACTGAACGCAAAGATGAATGACCCGTCCGAAAGCAGCCGGAAGACAACGATCAGCTCAACTTGCCTCAAGTGGGCCAGCCAAACGCTGGCCAACGCTGGATCAGGCAACGGGTGGCGAGGAAGCAGGCCGCCGGATCCATGTGCCGTGTGGTGGTGGCGATCCGGGCGGAGATGGACCTGCTCACGGATTCTAGGGTCTGGTTCAGGTCTAAGCGAACTGGTGACCCCGCGGCGGATCGAATCCGGGAGTGATACATTCGCCAAACAAAGATCCCTGCCCCCGATGTATTCTTCGTGAGGTCCCTTTTTATATGTTCTCTGCTCGCCGCTCGACCCTTACGCCATTTTCCCTCTTTACTGTCGTCTTCACCTTTCCATCCGACATCAGTCAAATTACTTCGACTCAAATGTCATCCAAGCGTGGCCGTAAACGAAACGACAATCTTCCTCCTAATCGTGCAAGAGATGTCCAGAGAGCCTTTCGAGCACGTCGCGCCGCTCATCTGCAGGTATGTCTTTGTCACGCCCCTTTCCTTACATTGGTCTTCGGTTTTTGAGCCATCTTCGTCTTATGGCCCTTACCCATAACAGGCCCTTGAGCTTCGTGTCTCGGAGCTCGAAGAAGAGAACAACTGCCTCAGAGCGGCTCTCAATCTACCCCCTGCAAGCCGGCCTGCCCTTGGGAGAGGTCCCACAGGAAAAGACAAGCCCAAGAGTCTCGAACCAACGCCGGTATCTCAGTCGACTTCTTCTAAAAGTAGAGCTTCCTCTTTAGCCGCGGATTCACCTTCCCCTCAAAGATCTGTTTCTGCTTCCCCCTCTCTTATCGCTCCGTCCTTGCGTACATCTCCAATAGTTGAAGGAGGCACTTGGCAAAGTGATTTTGGTGTCAGCGAGCAACATCCTCAGCGCTCCCACATCCCCTCTCCACCCACCAATTTTAACCTCCGTCCAAGCAATCCAATTCTACCCAATAAAACCAATGTTCCTCAGTACGGTTTTCCTAATTCTATGGCTGCCCCTCCTGCTCGCAACATAATGACTTCGAGTGCGATGCATCCATCCCAAATGCAGTCCTATTCCCACACGGGCGATCGTCCTGTGCCACCCACCTATAACGACATGGGTTATTTCATGAATGACGTGCAGGATGCCCAAACACACACCCAACCTCCATCCCAACCCCAGGCCCCTCCGCCCCCTCAGCCTCAGCCTCAGTACCATTATCATTATTCATCTTTCCCTCCTGAACCCGCACAATCCCTTAATTCGCCACATACATCTCAAGCTTCGGCGCCCGTGCACCCAGAAGAGCAACGTCCTATACATCAACCACAGCGTACTCAGGCGCACCCTCAGGCCACGCCTTTACCGTATCAACAGCGGAGGTCGTTGACAGAGCCGCAGGGGTTCAGGCCTTTCGGGAGCGATTTACATCTCCCTAATCCCGTGCTCCATCCCCACGGTATACGCTTAGCATCTCCACCGCCGCCCGTCCATGATCCACGATCACAATACTCGGGCCAAGGCAGACATATCACGGCGCTCCCATGACGCTTCCCGGCTCCGCACCTCGCTCAGTTAATTTTCATTTCATTATCTATCATGATTTGTCGTTTTTAGTACGTTTTCGCATCCGGACTCAAAAATGCTATCTTGTTAGTCGCTGAGATTTTAAGCAACTCTCACCTCTTGTATCGTTATTGTTCAGATTTCTGGGCTACAAGCATCTGCTATTCTAGATGTATGTGCAATCGAGTTATATAATAATACGTTCAATATTAATAAGTAGCTGATCAAGGATGCTCTTGTTCTGCCTTTTCTCTAGTTTGGCCACCACCGGCGATCACCGGTTTACGGCATAGGTCCTCATAAGCGTTAAGGTGCTCGGAGAGGTACAGCCACTCTCGCTTCCCTGGTACGCGTGGCAATCGGATGCTGCCTCCGTGACGCTGGCGCCGAACCCCAGGACCCACACGGAGCTTTCGGACATTTGAAGAGAAAATGTCACGGTCGGGACATGGAACATAGTGGGAGCCTGTCATCTTCTGAAGGGCCTTCCCGTAATTGAAATTTCCCTAACAGAGATAGGAGAGCGGCTTGAGTAATTATGCAAAATTGGGGGAAGATACTGTATCTACTACATGTGATTCTAACCCGTTCACCACTCACGACCTCGCTGCCTAGGCATATCAACTTTTCCACGGTTGATGCCCGCTAGCGCCTCGAGCAGTGCAGCCTACTGGCACTCGATAACAAGTACGGCTATCGTTCTCAGAGCTGACACCAATCCACCTTACCACCAGATTCGTACTTGTTCTCAAGCCAGTCATTCGCGGCTTTGAAGTGACCATTGCCCAAAAAACCTTTGTGAGCGCTGAGTGGCGAGGGGTGCTGAGACTCTCCGTTAGTTCAAGCTTCCAATAGGGGAGCACAAAGAGATCACGTACTGCGCTGGTCAGGATCAGGTGTTTAGTCTGCTCCGATGATTAGTGCCCTAAGCGACGCTTTACACGGCAACGTAACAGTCTTACCTTGTTGAGTTTAGCAACCCTTTGCGCTGCCCAGGAACCCCAAGCCAGAAATACGACACCCCGACCGATCCCGCTCAGCTCGGAACTGCCTCCACCAAGATTAGCACCTCCGTATCTGTCCACAACGTCCACAACTTTGTCAGTAAATTCTTCCCAACCTTTCTTCTGATGAGATCCCGGTGTTCTAGCCTTGACTGTCAGACAGGTGTTGAGCATGAGGACACCACTTTCCGCCCATCTTGACAGGTTTCTAAGAAGCGTGATGTTATTTATGGCCAAAGGGCGAGCGTTCTCTACCGCCGATACTACTCACCCATGATTGGGTGGCTCAAATTCAGGGTACTCCAATTTAATCTCAGCGTAGATCTGAGAAGAGGAGGTCAGAGGTTTCAACTCGATCATCACACAAACTCAACCCAAGCCGGGACGTGCATTCTTCAGAGAAGGGGGGACAGCCACGCCGTTGGGCACAGAAAAGCAAAGACCTGCAAGTCAGTATTTGGGTTCACATTGGTTCATTTTAGCTTCTTGCAGGACTGCGCTGGCATGATGCGTACCATGGGCTTGATTTGGACCGTGGTAGGGATCTTGGCCCATGATGACTACCTTCACCTTACCCAAAGGTGTATTGGACCAAGAATAGATGTTCTTCGCTGAAAAAAAAAGTCAGCGTATGGTCACATCGGAAATGCTAGGAGTGCACTAGACAAAGGTTACTCACGTTGAGGATATACTTGGAGCGTTCTAAGATTGTCTTCGGGACCTCGGACGCCTTGATCCCAAAGAAACTTCTTCAAGGCAATGAAGTACGGCTTCTTGATCTCGTCTTTGAGTAGCTTTAACCTGAGTCAGTAGCAGGGAGACCAAGATGAGTGCCGGGAACGTTGAAACGAAATGTGGCTACGATACTAACCAACTCTTTCCCATGCATTCGCACTCAAGCTTCAGCAGCTCGCGATGTGCCTCCGGGATGGAAGATATAAATTCGGGCAGAGAAAACGGGATAGAATTGAGGCGTTGGATCGAAGATGTTTTCAAAGAAGTGGACGCGGACTTGACCATTAGCTTGTTCGAAGGAGTTGCAACCTCTGAAGTGATTCTAGCTTTTTTGCTAGCAGGCTGAGGGCTGTCCTTGGGCAGGCCAGCAAACATATCCGTCAAATTACGCTGGCGTTTTGTGGCCACCGGTTTAGTGGTGGAGGTCGACTGCGATGACTGAGGGGTGTCCTCGGATGCAGCGCTCTGAGAGGAGGATTTTATGTATTTCTCTTCGACATCCTCAAGATATATAACGCGTGATTCTTCGGCCATATTAAGAGAATCAGAGAAGGGCGAGGGCCCGTGTTGAATACTGGTAGGAGTTGGGCTATAGGAGACCCGCGAGACGCGTCGCGACGGGTGGTACTTGACGTGACCGCGCTCGAAATTGCAATTGCCAAAGTAGTAGCGTGTCACTTCGGAGGCTTTGGACTTTCCCGTCTCATTTCCGCCAAGCCTCCCCTGTAAACAACACCAGGTCTTTCCTCCTATCCAGTCAAGCTGCCTCGCTCAAACTCTTCACCTTCGCCGCCATCCTATAGAGCTTCAGCGCCTCGAACGGAACTATCAAGGCGCCATGCTCAGGGAACTCGTGGAGGGACACGGCGACCAGGGTCGTTAAGTGTTGCAACTGTCGACAAGACAGACCAGGCGGTCCCGGATCTGAGCTCAACGTACCATGCGAGTTCGTCAGGGTAAGTTTCTTCTATCTTGCTTCAGTTTGTCACTTGCAAACCTGTTCAAATTAGCTCTGACTCGGCAAGCGACACCGTCGGGGAAGACACAGATGAAGAACTGCATGCTCGCGGACGACGCGGTTCCATGAAGCTGCTTCGGAGGGATGCCCCGAAGTCCATGCGAAAGAAAAGGCAGCGTGCATCTCTGGCCAGGTCGCCAAGTCCCATGCCTGCGAATGCTCTATACCTTGAGGGCGATCAAAACGAGAGCACATTTCGGAAACAGTCGTTCACCCGGTCACGATCTCCTCAGGTCCGTTCTTGGACGGCTTCGGCCAGCGTGCAAGGCAATGCCAGTCCCTCTTCTTTTCTCACCTCGCGACGCAAATCAGGCTTCACGCCTCGTACGCTACTCCCTGGCGTATTGACCGCACGCATACACATTCCCGTTGTGGACTACACATGGACATTTTCTATAGATGCTAGAAGTTTAGGAGAATCACTCCTGCTTCTCGGATCACTCATTTATTTGTATAAGAAACTCACCGATTTAGCCGTCATGGACTCCACATCGCTAGGTGAGCAACTTCTTACGTTCAGTGTTCTGCAGCTTCACAGAAACCACAGAAATACGTGCACTCGTCGCGGTTGCCTTAATCTACGTGTGTTGGGCACACTCATCCTTGTCTCGGAGCAAAATAGGCCCGATCCCGTCACAAATCCAAAGTACAGATGGCCACGACTCCAAACGCAGCCCAGCGGCGACCTCTAGCTCCAAGTTTACACATTTCAGCTATGTTTGGATGACTGTACCAAAGAATTATAGGTTCGTCGTCACACTTTGTAAGTTTGCATGCGTGACCTGAGATTGTGTCAGGGAATCTTCCGATGATGGCGTCTTGACCGGGATGCTACTTCCTTCTTTGATATCTCTTTCCCTGTTATATTCGTCCCTACGACGAGCAGGGCAGTCTGACGGCGACCTCTTGCCCCGCGACTGGCGGATCGAGCCACCTCATAGTCTGCAACATCCCGGATTTGAAACAGCCGTTGATGCGCTGATAGCGGCTCGCAAATCTTTGGTTGACTTTGCTACCCTGTGCACATTTATCCTTTTCTTCCAGATATGTGCTTCAGCTTGGTTTGAGCGCCGACACCGCAAGCTGAGGTTCACTCCAGAAGGGGAGCGTGGCTCGGTACCTCGGAGCGAAATGCGTCGAACATGGTATTATATCGGTTTCGCATTTACAGTATCTCTCTTGGCGATATGTGTGAAGTTTACCGCGGTGCAACATAATATCAGCTTGTGGAAACGTGCGAGCAAATATTTGATTTCTCATCCGCGCAATGTCTGACAAAGAATGACATAGATATCAGCTACTTCGATGTTGCGGTTGGTTCACTGTTCTTCCAGTTCTGCATGTACACCGCGATCCGGCTCGCCCATGGCGCTTTTACCCTGGGAGAACTCGCACTTGTATGCTTCGGTGGACTGGCTTTGGGCACTGAGTTGCTCAATTTGACAAGGTCCAGGGTACGGCCAAATTTTGCCCCCTTCCTTCGGCACTGTACTTCTTTCTTATTACAACTTCTTCTAGCTTTGGCCTGGTTCAACGCCGTTCATTAAAACCTATCGTCTCCCAAATCCGCTCCTCGTGCTCCAAATAGCACTCATTGCAGGGTCTTTTCTCACCGGCTTTTTGCTTTCTCCCCTTCTTGTCTTGTCTAGGCACATTGCACAGCGGCCCGTCCGTCGCTTACGATTCCCACAGGATAAGCAGAGGCACCGAAAGGCTCTGGCTGCTAGCTTTTATGTCGGTGCTCTCGTTGTCGTTGTTGCTCTCATCGGCTCTTGGACATGGTGGAGTCTTGGTAAACGAGATCCGTGGTTATGGACAATCTTTTGGCTTCTCGAGGGAAACAGGAAATGGAGTCGCCCGCTGTTGCTTATTTACTGGGGAGTTCTTGGTGGCTTAAGTGTGGCGGGGTGGAACAGGCAGCTTGCCCGGTCGAAGCGATACCGCCCACGAAATGCGATGGTCAACTCGGACAATGTCGTTATTCCTGTTGCAGGCAACCAGGCGCCGAAGGATTCTCCCGAGCTCCCTCCGACCACGCCACCGACCAGCGGTCTTGGGCTCACCTTCCCAAATTTGCCTGGTCTTCCCAACCTCTCGAATGGATCGCAGGTCGCGACGGATTTGCTGGATGCGGCGGACAAGCATGTGCCAACGCTGGGAATCAATGCGAGAAGGAAGTTCTTCCATGCTCTCGCTGTGGTCATGTTCCTTCCGGGCATTGCCGTCGACGTAAATTTTACCCAACTTTGATTCAATCGTTGAACTGACTCCTTTTATGTTTTTTTCCCTTTCTTACTTGAAGCCCGCCTTCTCTCACCTATCTTTCAGTGTGGCATTTGCGCTGTTTATTTTTGCAGAATATGTCAGATATTTCGCTGTATACCCTTTCGGCGCAGCGGTTCATTTATTTATGAACGAGTTCCTGGATCACAAGGATAGCGGGACGGCAATATTGAGTCACTTCTATCTCTTGACAGGTTGTGCAGGATCAGTGTGGTTGGAAGAGTGGGCCGCCAAATTATCTTCGTCCTGTAGCGTTTTGGTTTGACAACCTTGTGTAGCTCCTCCCGGCTCTCGCTTTACACTGGGATTCTAACCCTCGGGGTCGGGGATGCATTAGTATGTTTTCTTTGGCCAGATCTTCAAGCACCTTGTTGACGATCGAATGAAGGCGTCAATTGTCGGCAAGCGCATTGGACGGCATCGCTGGTCACCCAGCACATCAAAGACGATTGAGGGTAGCGCTGCATTTGTCATATCTGTCGTTGCTTGTGGCTGCCTTCTCCGCCTATGTGGGCTAATTGAGGAATTCTCGGTACGTCCTCTCTGGTGGCTGTCTGCTGGACACGAGCCTGAATACACTTGGTTAGACGATGCGGTATGCAGCGGTCATTACGATGTCGGCGGTTCTCGAAGCATTGTCGGACCAAAACGACAATCTGACACTACCGCTTTATATGTGGTGTATACTGGTAGCTGTACAAGTCTGACATCTGGATAGACGAGCTCGAGTATGATAGTACTTGGAAAGGAAATTTATCGCGGATTCAGGTGTTGTGCAACAATTTCAAATTCCCACATACAACTCTCGGGGATGCGATGAAAGAGGGGAACTTGTAAGGTACAGGTACGGTACTAAGGTGACGTCAGGCGCGTGAGAGGAAAGAGGGCTTATGTCATCAATTGAACCTGCTATGGCAAGCTTGATGTGGGTGTTGTGTGCTCCAGAGGAGTAAAGACCTCGCAGACGGTGAACCGGGTGACGAACGACAAGTGCGTTCTTGCGAGGAAAAAAGCACGCGCTCGGCGGCTACAGTTCACCAACCACCACGCTATCCACCATCCCAAACGCCGATCTACTCACTGCCTATAAGCGCTCTGCGCGGACATGATCAGCCTGAGGCGTCGCTCCCTCTCCAACCAACTCGCTTAATCAATCTACTCCGTCCCTTCGTGACGCAGGCACCGATCCCCACATCCTTCCCCAGCATCAATCCCCTGTTCATCTCGCACACCGAGACGAACACTCCAACATCAAGCTTTCTCTGGTCTTGCCATGGGTTCAGAGGGTGTCCCAGTCCCATCTAACCTAGCTAGCATGCACCACGCTTCCTCTTCCTCGACATTGCTTGCCTCCCCTTTCTCGTCGCCTGCCCCTTGCCATCCCGCCACTGCCAAGTGTGACGCTATCTTCTCCCCATCTGCACCGTCGGTGAAGCAGCAGCTCTCTGATTCCTTCTCGAACGAGTCCGAGCTTCTCTCCGATGAAGAGACTCCTCCAGCAGTCCTAGTCAACTCCAAGTCAATTAAATGCGACACTCCCCAAACTAACTCGTCAGCGCCTGACTCCAGTCTAGGTCAAATTACTCACACGAAAGCACATCCCAAATCAGCACCAGGTTAGCCTTTCTGTTTCAGTACAGCTTCCACAAACTCAGCTATGACAGTTCGGCCCGTAGATACCATCCCTCCCGTGGATGGTCCTGCACATGATGTATTACCCGCAACACCTCCCCAATTCAACGGGCGGGGCGACATTACTGACTCGGATCTTGACTGGGCAGACTTCGTTAGCGCATATGCCTCTGGCCAGTGGAACCCTCTCAAGATACCAAATCAACCCCGGACGTACAAGCCGACACAATATCAACGAAGGACCAACAACCGCGAGAGACTTCACGACAATTTCACCAGCTCGGACCAATCAACCCAGACAAAACCTATCGCAAACAGTTTCTCAGATACATCCATGATCTCCAGTCCTGCTGACTCACAAACCTCAGAAAGCCCGCCAAACAATCATGTTCGAATAGACACTACCGTGCCCAGAGGCTCTGATCACCCTGTTATAGCAGTAGACTACGCCATCCCAAACTTGGCACGCCCGCCCCTCGGGTCTCCAACTATCCCACTTAGCAGACGAAGAGGCCGAAAGTCAATGACAGATCTTCGCTCTTCGACATATGGTCAGGCTTTTCATCTACCTCTCGATCCATCGCAGAACACGGGCCTTAGTCCGGAAGCAGCTACCGCAGCAGCGACGATACGGTGGGCAGGTGTGCGAGTGAACGTCTCCCCATTAGCTTTACCATCTCCAGAACACGAATTTACCGATCCCATGCGAGGGGTGCATGCTGCAATCCCAGGCTCTCATTCTCAAGGCCATAGTCACGGCACAGACATGTCTACCTCTACTCAAGCCCGCAAATCTCGGCTCGGCAGCTTTTGGGAGGGAACACAACAAGTAGACGACGCGAGCAGCCCTCTACCTATCGCAGGATCATTACCAACCACACCTTCCAAACCCGCGACGATTGCACAGATGTTCTCCTCTCCTGAGACGAGTTCATCGCTTCCTCCTCCTGCAACTGCTCCTATAAACCACCTTCATACGCATTTCGAAGAGACTGACTATTTTAGCGGTACTCATACCCGCAGGCGGCCGGATAACGATATGGATCTCGTGCAGCCTTCGAGTCCGCTCGATCACTATCCCCCTAGATCTCAAATAGCCAATCAACTTCGCGATTTAGAACCTGTTGATGTTCCCGTACAGACAGTACCCGCATTACCTCGGCGAATATGTTTAACGAGACAGACGTCCTCGCCGTTACCCAACAAATCCCTTCCTGACAAAGGCCCGCGGAGTGAACGGTCTAATGCCGATGTTTATAGCAGCTTCAAAGCCAGCCGAGCAGCTAAAGAGGAGCAAATGTTTTCCGAGCTAGGGTATCTCGCACCTCCAAATCCCCCTGATGAACTTGAACGTCGAAGGGCGTTATACAAGTACGATTGCTTCCCGTAACACGTCTGCATCCTGATACCTTGTGATAACCTGTCGTTACAGGTTCAACATCTGGAATACTCCTCCAGACAATAACTTTGACCGGATAGCTCACCTTGTGAAACTGGTGTTCAACACGAAGGTTGTCTGCATTTCGCTCATCGACGGTACAGAACAGTACGTGGACCGTTTTGTGTAGTAATTTATTATAACCAGTAATTAGATGGTTCAAATCTCAGTGTATGTACTCTTTCACCCTTTGCAGCCCATCAAGTCAATATTCATCCTTCGCAGTCGGCCTGCCTTTCAATCGATGCGACCGACTAACGGCTTTCTGTGGCCATACGATCCTACTTAGGTGAGCTTAAGCTATACGCTTTCTTTCTTCAGCTAAATGAATACAGAAATGATGAACCGATGGTAATCTTGGATTCCATGTTGGACTGGCGCTTTGCGAGCAATGTACGCTTTCCCTTCGAATTTCAGGTGAAAACACCTTATATCTCCGCAGCCAATGGTTACGGGGGATGCTAGGATGCGCTTCTATGCTGGCGCCCCTTTACGCACTGCGGAGGGCTACAACATAGGAAGGTCAGTGGATATTGTTACAAAGTTTGCATGGGATGCCGTCACTGAAGGGACAACCATAGCCTGGCCATCTTTGATGATGAGCCTAAGATTGACTTCAGCCCTAGGCAGCGGCACACACTAAAAGAATTTGCAGTGGGTTTTCATTCTATGGATGCATCTTCAGCTGTGCTCAAAGTTATCTTCAGGTTATCGTAATGCGCGAGATGGAGCTCTGGCGAGACAAGGTTGGCCTACAAGCGTTGAAGTGTTGAACGCGCCTTTAATTCACACACACACACGCAGATTCAGTTGCGTGTGAGAGACAAGATCCAGACATCTGTACGAGCTTAATCTAACCGCCTCCTCATCATATGTCTCACATTTTAACAGATGGAGCAATTCAGTCGAGAGTGCTTGGAAATCGATCAGCGTGACAGCAACTCGAAGAAGTCGAACCTATATGATACGTCCATGGAAAAGGTCTACGAGCGTGCTGCTAAGCTGGTCAAACGCACTCTTGACGTCGAAGAAGTCATTGTCATGGACGTATCACAGTGCGAGATGATTGATACATTTAACCCCGATGCCTCAATCACCGTTTCCATGCATTACGGAGACGTCGAGCGACCTTCCGTGACAAAGACGCTCAGCCCGGACGACGCCAACAAACTAAATTCGTTCTTCAAACACAACGATGCGGGAAAGGTCTCGGAGGGTATCACGCCTGTCTGTTTCCGTCCGTTCATGCCTACGCGGATACAATACGCTTTGAGTATGTGGATTTACCGCCTCTTTTCCCTTGTCTTATGAGCGGATGTTTAGATGTTCCCGTCTTTAACGTCGATAAACGGCCATTCGCCCTGATCTGCGCGTACAATGCCTCAGACCCAGTACGGCGCTTTGTGAGTTATTTCAGCTGACACCACATACTTACAGAGGTGACGACTTTTCCCTAGCTGGAAGGACACGAATTGTCATACCTTCGCGCAATTGGTAGGTTGCTATTCTTGATTAGCTGTTCCCGGAGCCTCACCAGTCATAGGTGTAATCATTCTTTCTGCTGTTCTCAAGCGGAGAATGATGCTTGCAGACCAGTCGAAGAGTCTGTTTATCTCGAAGTAAGCTTTCCGAATGATTCAATTTTCATACCTCATTTCGTTCTCTAGTATATCGCATGAACTTCGGACGCCCCTACATGGAGTAAGCTAATGGTTTTCTGGGGGAAACATCACTTAGCGAAAACCCCAGATTTTGGCAGCCGCTGAGCTGTTAGCCGATACCCCCCTTAACCCTGGACAGTCGTCATTCCTTCATACCGTCCAAGCATGCGGTACATCACTGGTAGAAACGGTGAATCACGTCCTTGACTTCACCAAGTTGAGCGGAAATTTGAAGTCCGGTGGTGTGGACAATGTCATCAATCGCAGCATGTATGTACCGAGGTATGGCCAACTGATGGCAAGCTCACCCAGTTGCAGTGTCGACATCAGTCAGCTGGTAGAAGAGGCAGTCGACGGGTCATGGATAGGCTTCTGTGCCCGCAACTCCGCGCTGCAGACCTCCGAAATAGGGAGCGTTTACTCTCCACCGTCAAGGGATGATCGAACATTGAACATTGTCACTGCCCCAGAGACAAAGCAGCACGTTGAAGTTGTAGTTGATATTGAAAAATGCGACACTGTGAGAGAAAATCATATCTCCACAGTGATAGTAAAGCTGATGAGATTCTCCAGGGATGGACGCTCAGATGCGAGAAGGGTGGCATCAGGAGGGTATTAATGAACCTGTTCGGCAATAGCCTCAAGTTTACCACCGTGAGTTCATTTCCGGCACTGTCCCTGGTAGTTTACTTACGGTATTTAGGACGGTTACATCCAAGTTTCGCTACGTCAATTACCACCAGGAAATGAATCCGAAAGAACCGTCAAGGTTGAACTCAGCGTCATTGATACCGGGAAGGTGGGTAAATTGCTAAGCTATTGGTACCTTAGCTAATGACATCTTGTAGGGGATCAGCCAAAGTTTTCTCAAGGTAATCGCGTGTGTTATGCAACGGAAGATAGATTTAACGTCCCCGACAGAATCAGCTTTTCCAGCCATTTTCGCAAGAGAATCCCCTACAAACTGGGACAGGTCTCGGGTTAGCGATCGTCAACAGCATTGTTCGCTCTCCCAGCGTTGCTGGCAAAGTCGAAGTTGCGAGTGAAGAAAACAAAGGCACAGAGATCAAGGTCATCTTTGAAGCCGAACGTGTACCAGACATTAGCAACAAGCTTCAGGAACCGTTCGTATTCGAAGATCCCGATCAGCCACCTTCTGTTTCTCTGCTAGGTTTTAAGAAACGGGACCGCGGTACAGACCTTTTACGTTCTGTATTGATAATGTATCTGGAGTCGTGGTGGGGATTCAAGATACAACCCGAAGATGGCGAGCTAGGGTCGATTGTAGTCATCAATGAGGACCCGTCCCCAGTCTCGACTGCGACTGAGAAGAGGGACACACATCGATCGTTTATCGTCTTATCCACTTCGCGTGGAGATCCCAGAGTGATTGGCGCATGTAATGCATACGAAAACATGGGTGGATTCAGTCGCATCCTGCACAAACCTGGTGGACCGGGTAGGCTACGTTCAGTGCTGAAGCAGCTTATCCGCACTTCGCACCGTAGGCGCGCCCGGAGGTCGCCCAGCTTCGCTAGTGTCGGAGATGCACCTTCGGAGGACAGTATCTCGCTACACTCTTCGATGCTCGATGACATGCCGACCACGGCTCCTCCCACTAGACGTCCGACGAATGACTGGGTAGAGAATCCAAAATCGCCTGGTTTGGCTTTGCCTAGCCCCGCCCTGTCATCGTCTGTTTCCTCTCGTTCACCCCGCTCTGAAAGAGAGGATACCTATTTCGACCAAGAATCCAGCCATCTAACAACCAGTAATCATCTCAACAGCCCTACTGTTTCTGTAGGCCCAGGCGGAACACTCCTGAAGACATCAATAGGAGCCGCCGAATCTTCACAGAGGCGACGTAGTGTACTGGTGGTTGAAGATAACAGCATTTTGCGAAACCTCCTGTGAGTCCTGATCAGCCACTCTTAGGTTCAATCTAATCGTTCGCAGTGTGAAGTGGCTAACCAAGAAGGTAACGTACATCTCCAACATATGGGAAATGGTGATGCTAATGCACTATCATAGGGATACGACTATCGAGAGGCTGTGGACGGGCGACAAGGCGTCAACATCTACCAGGCAGAGGGCCCGTTCGAGTGAGTATGCTTTCCCGATAAAATGTCTTACTTTCTCATGCCCTCGTAGTGTCGTGCTGGTTGATTTGTCCATGCCTGTGTTGGACGGTGGGTTAATGACCTCTTGCGTCGGGGTTAACGGCATGCTCACATTGAACAGGCGTCGGTGCTACCGTTGAAATTCGCGAGTATGAAGCATCTCAACACGAAGAACAGCTTCACAGCATCATCCTCGCTTTGACCGGCATGTCCTCGCTAGAGGACAAGCGGAAGGCATTCGAAGCTGGCATGGATGGCTAGTGCGTAGGGTTCTCTTCATCACAGGTATTGTGTTGTCCTTACAAATTTTGCGACTACTACAGCCTTGTCAAACCTGTCGCATTCAAGACATTAGATGAAATGTTCACCAAGCTTGGGCTATAGTAAACCTTTTCCTGTCCAGGAGATTGATTGCACTTGCATTTTCCGGGTAGATCTACATTGTTTCATTGCTCCTACTTAAATTTCCTCCTAATGATCCACACGCACCGCACACTAATTTAATTCCAATCGCAATTCCTTGTTCTATATCGGCATCCCCTCATTGCTTGGCTCGAGTCCTGTTCCGCGATTACTTTGGGACTTTTCATCACGTCGTAACATTATGATCTGCGAGCATGTTCCCCTGGCTCACGCACACTCACTGTCTGTATACTATATCATTTCTCCTTTCTTTTGCCCCTGGAGTACTATATAAATGTGCAACGAGCGGCACACGCAACCTTGTATGGCGTATTGTTAGCTATTTCAAGAACCTCTTTCAACATAAGCTGAATGGAAGATATCCCTGAAATTTGTGGGTCAGGAGGGGATCTTCAGGCTTTTCTATTTCTAGCCTCTGATCGGTTGAGGAAAACCCTAGTCGTGTTTCAAGTTGGAACAAGAGTGCGTACGACTAGTACTAGGAGCGCAATTAGTACGCATGATACGAAGCCTCTACTAGCGAGCGTGGCGTATCTGAATCGACTTTGTCAAGCATCTGCGTTGCTGATGATCATTCCATTCAAGCTGCCCTGGCCCTGACGATCCTTCAAGGGAACTTGTCTCAGCCTATTGCCATAGCTTCCGCTTGTACAGGCACACACAGCCTCTGACGGTCATGATCTTCGTTACTTTGGCGGCGATGTCGTTGCCAGGCGTTTGGCCTGAGTCGGACTCTTCCAATCGCCGGGAGTATCCGTCTGTCAGGGGAAAGCGTCGACGCAAGCACTGTGCCAATTAGTATATGTCAACTGCATGTGCACAAATTCAGTTCGAGAAAATGTCGGTTAGGCCACTGTTCAGCGATTTGTATTGGTCTCCTGACCCCTTCGAAGTCTTGATATGCACAAGCTTCCTAATCTGAATATAGATCTCCTTGCAGTCAAATTGAGACGTCTTGCTGAAGCACGGCGTTGTATCAACTGGTGAAGTTGTATGGTGACTAGCGCCCCGTCACTTTCGATGTGCTTGGCTCGAATATCTAACGCTTTGTGAAGTTCCGTTATGTAAATTGAAGCATGTACATTTTGCTGAAGATATAGGACAAGTGTGTTGGTAGTGAATAAATACAGACAGATGCTACAGGAGTTAAAAGATAAAAGTTAGTCCCAATCCGATCATCAAGTGTTGTTGATGGGGGTCATCCAGGAGGAAGCGAAGGCGAATCGACGAGGATTCATGTAGTTTAAAGAAAATGCCGGGCGTTGGAATTGTGTTTCCTTTTGGGAGAAAGAAACCGATCTATGGGCAGATCGGCAATTCAATCCATTTTACAGCCGCTGTTGGATTATCTCGCAGCACCGACAGTTAATTGCGTCTGCGGGCATCTCCTTGGAGAGACCCTAAGCAATCCATGATCGTGCAGCCAGACCCCGCGAGACGGCCGGAAAGGCCAGGCTGAATTACGCTGCCGTCGCGACAGGCGTTGGCCCAGCATCCCCGTTCGTCGATGGGGTCGGGCTAGAGTCCCGCGACCCATTGCCTGATTGCGCCTCGCGGTGCTTGCGGAGTAGACGGTCGAGTGCCTCCTTCTGCCCACATGCAAGCTCACCGGATTGGATGCCAGAGTGGTAGACACGCAGCAACGAGTCGACGTCGTCCATTGACTGCGTACGGACATCTGCAAGTTCCTTGATCTTAGCGGTCGCATCCTTGACCTGTTACGACATACCCATCAGTTGCACGGATCTTAAACAACTTGAACGGGAAATCAGACTGTACCTCATCATCGGTGAGTGTGAGTCCGAGTTGCTCAACGCGTGACTTGACAGCATTCCACCCCGTCAAGCGGTGCCTGATAATCACATCTGTCAACTGCCAATATCAATCATTCATATAGCAGGATCGCTCACCCAATTGAGACGTAGCGAGTCAGGCCAAAATCTTCGGGCTTGAGGATCTCGTAGGTGCTGGGGTTGTTGAGGATGGCCTTGGCGTGAATGCCAGCCTTGTGCGTGAAGGCGCAGTAACCAGTGATAGGGTTCATGAAAGGGACATTGACCTCGACAGCCTCGGCAACAAGATTTTCAATTTCGCGAAGCATCTTCAAGTTGTACTTGGCCTTGACATATTCGGGGTTCGCTGCGTAAAGACAGGCAACGAGGCCACCAAGAGGGGTAATTCCAACGCGCTCGCCAATGCCCAGAACGGCTTGTACTCTATCAGAAACCTGACTATATGCGCCGTGGAAGCTACTCACAAGTGTCGATGTGGGTAGCGCCCGCCTCAAGAGCAGTGTATGCGTTGGCAATAGCCATGCCAGTATCGTTGTGGAGGTGGATCTCGATGTCACAGCCGACGACGCCACGGAGAGTGCGAACGAGCTCATAGACTTGGCGAGGGTTGGCACAGCCCACAGTATCGGCAATGCCGACACGGTTAACACCAATCTTGTCCACGGTCTGGTAGATGGAAAGAAGATCGACGAGGTCTGAGCGGAAGGAGTCCTCGGTACTGAAGCGAACTTCGATGCCCTTGGATTTGACGAAGTTGATAACCTCGATTGCGGTCTTGGTAATGTAGGTCATGTCCTTGCCATGCGAAAACTCGCGAAGGAAGGACGATGTACCAATGACGACGTCGACACCATCAACACCTAGTACGCAGAAGAAAATGAGTTCAACAGAAACATTGGAGATGGAAGAAGACGGGATGATAATGAAGGGCGGGTGCCTGACGGCAGCACTCTAGAGAGCCGAAGCGAAGCGAGATGACGTCGCGACAGGAGGGTTTACTGACCTGTTTCGACAGCGATGCGGGCATCATCCATGTGGCAGCGGATGTGGGTGAGGATCTTGGACTTGAGGCCGAGCTTGCAGATGGCTTCGCAGTCGAGACGTGACTGCTCGGACGCCGCGGGCGAAGTCAGCTCAATGTACTCAACACCGAAGGCATCAAGAGCCTTGGCGATGGCGATCTTGGTCTTGCGGTCGAAGAAGGCATTGGCAAACTGCTCGCCCTCTGGACGAAGGATCGGTGTGAGTTAGGGAAGTGAAAGTGAGAGAAAAGGAGATCATTCGTACCTCTGAGGGTGCTCTCTATGATGCTGAAGTTGGAGACGTTGTTGAGGAAGTCAGATGCGCGAGGAGCATATGGGTTGCGCAGCTGCTCTTCGCGAGGGTGGGTTTGGCCGTTGGAATGGCCGTTGGCGTGACCGTTAGCGTGACCGTTGGTGGCTGAGGGTGCCATGTCGTGGTGCTAGAGGAGAGAGAGAGGATGAGGGACGGATGGAAAAGGGTACGATGTCGGTTGATTATAAGCAAGGGGCCAAAAAATTTGGCAGGATTGAGTCACAACGACTGAAAATAGAAGATATTTAATTTCAGGAAGGTGGCTACTGCGAAGTTGGAGATGAGTTGACAGGCTAAGCTCATCCGGGGCTCGGCCGACAAGGAACACGACAGTCGATCCCATCAAGATGGCCCAATCACCTAAACCTCTTTACCAACCAACAACACTCAACAACCAAATCTACCTGCCACACAGCCAACACCCAATGTCTCATTCGTTCCTGCCCCAATGGCATCATCCATCAGCCCCCTTCGCTGGTAGGGGCACCGTACTACATCACCACAGATCACCACATCTGCCCATCTTATTATTACACTGCCAATGCCATTCAGATTTACTCCTGTTGCGATAGTAATCCCTCATTCTCGACAGGGGCACCGGCTCTCAGATCTCCATCTCCAATCTCGGTCCGCGTCCCGCCATGCGTTGTGTTCTTGCTAACAGAGGAGTCTCTATTTGGCGATCTGTCATGTCACTTAGCTTTACCCTCTGGGCAATGACATCGCTACTGCGCAACTACCTCTGCTTAAATGTGGGTAGCCTGTAGACGCGGATGCATCGCTGGGATGTCTCCGTGTGCCTGGGCGTGATCGGCTCAACCTCCCACTTTGTTGAGTGCACTCTCATGGACCGGCGCGCGCGAGTATCAACTCAGCATGATCATATGGGTCGCAAGCCTAGAGCACGCGTCGCTCACACCGAGTTTCTTGATGGACGCCCTCGCACGAGAGATCACAATATGCCATCGCACAACGGCGACATCGGTAATGGCCCCGCCAACCACAAACAGAACAGAGTAGGCGGGGTGGGGCCGCAGGGGGATCCGTCACAGCAGTCAGGTAGCTCGGTGTGCCAGCAGGGAGATTGGCGATCCCCTGAGAGCATGGACGTCCATCAGCCATTTGAGTGCGTGCGAATGGTCAGTGGCCAGGGGGAATGCCCAAGATAAGATGGGTCAACGAGGCGCACATGCTAGATGGAAAGATACAAAGGCGAACTCACGGACTCGTCGATGAGGGTGGCAAGGTTTTTGCGATAAAGGACGGCGGTGCGCACGTTCATGCTCGACTTTTTGCGCTTCGCGCCAGGTTCAAGAGGGCGCTTATCCGAGATGGTCTCGCGGGCGCGACCTCTCTTGTTCGTGCTGCCCTCAGCATCGTCATCACCTGCGATGAAAGACGTTGAAGGCTCGGCATAATTGGAGCGCTGTGCGAAACAAATGGAGTGGTGAGTTGCGGGGTTATGTTGGAGTCAAGAATGATGGGGGTGTGCACCTCTAGCTCGTCGAGGTGGCGCTTGGTGCGCTTGGCAATCGCATCGGGAGTGAGAGCATAAGAGGCTGAGTTTACCTGTCGGGCAGCTAATCAGGTCAAAGATTCAGCGACACAACCCTAGCATGAACAGATAAATGATGTCTCGTACGCGCCTTGTTCGCGCTCCTTGACTTTCTTGGGAGGCATCGCGTTGGAACGCGTCCGAGTGTTTCGGCCGAGAGAGAACAAGGACGGCCGTCCAGCGAAAGCACGCCATTTGCCTCATGTCTGTGCAAACTCCGCTGAATTTAGGCACAATATTCCCAAAATGGACAAATTCTGTGTGAATATCCTATCAATTCACCTTGATTTGGGTAGAAGATGGAGATGGCACGACAAGTGTGGAGTTACGCGTGCAAGTAGGCGTTCGTTTCTCTCGTGTTCCTCCCCACTTCATTCTGCTGTTTCTACGCCTTACGATCGCTGACGAAGGAGGTTGTACTTGAAAACTAATCTTACCCAACGGAATCCGCGAGCCAGCTCTCGATCGAGATGGCGCCTAACATCGACCCCAAGCTCGCTGCAGCTCATGACCTCCCCACCCCGGAACCTGATTCTCCCTTCCGCCCACGCCAGCCGTACCGCTTTGCCACCCTTTGTGCTACTGTAGAGAATCCAGATCAGAAAGACCAATATGGCTCGAGCTCTGTGCCCATATACCAGAGTGCAACCTTTAAAGGAGTCGGTGGACAATACGACTATACCCGCAGCGGTAACCCAACTCGAAGCCATCTCGGTGAGTCATTCTGTTTCGCTGTGAGCTGGTCACCTGCCAGGCTCCCGCGGTTGTACCGCCAGGCTACCTTGGCATTGTTTGATCTCGCCTAGAGCACTCGCTGATCGCGCGACGTGACAGAACACCATATTGCCAAAATCTCCGCTGCCGCCCATGCATTCACCGTCTCATCTGGAATGGCTGCTCTCGACGTCATCCTCCGCATGCTCAAGCCCGGCGATGAAGTTGTGGCCGGCGACGATCTCTACGGCGGAACGAACCGTTTGCTCGGCTTTCTCAAGGCCCACGGCGGTGTGACCGTCCATCATGTCGACACCACTGTGCCCGATCGCGTGTCGGAGTGCGTTCATGCCGGCAGGACAGCTATGGTTCTACTTGAAAGCCCAACAAACCCGTTGCTCAAAGTCGTTGACCTCGCTGCGGTCGCGAGGGCTGTCAAGGAGCGCGCTCCTGATGCAGTCATCGTGGTGGACAACACCATGATGAGCCCGTACATGCAGCGGCCCCTGGACCATGGTGCGGATGTGGTGTACGACTCGGGAACCAAGTACCTTTCGGGTCATCACGACCTCATGGCAGGTGTAATCGCCTGCAACAGGGACGATCTTGCCAAGGTGAGCTTACAAGATGACACTCGCCGGGGGGATGCTAACCCACTTCGTTTCAAACAGCACATGAGCTTCGTGATTAACGCTGCTGGGAACGCGCTATCACCATTCGACTCATTCTTGCTCCTGCGGGGCATCAAGACGCTTGCTATCCGTATGGACCGACAGCAAACGACCGCACGGCGCGTCGCGAACATGCTCGACGGTCTCGGCTTCAAGGTGCACTACCCAGGATTGGCGCACCATCCTGGTGCAGATATTCACGCCCGCATCGCGTCTGGTCCTGGTGCAGTGCTGAGCTTCTGCACGGGCGACCGTGCACTTAGCGAACGCGTCGTGGGTGCTACACGGCTGTGGGGGATCAGCGTCAGTTTTGGCGCCGTGAATTCACTCATTAGTATGCCATGTGTGATGTCGCATGCGTCCATAGATGCCGCGACACGTGCGGCTCGTGGCCTGCCCGAAGACCTGATCCGCCTGTGCGTCGGTATTGAGGATCCAGAAGATCTTTTGGACGATCTTGAGCGTGCACTTCTCGAGGCGGGAGCCATCACGCGCGTTGCGGGAGAGGGCGAAGTTCGGTATGTGCGTGCCACGGTGCCGCAAGGAGGAGACGTCGTTAGCCGAGCAGTTGAAAGACTGTCGGGGGGCGAGCTGGAGCGGGAGTGGTTTGTCAGTGCTCCGGGTAAAGTGATCTTGTTTGGTGAGCACGCTGTTGTGCATGGCGTGGTGAGTGTATCATATGGCAGCATGTTGATCCCAAATTCTAACAAGTCGCGTTTCTCCATTACTCGCGGACTAAACATACGTTGGACGCTGATCTCAATACGTGCAACATCTCTCCTGGTTCATGGTAACCAATGATATGAAACGCATTAGACTGCGGTGGCCGCGTCAGTAGACCTTAGATGCTACGGTCTGGCTACGCCCCGACGAGATGGGAAGTTGTCGGTGCACCTCATGGACATTGACGAATTCCGGTACGAATGGGACGTCAACGACCTTCCATGGGATGCCTGCACGCCGGTCCGCCCGGACGAAATGCACGGCGACGGATTGGACGCTGGGCTGCTGGAGGCTATTGGCTCGCGGGCAGTGAGTCCGGAGCTGAATCTTCCGGCGAAGGCCCGGCAGGCGTCGATAGCGTTTTTGTACCTCTACATGAGCCTCGCCGCCAATCGGAGCAGGTCCGTAGATCACCTTCTTTCTCCGTTGCTTCGATCGCGCTGACTTCTCTGCCCTATCGCCTTCTTCTCATTAATATCGTCGACGTCACCTGACGGATGCTAAATTGGTTCACCTCCTGCGACACAGACCGTGCTTCAACTTCACGACCCGGGCCACCCTTCCCGTCGGCGCCGGCCTCGGCTCCTCCGCCTCGTACTCGGCCTGCGTTGCAGCTGCCGTTTTGCTCAACCATCGTCGGCTGTCCATTCCTTCCCAGCCCGTCCCATCTCGCCCACCTCACGCCGACGATCCGGGCCACGTTCATGTCTCTCACAGCGGTCGTCGAGCACTGGCGCCCACCGCCGCCGAGGAAGTCAATCGCTGGGCATTTGTCAGCGAGAAGGTCCTACACGGCAACCCGAGCGGTGTTGATAACTCGGTTGCTGTCTTTGGCGGCGCACTGGCCTACACCAGACCAGGTTTCGAGAGGAAGCCCGGTATGGATCCTATCCAAGGGTGAGTATGCTCGTCTAAATTCGCAGACCAGTGCTTACCGTAACCTTCATACTTAAGCTTCAAGAGCCTCCGGTTCCTGCTGACGGACTCCAAAGTGCCAAGAGATACCAAGCAACTCGTTGCTGGTGTCGGCCGTCTCAAGGAACAGGAACCTGAGCGCGTTCGTGCCATTCTTGACCAAGTTCAGTCCATCAGCGACGAGGCACGTCGGTGTCTTGCAGACCCAGAGCTTCCTCGCTCAGACCTCATCGCTGCTTTATCTGTGCGTACACTCTGTTCCTTTAATGTCGCAGGACACACTGACTGAGTTACTGCTTAGGCTCTTATTGACGAGAACCATGTTCATCTTGTGCAACTTGGGGTGTCTCACCCTACACTTGAAGCTATTAGAGCTTCCACTGGCGCTCCGCCTTACGGCCTTAGCACCAAGCTGACAGGTGCTGGCGGCGGTGGATGCGCTGTCACGCTCCTACCTGATCGTGAGGCTTCTCTTTCGAACATGCTAGCTTTTGCTGACGTCCGTCCCGCAAAATCAGAACTGTCAGATGCGGATCTCCAAGCTCTTATTAGCTCACTTCAGGCTGATGGTTTCGACGCATACCTTGCCTCTGTTGGTGGAAGCGGCCTCGGCGTCTTCTCGCCTTATGCCCGGCCGCAGGCTGCTGTTGCAGAGCAGGGACAAGCAGGGCCCGTCACGCCACCAGAGACGCCCCACGAAAGCGAGGAGGGGTCTTTAGAGGCGGAACCCGCGTCTCTCCGTGCAGCATTCGCGAGCGCGCCGAAGGCATCATTCAGGCACTGGGCAGAATCCCAAGGACGTTGGCTGTACGTGTAAAGACTCTGGAGGCTTTCAATGAGGGACTTTGTATCATGCTTAGATGTAATATTAAATATCCAAAAATGCTCCGCAGTCGTCTATATCAACATCCAACATGTTCTGAGCACTCGTTATAGGTTACGTAAATTTGAGCCGGTGGAACGTCTAATACACTAAGGGCCTTCAACAGTCCCATAATTTGCGAATTGGAGTCGACGGCGACCGCCGGAATGTGCTAGCAAAAACAAAGCATGATCATATCTTCCTGCGTAAGCCAACGACAATTCTGCGTCTAACGAGGGTACAGCAAACGTGTAGATTTCTCTTTGTCTATGCCACATTGAAACTAATTGTACAGGGCAAACATCAATAATGCTAGAATACGGTGCAGCCTACAAGACAACATAAGGTTTCTTCTATTTAATGTGTTTTCTTATCAAGATTCAAAGCGATGCGGTATGTTATGTTAGGAACGTAGGAAGCTCTCAAACAGACCTCTATATCTCCCCTAGTCGAAGGCGCTGTGAGGTGCAGGTAACGACTCCTCATTGTCAGCATCTCCGCTGAAACGTTCCAACCTCTGGAAACCCTCGTCATGTACGGCATCTACTTCAGTAACACGCGATGAGTGTCTCTAACTTCGTCGTGGTCCGGACCAAAGTAGCGTGGCGTCTCGAAACTCCATTCAAGATTTCCTACGACCCATTGTCCAGCCGCCTCGAGGAAGCGGGCAGCGTCAGCGTCGACCTTGCCCCCCCACGTCGGGAGCGAGCGACTGCCACTGGTGTAGTGCTCCATAAGCTGTCCGAACACTTCGCCGACGCGATCTGCCGCGGCCTGCAGGTCGATGCCGTGTTCCTGCATGAGGACGGTGACAACGTTGTTGCCGGTGTGGCCCTTGGCTTGCTCCATATTGTAGGAGTACACGTCCTGTAATAGGCATCATTATCAGCGCCAGCTCGGCAGGAAATTTGACACGTAGAGATCTGAACTCACGTTAGACCAGCAGACCATGTCCGCGGCACAGAAGTAAACACTTTGGAAAGCGGGATCGTTGAATACCGCGTCGGGCAGTTCAAGGCCCAGCGCGTACTCGGCGAGGGCGAGACAGCATCGGACGGCGCTGTTCTCGCGGCGGAGCAAGATGAATGAGCGAAGGTCGAGAACACGCCCTTGCTCGCGAAGTTCTGCTTCGACGCACACTGCCTCAACGTATGTCCCGCAGAGTGCAATAAAGCGTCTGAGGCAGCCGGGCTTAGCCCGTTCGGCGACGCGAGCGCGGAATCTGTTGGAAAGAAGCAAAAAAAGTGAGCTAGGGCGCAAACAACAGCTAGAAAGTTGCGGCTTACTCGCGAGTCATCTGCGCAATGAGCGACGTGTCCGGCGCGTCGGGGTCGTTCAAGACGCGAATGAACGAGTCGCAGGTCGAGCGAGCATCGGCGCCACCCATGTCGTCGCTCAGCTCGTCGAGGACGAAGAGAAGGTTGACGAAGTCGCAGCAGGTGCGGAACTCCTCGCGCCCGGCGTATGGCCAGACACGGCTGCAGAGGAGCTCGTTGCAGCCCTGGACGAATTCGGCGCGCTTGGAATCGACGAATGGGTTGTACTTCGCGATCCAAGCGCGAGCCTCGGGGATGACTTCGTCATAGTATGGATTCGAGCGGCCGAATGTGAGGGGGCAGACAGAGAAGAGGTTGGGCAGGATGAACTCGGTGGGGGCGGGTGTCGCTGACATGTTTAGATTGTTGCGGGCTTGGCGGTCGGTTGTTGAAGCGAGTGCAAAGAACACTGAGGAGTGAAGTGGATGTCCATTTGACCTGGGAGACCTGGTTGTTTTATACGTATCTGAACGTCGTGAACCAATGTAAACCAAGACTCGATCTTGCAAAGGCCTCGTCAGGCGAGAAGTCGCATACTCCAAGTTTGAAATCCGGAGATGTCAGCACCGTTTTGCGCCTCGAATAACGACTTGGGCTGATCAACACATTGTCAGATTTTGTTTGCGCAGGTCTGAGACGCGCCGGATGATGCACCGCCGAGGGCGAGCGAGGGATTTGTCGGCGAGCACAAAGCTCATGTCGTCATCTGAGAGCTACCAAAGGAGATCCTGTGCGCAAGATCGTATTCATTGGTCTCGGAAGTCGAAGAAACCAGAATCGGAATATCCTTATCTGTTCCGTCGCAGCAAGAACAAGGTCAGGTCCTTGGAACGGCGGAGGTGGCGAAGCCATGAAAAGCTCTTGCTCTGACAAGGAACCACTTGGCGTAGTCGATCGATGCGTTAGGCTAAAGATAACTGGTGTCACCGTGCCGTAACAGGAGAGGTGTTCTATATCATAGAGGTCCGGCTGTGCGAGGTCCGTGCCCTTACCTATGTGTGCCCCTGTCTCAAAGAGAGGGAAACCCAAGCTACTGCGCACATCTTAACGATGTATAGTTATTAGCGCATACATAATGCACGATGAGTCTTGTTCCATCAAAAACGTGACCTGCTCACCTTAACTTGTTTGGAAATACAAGAGCCGTAGAAGTCAAAGTTGCATAAAGATTGACGGATTACTCACCAGAAAGGAAGTATCGTAGCTAACACACCGGCCTTCAGAGGCTTATCCAACGCTGATGGCTTTATGAGAGCATGCCATTCATGGTCTAGGTGAATACAGATGTAAGATATGAAAGCGCCCGGAGTCACAGTACCGAGAAATCAGAAGCAGATACGGTAGCTGGCGTAGCGCCCACTTGTCTCGCTAGGACGAGTAATTTTGACTACCTGGCCTCGTCGGAGGCCGTAATAGCGGGCGACAGGATCCGCCAGTTGTATGCGAGGAAGCTGCGTGTCCTTGAGGCGGCTGGATGAAGTCGTGAGCTGATCCCATGTAGCGTCAAAAGAGAATAGAGGTTTACTATTTTTCAAGCAATGCCTTTTTTTGTTCTGGGGTGAGCACTTCGTGCTTAGGTACCAGGATATGGTGAGTGATATTGACGAGAAGGTCTGATTCAGAGAACTCCTCTATGCGATATTGGGATGCCATCGCCACAATAACCTGAGATGATGAGTTACTGCACGGTCATGCAGATGCCGGTGCAGACATACCTTGCGAGCAGCACCCGTCATGGCACCCGGGAAGATGATGATTGCCCGCTGGATGGATTTTTCCTCGAGAATGGCAATGAGCCTATTGTATCAAGATGCTTAGCCGACGACCGGGAGCGGTATGAGCGAGGTTGGCTCACTTTCGCATTGTCTTGATACCGACACTACGCTCATCTGAGAAGTAAATAAAGATCTGTTCGGTAGGGTTTTCCTGCGAATTCGTGAAGAAATTGAGCTGATTTCGACTGTGGACGCGTCAATGAGGGTATTTGTGGGTGGACGACGCGCTCACTCTACGCTGCCGCCGTTGTTTGCGTAGTGTGACTTGAATGTAGCGAAGTCCATGTGTATCTCGTCATCTGAAACTTGGTATCCCTAACCAGTCTTACGAGCAAGTGCATAGAGCAGTGCTGAAGCTCACCCTGTCCTTTACAAGTTCGTGTACTGTGCGATTGACCTTCCAGAGCTTTGCGGTCTCGTCCTCGGCCATAGTGTAGTGATTTAGTCAAAGAGTGTATTGAAACTCAGCCACAACCAGCCGCGGCCTTGACATGCCTCCACCAACAGCACCCAATGCCTCCTCGTCGGCGGCGACAATTTCTCTCAATGATGCTATCATAGTGAGTAGCTCTGGTCTACTGCTGTTCGTTTGTATCTTACAAGAAGGTAGACTAAGCTCAAGCCTGCCAAAATCTTCAAAGGAGCCGTCGAACCAACTCCGCAACCTCCGTCTGGGGGCTCACCCAGAGGTCACACAGGTCCGAGACATATTACAGCGCTCAGCTTTGACGACCGGGGGGACCAAGTCGTAACGGCATCCGAGGACGAAACGTTTAGGCTTTATAACTGTAAAACTGGCAAGCAAGTTCTCTTATTTGACCCATTGCCAAGTTGGACTGACGCGTAGATGCGGCTTAGGCATCTCAAGACACTTTATTCCAAGAAATATGGCGTCGACCTCCCGAGGTTTACGCACAAGAACACGACGATAGTACACACTTCAACCAAGGAGGACGACACAATTCGATACCACTCTCTTCACGACAACAAATACCTGCAGTACTTCAAGGGACACAAGGGACGCGTCGTCTCTCTAGAGGTCTCGCCTGTTGATGATGGTTTCATGTCCGGCTCCCTTGACAAGACCGTGCGTCTCTGGGACCTTCGTTCACCCCAGTGCCGCGGCCTACTCAACCTACCGTCGTCTCCAATTGTTGCGTACGACGCGACGGGGGTCGTTTTTGCCGTCGGTGTGAACCACTACTCGCGCATCCTGCTTTACGACCAAGCCAACTTCGACAAAGCGCCTTTCCTCACCATTGTACTCTCAGATCCTACGCTGAGCATGATCAGCTACCCTCCACGTCCAATCTACATGACTTCGCTGTCGTTTTCCTCGAACGGAAAATACCTACTCGTTGGATGCTCTGGGGACGCGCACTACGTGCTCGACGCGTTTGAAGGGCATCTACTCGCTAAACTTGAAGGACATGTTGGTCTCGAACGTCGACGCATCGATGTACAACCCGGCATTGACCCTATCAAGGGGAGTAGTGGTGAAGAAGTGTCATGGACTCCCGACAGCAAGTACGTAGTGGGCGGGAGTTTGGATGGTCGCATATGCGTTTGGGATATGCAGAAACTTCCGGAGCGTATGGGTCCGATTGACCACCAAATTCCTCCTGTTCGCATACAGCCAACCACGACTCTCGATGGGCACCCAGGCCCTTCTCGATGTGTTAAGTTCAACCCCAGGCTAGCAATGATATGCACGGCTGGTGCCGAATTGGTACGCTTCCGAATGACTTACGAAAGAGGTTTATAGTTAACCATCTTGTATTTAGGCGTTTTGGCTTCCGGACCAATCAGGAGATCCAGAAGAGATTGCGAAAGATCTCTTGAAGAAGAAGTGAAAATACTTCCCGTGTTGATTTGTATCTCAGCAATATCAGACATGTATGAACTTGCTCGTTCGTTTCCGGAATAATTCATCCCAACTGCTTCCTAAGCATTGATTGCAGAGCGTAACAGTAGCTAGACAGCACAGCAATCGTATACAACTAATCTACATGAAAATGCGAATATTAACCATCAAGGCGAGTGATCCACATTGCGCTGTCTCCTCAATCTCCCGAATTAAAGACAGTCCATTCAGTTATTAAGTCAACGTAGCGAGCGAAATCTGGTTCTTTGATTGGTCGACAGAGAAGTACGCGTTCTTCAAGAACACATCACCAACCAACCATTCGTTAGCACCACCGACGCTTCCAGGTTGGATTCCTGCAGTGCAATCGCCGGTAGGGTTATTGATGTCCACAGGGAGGACGGCCATGTCCTGAGGCTCAATGCTGAACGCCGTGTTGCCGAAGGTAAGAGCAAGACTGGCATTGGCCGTGCAAGGGATGGTGCATTGCTGCTGGTCACATTGTCCACCAAGCATCTGCATAACGGTCGCTGCGTCCTGAGCAGGGGCGAGGATGAGGGTGGTGCCGGTGTCGAGGATAGCAGTACGCCCCTGCAGGCCAGCGCTTTGACCTCCGACAGAGAAATCATCAACTGCACCCTCCCAGAAACCTTGTTGGTTGACATTGTCGAAGGTTGTCAGGGTGTTCTGGTCGAACTTGGTAGTATCGAGAGCGCCGAAGGTGATCTCGCCATCATTGAGCTGGTCTGACAGACGAGAAATCTTGAAGGAAGCGATAGGAGCCGAGATGAGCCCCGCCGTGGCGAGGGACTCGACAGGAGTGGGGACTCCCTGTTCCGACAACGTCTAAAGAGTACATGGTTAGCACACAGTTGCCTTTACTAACAATCGAAATTTCGCACAGATTGAGCAAGACCCATCAAACCGTCAATGGGAGCGCCGGTAAACTGCTGGGACTCTTGAAGAGCGACACCAAAGGAATGATTCGTTAACGAAAGTCCTGCAAGGTTCACAGTGTCCTGGCACTTGAGGCCTGCGACAGCACCAGAACCGTACTGGACTTGGAACTGCTGGTTGCTTGCAACGAAGGAGCTAGAACCCTGAGAGCCCAGCAGTGTTGCATTGCTGCTCTGTAAACGCGTCAAGTCAGTACTTGATATAACTACAAGTGCTCTCAAGACTCACGCAATCCGTGCACTGCTCGCTACCAACCCAGAAGTCGGCGGAGCCGGAGTCCATGATGACGTTAAAGTTCTGCGGGGGCGTGCCAATCTGAACGGTCGCGATGTACGAAACATCATCGGCCCTAGAACGCAATCAGTTTGCAGCTCATGGAACATGTGCGTCATACTCACTCAATATCAAGTCCCAGTGTGTTGTTGGCGGTGGGCTTGTTGGCAGCAGTGAGGCCATTCCCCTCAGCAGCCTGAATGTCGATGGGAGAAACTCCACTACCTCCGCCGGAGGCGTTGGTGCCATTACCCGCGGTGGAACCCCCGGTAGACTGGTTGCCTGCACCAGCACCATTGCCTTTCTGCTTGTTGCGGTCGGAGGCAGCCATGCCAGCACGGTAGTGGCGCTTGCTAAACACGCTACCAGTAGGCACGAGGTCCCTCTTCCTCTTTTCCTCGTCCTCGACTAAGACGATGCGCTTCTGCAGATTGTCACGCAGCTCATGGTCTGTGGGAACATCACGACCAGTCATGCGAGCCAGCCTGCGATGACCGCGGTTAATGTGCTGCTGCATGAGCTAAAGGTGGAATTATTCGTAAGTATACAATTATCCGGTTAACAAGAATGAGCTCACGATCTGGGGATGGATGTCATTCCGCTGGACTTGGTGGCGCCTCAGGGGCAATGTAATGGTCCCAGATGCCTTGCGTTTGGCGGGGAGAGCCTGAACGACGAGGGCGAGGTAGAAGCTGGCAAGAATGGAATAAAAGGATGGACTGAAACGCATGTTGACGACGATATGCGAGCGTTAAATGAGAGCAGGGAGAATGAGTCGACTGGCGACGAAGACGAGCTAGACTAGCAAGCTCGGGAAGTGGGATGTTGAGAGAGAAAAGTACAGAAAGCGGCACCTGGCCTGTGGTCGAATGGGATGATGTTGGAGGGTGATGGGGGTGAGGAGGGTGGAGATCATGGTGCTGGCCCATCCTTTTTATAATTCAAACGCCCAAAGCACCCTCTTTGTCCCATGTTCTCCTCTTCGTTGCTACCAGTCCCAAATAGGAAGTCCTTCGAAGTCGATGGTCGTGGGTGTGTTTCCATTTATAGGGGTTACCAAGAAGCATTCTCCTCCTGTGGGGCAACGTTGGACAACCCGCCCGCGGCAACGAGACTATTGTCATGGTGCCCTATTATGCTATGGAAATCCATTCACACTCGTCAAATTGCATAGAAATCTGGGAAGCGACACAATGCTTTGTGGTATACTCATCGACTCAAACGGCCACCCAGCTCACGGCTATACATCACCCTATATCAGCTCAAGCATCAATGCGCGGCGGTGTGCTAAGTTGTTCGGCCACACATTGCTATTGCAAACGTTCTCTGCCTCTTGGTGGCCATGCTTGTGCACGACTGACCTGCAGGTGTTTCCTTGGTCACTGTGGGGATGTCAATCTGTCTCCTTGCCATCCAGCTCTTTGTCTCATGTGTGCCCCTCCCCAGCCCCTAGGTTTGAGGAAAGCGTCCTATCCGTCAAAAGACTCCTCATAACGAGAAAATGGTCCCTTTCTTGCGTCATGAGGTGACGACGTTTACACTGCACTGTTCATGGGGGCGTTTGGACTGGCAGTACGTTTCATCACGGTCTTGCCCCTAGGCACCTGGTGTTCGAAGCTCAAACATTGCGACGGTGAGAATCATCAAGCAGGCTGGGCCCAGGTGATTTCCATTGCCTAGGTATATTCTCCGGGGTTTGAAAAGTGCCAGCAAAGCGAAGTGAAACGGTATCCTTTGTCCTATACCATGTGCTACAAGACCACGTATTGTTTGGCTCGGGTTGCATAAGGTACCTAGTGCCCCACAACGATTGGCAAGATGGAGAGAGATACAACAATCGCATCAGAAGACATCACAGCCGGGCTGTTCTCCCTCCAAAGCTCCCTGGTAAAGGGAAAGGAACTTTTGACGCGTCTAAATTAACCACGTCCAGGCAGTCGCGGTACAGATAGGCCTGTGGTGCACGAGGGTCAGTGCATCTTGCGCAGCATCTACATCTATATCAGACGGCCTACTTTGATCACGCCCCATACGCCCTGTTTGGGCAAGGCGCTGACTTCCCGTGCAAGCTCCGTAGCTTTCTTGAGGACACCCGCGGCTCCCTCTGCGCCGGGCGCCAGGTGGTCGACCATTTGAGCGGTGAGTGCCTCACTGGGCGTAAAGCGATGGCCCTCCAACGCGACTTTGCGACGCGTGCCAGGAGCAGTCACCTTGGCGTTAAGCACCGCAGTAAAAGAGAGAGGCCATGGCGCGCCGAATTGGACCTAACATCATAGGTGAACGCACTCGAGTGGGTTCAGACCTGAGCACAAACCTCATTCATGCACATCCATGCCCGACGCGTGCTACCGTCAGTCATGACGCGGTAGTCACATGCAAGGGCCAACATCATGCCCGCCGCGAAAGCGTGCCCATTGATGGCGGCAATAGTTGGGACTGTTGTGGTGTGTCAGCTCTGTAACGCTCTGATTTGTTCCGCAGATGATTACTCGGGAAAGTGAGTACACGGTCAAGCAGTGGGTTGGCGACGTCTAGAAGGACGGTTTAGTCGACAGCCCAACCAACTGCAAGGTATGATAAACCCACTCGTGAAGAAGTCGGGGTCAGCCTTGATGCTCTCGTAGTCAAATCCGTTACTGAAGAACTTGTCTTGTGAGCGCTTCCCGATGAAGATGAGTGCGCCGCGCCCAGCTTCTTTGTCCTTAGAGGACCGACCAGAGTCGCGGTTCTGTGTCCAATGGGCCTCGACTGCATCGAGTGCTGGCCTCAAGGCATTCCTGATGAAGTGCTCGGTCAAACGCGAATCATCGCCGTTATGAAGCTCGATGATCCATAGGCCATGTTCAGCTGTTTGACCAATTGGATTGTGTAAGCGCGGATGAATGAGATGTAGATAGGAGGAAAACGTACGGTATGTGAGAGTAAGCAGGGGTTCCTTCGCTGGAAGAGAAAGTGGATAGGAAGACGGCGCTGAGGGGCTAGGCATCGTTCAGAGCGTGTAGGAAGTATACGTGTTGCGAGAGGTCAGGTCAAGAGTAGCTGAGCAATTATCATGCCCTTCATGTCCCCGCCATCCATAATAGCCGGAGTGCACGCGCGCCGGTGGTAACACGGATCGTTTTGACGCGCGCTAGTACTTACCCGGGAGCTGGCACCGAAGGGTGTGCTGCCAAACAAAGGCCAAATATTACCATTCCGTGTCCTGCCACCATGTCCGACGCTCCGAACGCAGAAGCTCTCAAAGGTATTGTCTTCTCCTCTAGTCAGTTCTCGCCTGACGTAGGCATCTTACAGCCAAGGTCCGGGAACGCGACGATTACGTGCGAGAGTCCTGGGTGAAGGCAATGGAGGCACGCCTGGTCCGCGACGAGCTTGTCAAATGCCAACGCTATGAGGGCGTCAACCACCTTGAGAGCTGCAGGTGGCTGTCAGACAAGTACCTCCAGATGCTCCAGGAAAACAAGGCACGTCCTTCTACTACGCTGTCGAGATTATCACCATTTATTGTTCTTCAGGTCAAGGGCTACAAACACATAGACGTTTAATTGCTATCCCCAGACTCTGTCACACACTCTGCGGACTAACGCATACCATAGAACATCGCATTCACTAGCAAGGGAAAGGATGCACGTCAACCGTGGAAATTTTGTAGGGACATATGTATGGAGTCCCATAACAAAGCACGTTTGCACGAAAACCTCAAATAGAGAATAGCGTAGACTTTTTGGTCCTACGAAATACATACTACGGGAGCTGTAGAGTAATTACTTGCGACCTTTGCGCTTCCTGCCCTCATTACCGCTGGTCTCGGCGCCGCTGAACTCGTCACCACTGCTCAAAGCGCCAGTCTTCTTGCCTTTCCCCTTCTTGAGGTGATGCGCGGGAATCCACTCTTCCTGGTAGCCTCCAGCGCCAGTGGCGGTGACAGTTCCAACGGGTGAGCTGACTTCGGAGGGATTGGCGTTGACACGCTTGCGCTGCTTCTTAGGCTGAGGCGCGTACGCAAGGTACGCGTAGTAGGCGCCACCGCCGAGAAGGCCAGCAACAATGAGGTAGGTCGAAATCCTATGAAGTTACAGTGAGATGTGGTGGCTACATAGCGACAAGAAAAACGTACAGCTTGAAGTCAAACCAGGAAGCCTCGGGCTCTACAACGGTGACTATGGAGTCATAGGCCATGATACGGAAGTTCTCGTCCTACCCAATGCGTTGAGAGACGGGACAACAGGTGCAATCACGATACTCACCTCAGTGACGTCCAACCAGACGTTAAGCCGTATGTCACCCGGCTAAAATCATTTTTAGATATGAAAACGCGTTGGTAGGGTAGAAACGGACCTTAAACCTGTGAAGCAAGAGTCAGCGGTCGTTTGAGACGCGTAAAAGAGGTCACGTACTCGCTATGGAACGTGTACGGAAGCTGAAGCTTAGCACCCTCGATCAGCCGTAGGCCGTAGTTGAGTGCAGTGGTCTTGCGACAAGATGTTAGTTGACACAAGTAGTAAGGAGTGCAACAGCGAAGGTTACACGCACGTTTCGCAAGAGACCATTTGTCTCCGGATGATGGAAAGAGCCAGCGATAGACTGAAGCGTGACGTTTCTGTCCGACTTGTTCTCAATTGCAAGGAGGATTTGGTTCCGCTCGCCATTCACAATGTCTGCAAGGGAGTGCTCTAAGCAAGCTTCATTGGCGTGGGAGGAGCAGAAACGTACGACCGAAGGGATTGCTCTCCGGGAAGACAGCCTCGACCTCAATTTCGGGCGGGGAAACCTCAAGTGGACCTGGAAAACGTCGCGTCAGTATACTTAGCCGGAACGAGCGCGAAGCGGGCAACATACTAGCAGAAACCGAGTACAACAGCGACGCGAGTGCAAACGCGCTCTGGAAAATGGCGAAAGGACGCATGCTGTGTAAAAACCGTTGACCGAGGAAAACCAAGAAACGTTGCACAAGTCAGTGGTGTATGGCGTAGGTCTGGCTTGACTTTGATTTCATTTCCTAGACTGCCACGTCCCCATAGACACTTCAGGGCAGGCATACCACGTGATCTATATACCCCTATTTACGAGGGGGTAACATAAATAGGACTGCTACAGTGTACATGTGGTACTTGTACATGTACAATGCGCGTAATATGGTCGCACGCACGGTATACTATGGTAACACTAGCACACAATGGTCTTCATGTAAGTAATGCAGACTAACGATCGAATTGTATATGACACCTACCTGGAATCTCCGGTCTCTCCTTCATACACATCCCTTCTTTCATGAAGAGGAGTTGGATCCACAATCACCTTCAACTTTACCTCGTGTAACCACGCCACTTGTCCGAATGACGTATTGGGACATTGCATCGGCAAACAGTTTCATTCCGCCACACCCGTGGACTTTTCCATTGGCGCAGATCAGCACTCGGATGACTGGTTATAGCCTAGCATAGCTCAACTGCCCGCGAAACCTGAGGCAGAAGGGAGTGTGCTTCTATTATATTGCGTCGCTCGGATTATTGATACCTCTTGGTGGGAATACAACATAGGCGCCGGCGGACCTGTTGCGCGCGGAGAGCCATAATAGCATGGTACAAGACGTGCATGAAACGACATATGATAATGCTTGAGGGAAGATGATGGCGACTAATTATTGCACTTGGGTTAGAGTTAGAGAGTGATCGTCAAGTAGCCGGAAGTGCGCGAAACTGACAATAAGAAGAGAAACAAGGAAGGCAAATGAGTGGATATGTTTGATACAGGACCATAATAATAATTCAATCCGGTTTGGAAAGTCGGGACACGATGGTCGAGTGTTCGGCAAGAGTACGTAGATCGCGCAGAACGACAGCTGCAGGACCAGGCAAGCATCCAGCTTGAGCAGTGAGGTGATATACGACAGATAGAGAAAGTCGGATATCATGCTTCCTCGGAAATGGCTAGGGAGAAATAGGGGTGATGAAGGGCTTCCCGCACAGTAAGTCGTTGGTTGGGGTCAAACGCGAGAAGCCTCCGAACAAGGTCCAGGAAATGCTGGTTCATGATGTCAGTCGGTGGTATTACATCCTGCGCAGCAATTAGCCAGTGCATGCGTTTATAATCTTGCTAAGAACGCACCTGAAGCATCCTCGTGGCTTTAACATCCTTCTTGCTTTGCCGCGATGCCTTCGGCTTTGGCCAGTCAAGTTTAGACCCTTCTTTGAAGAATTCGGGCTTTGAGCGTGCGCCACGGCGGGCAAAATGTTCTGGCATCTTGCCCATGACAGCCTCCATCATTGCCAGGTGCTCAAGGTTGTCGTGTGTCTGATAGAGGGCGACACCAGTGTAAAATTCGACTAGAATGCAGCCTAGTGAATATGCATCACAAGGATACGACCAACCCAAACCTGACAGATTATCAAAAGCGGAAGCAAATGAGTGCACGTGGGAATTATGATGAAATTAAGGGCAACGAACCGAGAATGATTTCCGGCGCTCGGTAGTGACGAGTGGCTACTACACTCGAATGATATTCTTCCTCAAAAGTAGCTGAGCCGAAGTCGATGAGCCGGATGTCGGTTGAGTTTAGTATCCGCTTAGTCCGCGGAGGCGCATTCTTCTATAGATATCATGCGAGGTGTTATGAGCGTAAACATGGGCGGCTGAAGTCGGGAGGAGCAAACTGACCTTCCCAGGCACGGGCACTGCAATTTCCCTGAAATCGTTACGAACCAGTAGAATATTCTCTGGCTTCAAATCCGTGTGGATCAAATGCAAATCATGTAAGACTGTTCGCGTCTAAGAAACCAACAATAGCAGAAAAAAGCGATGGCCCACTTACAAGCTACACTTCCGAGGAGCTGTCTTGCGAAAGACTGTATGTGGTGGCGAGGAAATGGGGCGAAGTCGTTCTCTTTCAAGAAGTCGTACAAGCACATTCCTAGGAGCTCCGATACCAAGCATACGTGGTTGCGATGGTCGAAAGATTGTAGTAGATGTATGCATTTGCTACAAGCTCCAACATCAGAATGTCACATTTGGCGATGAACAGTTGCCTACTGTTGATTGAGAGGGTCCCTTTCTTTGAGTCGCTGCAGGACGCGAATTTCTATCTTGCTTGCATCGCGATACTTGGGTATCGCGCGTATAATCTTGATGGCAACTTTGTTGCTGGTGTGCGTGTCGACGGCCTCCACAACCTTACCAAAAGTCCCCTGGCCAAGCAAGCGCACAACACGATCTGGTCGTGGTCAGCCAGCGTGAAACGTAGCATAGAAACGGACTTACATCTGTGATGAATCATATCATCGGGGTGTATAAGATAATGACCTTCCTTGTCATCACAAGAAACAGGGCCAGTCGAAGCCTGCGGGAGCGAAGAGTGCGGAAATTTAACGTTGTAGGGCGGACAATGGAAGAACAGTTGTTACGTACGCCTGCAGTGGCAGCCCCGCTGCCGCTAGCCCAAGACTTTGTTGAAGTGAGTGCTTGCTGGGGAGGCTGTTGATGAGGTATTACTGGCTTTTTGGGAAGAAGCCGGGACTCGTCGGCGGGCTCCCGCTTTCTCTTCTTGATTGGAGGGGCGGGCATGACAGCAGAGGATGTGCTCGCAGAAAGCGCCTGAGCCTCGGCAGCTGCCCTGGCCCTCGTGCGCACGGGAGCGGAGTATATAGGAGGCTGGTAGGAGGCCGAGTAACCATTGTGGTGGGACGTTGCGGGCGATAGCGTTGATGGAGGAGGTGGAGTGTCATCTATAACGATGACTTCGCGGACTCTGCCTTCAGGATCCACTTCTTGTACTTCACTATAGCTGACTGTGTACTGATGTGCGCGTTTGCGTTTGCGGGAGGTGACTGGAGGGGTGGGCATTATTGTGGGATTGGGGAGTGTCCGTGCGCCATTGAGGACGAGTGGTTGTGGCTGATACTGAGAGAGCATTGGAGTCGGCAGCTGATAAGCAGCGACCTGCATGAAAAGGATGAGCGGAGGATGGTGGTAGGAAGAGGAGGAGGGAAATGGCAACGGAGGGCTCTGGGAGGCTGCACTGGCTTGCTCGACAGTCTGCTTCGCTGAGAATGCAGCCCGCAGGACGAGGTGCTAAGTATTTGTTATGCACTGTTTGGACGGAGCCACCCCATCCAAAATATCAATTTCAAGCAAACGCGGACACCGTTCGTCGAATAAATGATGCTAAAGGCGTTTTTAAAACCCTGACAGCCCGCGCTCTTGCCGGAGGATGTGGTCTCTTATCGTATTCGCTGCAAGATCGATCGCCTCTCGGTTTCGCCTGCCCCTCTCGCCTCGTTGACCGGGATGCACTACATGATGCACGTTTGTCTCCCTATTCCAACCATGATGACATGGGTCCAGAAAGCCAGACCCGCGCCATGCCGGCCCACGCTCGGCACAGTCATCGCTGCGCAACCATTCACACCAAAATTGGGGGCCGGGCTGCTTGCATGAACACACCCGAGAGTCAATCATAGTCATCAAAACCACGGCAGCACCTCGCAATCAACACCCTAAGTAAGTTACTCAACAACAATACGACTGCCTAAAGGAGACGTGCCTGAAAGAGGGGACCACTCGGGAAATTCCTAGATATTCAATCTCCGCGTCGGTCTGCGTCACGGCAGTCACGCTGGGTCACGGGCCGGGACGTCACTCGGCCAACTGCTCGCGTTCGACTGCGACGACGAGCTCCATTCCACGGACCAGACACACCCCCTTGTCTGTGGCACGGAGGAAAGAGCGGCGACATGCGCGGTCTTCCCTTTCCAACGACGCCCCCTCTCGAAACCGAAGCCGTGAACGAGAACGGAACCTCCTTCAACCCCGGCGAAGACATACCCATTGATCCTGCTCTCGCAGGAGGCTTTGCGGCTAGCTATGTAGCCGTGGAGCAGTCCCTCGCCCAAGCTCAGTCTTTTTCGTCACAGGTAAGTGGTGATGGAACAAGAGGCTGTGTCGTCGCGTAAGGCGCTGCGTTCTGGCGTTCAGACGCGTCGCGTCTTGTAATTAGTCCTCGTGTTTATTATTCATGGACCAGGTTCCACCGGAAATGGCTCCTCCTCCACGACACTTCTCACAAGATCCATCGCAGTATGACCAGGGCCCACGAGGTGACCCATTTGCCCCCCAATCGCAAACAGCTTATCTCCCAGTCCGGGCGGAACCCCCTCCTCCAAAATCGCCCAAGAAGAAGCGCAAACCGCGTCGCGAAGAGGAATGTAGCTTCTGTCAAGGCGATGACAGCAATAATCGACAGGGAGAGCCCGAGAGGATGGTTACTTGCGAGGATTGTGGTAGAAGTGGTGCGCATATACCGTCTAAACATGTCCTTTCCACTTAGTCAACCGCAGGACACCCGAGCTGCATGCAACTAGAGGGGGTTGGGGACGTCTTTAGGTCGTATCCTTGGAAGTGCATCGAGTGCAAGACCTGCGAAATATGCCGAGAAAAGGGTGACGATGTAAGTTGCGCATCATAACCTTCTTGTGCTTCGTGCTTACCGGGTTCTGTCTAGGCGCGTATCCTATTTTGCGACTACTGTGATCGAGGTAAGCGATGCCTTCACGATACTTAGAACCTCGTGCCTCCAGGCTCATCTATTGTGTACAGGCTGGCATATGTATTGTCTTCAGCCGCCTCTCGAAGAGGAGCCCCCTGGCAAATGGCACTGTCCAATGTGCCCTGACCTCACACAAGTCCAAACCATGTTCAACTATCTGAATGAGTCTACTTCTATACCAGCACATATTGAGAAGAACAACGATCACCTCGCAGAGGATGCCCATGGAGAGGAAGACGTTGACATCGAGGGTGAAGGCGAAGAGGACGGAGGCGACAGCTCTCATCATTCATACCAAGAAGCAGAACTGCGAGAAGATGTAACCATCCATGATCAATCACCTCAGAAACGAAAGAAGGCGCCTTCAAAACGTAAAGCTGATTCAGAGACTCGAAGTAACAACGTCAAGCGCATGCGGATACGCGTCAAGTCGCCGTCCAGCCCCCTTGTGGTTCGCTTGCGTATACCGCCTAAAGGAAAGGGCAAGGAGAAAGAGGAGGATGTGGATCGCAACATCTTTGAGGATATCCTCAGCGTAGATGACAGGGACATCGCGAAAACGACAATCGAAGCTGGCGACAGGGCGCGCTTTGAAAGAAGCAAACACATTGCTGAGGTACGCTTATTCAAGCAATTGCGAACAATCATCCTCAACCGTACACTGTCCCCTTTCAGGACAAATTAGCGCCACAACCCGAGCCGGCTGCACCCTCGGAACCTCCAGAATCGCCCATAGCCGGCCCTTCGTCCCGCCCACTACGCTCAAGCATCGCTCACCACCACGTATCTGGCACTCCAGCATCTCCAGTGCCCTCAACTCCTTTCCGTTGCACTCCTGGCGCAACTCCTTTCACTCCCACCTTTTCCCAAACACCCTTCACAGCGTCGAAAACACCGACTCTCCGCATTCGTACTATCCGCTTCGGCCCCTTCGACATACAAACGTGGTTCGATGCCCCATTTCCGGAAGAATACGCCAACCTTCCTGATGGTCGACTATGGATTTGCGAATTTTGCCTCAAGTATATGCGCAGCGGCTTTGCCTTTGGTCGACACAGGGTATGTTAGGCCCACTTTCATATGCTCGTGTTTATCATTTGTTCTTTAGATGAAGTGCAAATCGCGCCATCCTCCAGGGGATGAGATCTATCGTGACGGCAATGTGTCCATATTTGAAGTTGATGGTCGCAAGAACAAGGTGTGACCTATGTTGCTGTGCCTTGTCTGCAGAATCTGACGAAGCTGTAGATATACTGTCAGAATCTCTGCCTTCTATCAAAGATGTTCTTAGATCACAAATCATTGTTCTATGATGTCGAGCCCTTCCTGTTCTATGTGATGACCGAGTTTGACGATATTGGAGCTCGGTTCATCGGATATTTCAGCAAGGAGAAATGCTCGCCGAAGGATTTCAACGTCAGCTGTATTATGACTCTACCAGTCCGCCAACGTCGTGGTTGGGGGAATTACCTGATTGACTTTAGTATGTCGTCGATGATCCTCTCGATCTGATAATGTGTTGAACTTCAGGTTTTTAGGCTATCTCTTATCAAAGAAGGAACGGCGGTTAGGATCACCTGAGAAGCCGCTCTCTGGCCTCGGTGCCTTGGGATACAAGAATTACTGGACGCTAGCAATTATGCGTTATCTCCGAGAGGCCCCAGATAATCCACTTTTGCAAGGTACCTCATCTTTCCATGCCCCTTGATCACGCTGATCATGGCTGTAGACATTTGCCAAGCGACCTCGATGACAATGGAGGATGTATACAACACCCTGAAGCAACAAGGGATGATCACAGTTTTGACAGAGCCTACTCCGGCCCCTCGCCCGCCACCAGGTCAATCCATCAAGTTTCCCCGTGGTCGTAAGAATGGTCTTGCGCGTAAACACTTACAGCGCACAAACACGCAGAAGGACGGCGAAGTCAAGGGTAAAGCCAATGCACCCTTTACTCCTCCCACCAGCTACACTATACAATGGAATAAAGATCAGGTGTCCAGCTACCTGGAGCATTGGGAGAAGAAAGGCTACATGAAGCTGAAAGCGGAGAAACTGAAGTGGACTCCATTTGTACTCACCAGGACAAAGTGTTTGGGAGAGGCCATACAAACCCAGGAAGCGGCGGGAGACACTGGTGCAGTGATTGGCAGTGTTGGGGCTTCCAGTGGAGTAGCAAAGCCGCCACCCGCGCACATCGAGGTCAAAGGTGTCACCGACGATGTCATACAGGTGCCCTGCACTCCTGGCGTGGTCTCGATGATAATGACGGAAGAGCCTACATCTTTAAACATCTCGGACTCTCCTGCCGCACGTCTGTTTGACGACATCCTTCCTGCTACGAATAAAACCAAGGAAACACCGTCTCCTCGCAAACGTTCGCTGCGAAGCTCAGCACCCGAGGGGCAGACACCGCGTTCCACCCTATCTGGCACCCAGTCGTCCCGGGATAATCATACACCATCTCGTCCGCCACTCCCTCGTTCCATCCGGTCTGCCTCCGCTCGCTCTCAGAATATCAACTCAACAGCCCTTCCGGATACTCCCACACGAGCCGACCGGCTTACACGGCGGCCTGGACGTCCTTCCCGAGTAAATCCGTCGGAAGGCCCTTCGGTTGACAAACGGGGTCCAAGTCCTTCACTGCCCGTCAAATCACTCTCACGGAAGCGCCGAAGGCTCGATACGCCAGATTCGGACAGCATGTCCGCATTGTCAGCCATTCCTGAGACGATAGTCGAGCATTCGAGTGCCGCAGCATCCCCTTCGTCGAAGGCATCCTCCCCTGTAGTACGGGTTAATGGTGCTTCCGAGCAGGTTCACCCGTCTGCTGTTGTCAATGACGTCGCTCCGGCGGTGATCCATGTCAATATTGAACCAAAGTACGAAGACATGGGTACGCCCCTTACTACCTCAAATGGAAGACACAGCGCTCCTAGCGATGACACGCTCTGCAATACAGAGACGGCGCATTGCCCGACGACCAAGGAGCAGCCTATTGACGCGGCTGCGACACTGAGTTCGGGAAATGAAAAAGATACGGGGATGAACGGTCACGCAGGGGATCATTCGCAAGGTGCGGTGGATTCGGACGTGGATGCAGATGCGGATGGGGAGCCTGACGACGAATGTTGAGTAGTAGTGATAGTAGAGCCGAGGTTACTTAGTTGTACTTACTTACTTACCGCTGGACTAGTGATGGTTAATTATCATTATACGCACTTCCACTTGTACTCTATAGCTAGCTTTTTGGCCTGTATATGCCCAGTTGACTGCATTGACATGCTGATTTGATTTGAACCCGTGTACGTAGTAATTGAAGAAGTTATTGGGTTGTGTACTGGGTGTGTGGACGAGCGCTCGAGCGCTTGTCGGATCGCTCGGGGTTGGCCACATGGTTTGTTTGGCTGCGCCCTTAGAGACAAACAGCGCTAGCCCGCCTCTGTTAGCGCGAACGAGCTGCCACCTGGGCGAGCGGCTCAACCTGGTTCATCGTGGTTCACCATCCCGACAATAACTCCCAACCGATGGATTCACAACCTCACAGGTTCGTCTTCTTGCAAGCCCATCATCCCGGATGGCCTCCTCCCTCCTCTTATCTGGTTCGCATCAAGCCTCCCGATGACAACGCTGACGAGGTTTATGGGGGTGTAGTGATTCAGGCATGAGCTTTGGCCACTTGCAGCGTGACACAGGGATGCAGAACAGCGTCAGTAATGTCTCCGTGCGTGCATCGTGATGAATGGGATTCTTGACGGGAGGTGTTGATGCTCTCCGTTCTCTGTCCTTCCGACGCAGAGTCTCAACCAGGCCCTGGGTCCCCATCTTACGCCCACCCTGAGCTCACGCGTTCCATTCCCCGACGGTCAATACAGACTGTCCGATTCGCCTTCGTCTGGGCCCATCCTCGACGCCAACAATGTGGCTCAGCGTTCCGCTGCCGCACAGAACGTCACAGGTCCCTCCCATTCGCCCATCCATGAATTCTCGCTGCCCCTTAACAACGATAACCCCGTTCCAGGGCCTGTTGGTCCCCTCAAACGCAAGCAGACAGGAGAGAGCAGTGTGGGTGCGAATGGACAACTCGGCAAGCGCAGGCGAGAGACAGGAGATGCAGGCGATGTAGGCGATGCCTTCGAGACAGACCCTGTGCATGGCTCGAAACATTGGACTGAAGATGAGAAATCAAAGCTGTTCAACTGGCTCATGGGTCCTGGTCAGGATGATCATTGGAATGCCCTGCGTGCCACAAAGAATTCTTGTCTTCGGGAGGTACGTACCCCTGTGCGCCTTCGCAAAGAAAGTCTGATGGATGGTAATTAAGTGCTCCAACGAAGTATTCGGAGGCAAGAAGACATACCAGGCTTTAAAGGGCTGTTATGAAAGGAACTTCAACCTCTTCAAGCAAATATACGCGTTTGAAGTGTACAGCAGTCAACTCGGAAATGGATCAGTCAATTACTCTGCCGAAGGCGAGCGTTTAAGAGAATATGAACGCCGATTACAACTTGCGCGTAAGGGTGGCTGCGATGTCGGAAACCTCAACGCCCGTACTGTGGATCATTGGCATAAAGCGGGTTGGTACAATTTGTTCTACAGCAGGTAACATTGTTATTGCAGATTATTCTACGAGCATTGATCACATGAATATCAGATGGAATGGCGACCCTGCGACAACACGTCCATCTACTCGTCCAAACGGCACTACTGGATCTACTCTAGGCGGCGGGGACGAGGCGGATGAAGATGATGCACCTCCTGATTTCCCAGAAGCTGTCGCACCTCCCATGTCTGCGCCTTCCATGTCTGCGCCTTCTTTGCCGTCACGATCTATCGTGACTCCTTTCCCAGTGTTCCATCAGGGGACAGTTTCGGGTGCAGGTCCGAGTCTGGAACTTCCCGTCGCTGAGATTGGATCGCCGCCCAAGTCGTCTCAGCGCGTTCCTAACGCTAGCACCGCAGTCGAGCCAGCGGGAGATCAGCCAGCGATTAACGTTGTGATGCCCCAGACAATGATGACTGGGTTTCTACAGCTACTGCAAATGCAGTCGCAGCATAGCAAGATGAAATTGGAATACCTGCGGCGACGGGAAGAACGGGAAGAAAAGGAGAGTGCTACGCGACGAGAGGCGGATCGTGTGCGCTTGGAGCGCGAAGCGACGGAGAAGGAACGCAACAGTCAGTTTGAGAACATGAAACATCGGGCCAAGATGGCAACTGACCTACTTTCACAACCCGAGGTGGATGCGTCGGTACGGCAGGCGGCAGGAGATTATTTAAAGAAGCTATTCAGCGCTATTGACTAAACGTCTGTGCTGATTTGCTGCGGCTACTGAGTATGTGCATTTGTAGATTATGTATTGTAGTACTGTACATAACACTGTTGCTTATGGTTTGATTCAGAAACCTTGCAGTTGGTTTGAAGTAGACTCGTGACCAGTCTCCCGAGACGCGTGCCTAAATAGGCAACAGGCCATGGGGGCCTTCGCATCTGGGAGACTGGGAGATTTCGTCGACTCCCTGGCAGGGAGCCAACTGAGTTTGAATTTGGCCTCGGCCCGAGAGAAGATCGCCCCCGGATAAGGGAACTGAGCCCCTGATCTGCAGACGCGTCGCGTCTAAGTGCCGCTGCCTCGTCTATACTGTACATTGCTTCCTACATCGTCTCCCCCGACATCGCTACGTTATGAATATATTCGATCGACTCAACTTATCATTACTGTCCGATAATGCTCATCAATCGCTCGGTGAGCTCTCCCCCACCTTCGTCGAGAGCCTGACACCTCAGCAAGCCAAGACTGTCTTCAAAGCCACAGCCTGGTTCGATGCTCGGTATCTAGGCGAATGAAAACTATGTCAGTTTCAGATCGAGGCCACTGTTAATATTCTAGCTGGGAAGAACGTCGTAGTTCGCGCAGGAACAGGTAGTATGGCAAAACACTTGCCAGGATCCTGCCAATTCTCTTTGGCGATCCTTCGAAAATCGCGATCACTATCTCGCCTCTGAAGCTCTTGCAAGCTAGTCATGTAAGTCTTTGTTTCGTCTAATCGATTCTTATGCTAAAGGGTAATCAGGTTTCAGAGTTTCAAAGTTTCGGCATCCTCACCATTCGAATAAACCAAGATACCCTGGATGACAAGAACCTCTGGAAGGTATGTCTGCCGCTTGTCTCTGCTAGATCGCTTGCTAATCTACACAGGATATTCAACTTGGAGTCTATCGCAACATCATATGCGCCACCAAGCAGTTTTTCAGATACGAAGGAGCCGTGTGAGGTCAAACGTCTCGACAAAAGTAAGTGTAGTTTCCCTGGTCGACTTGCAGAACAGCTTCGAAGATGCAGCCGTCATTTCTTTCCCCATAATAGAAAGTATATGTGGCATCGAATCATCCTCAAGCCTAGACTTCAGCTTTCTCTTCCAGAGAGGAATATCTCCGAGCATAATTCCAGAGAAATTCGGGTGCCCTGCCGCCTAGAAATTGAGTACGATAAGGCACGAGATAGGCTGGCTGAGACTTCGCCTGTAGAATCATAATCAAGACATCTGTAGCTGACTTGCCCGCCTTCGAGAACAGCTCCAGCCCAGTTTTGATGTAGGACTCCTCCAGAGAGCAACTAGAGCTGCGCTGAGAGATATGGAGATCGAGCGCTGTCATTTCCGTGTCAACCAGAGCCGTCGAAAGCTCCCTTAGTCTGATATCCTCAGAGAGCCATGCAGGGGGTGTTGTCCATTGCAGCGGCCGAAATACGGGCGGTGGAGGTGGTGAAGGCGGCTCGTAGTAGTTAGGATGAGGCCAGGGTAGTATATCTTACGTTCACGCAGGAGGGAGAGGGTGCAAATAGTTATATTTCATGGGCACAGCGCGTACAGAGCGCGACGCGACGCGAGACTACAAGTGCTCGATCGGCTGCGGTAATGCCGGCTTATCTAACCGATCTCCGACGCTTCTCGGTGCTTCTGTACTGCCAATATTCAAACTCAGTTGGCTCCCTGCCAGGGAGTCGACGAAATCTCCCAGTCTCCCAGATGCGAAGGCCCCCATGGCCTGTTGCCTATTTAGGCACGCGTCTCGGGAGACTGGTCACGAGTCTAGGTTTGAAGTGCAATAGAGGTGCAATCTGGTGCAATAGAGCTCAATGGAAGTTGATAGCACGGGCCGGTGACTTGCGTAAATGATTTGCGTCATCGGCGCCGTGATGCCCGGCCACGTGCGGTCTATCAATATATCAGGATGCGTTCCCTTGGAAAGGAAAGACGATCGTGCGAGGTACCCAGGGGTCAACCGACGGGCTTAGCTCAGGCACCGACGGGAAGACGTGTGACAACCCAAGACAACGCGCCCATTTCCCCATTTCAAAGGCCCGTCCATGTATATAGGAACATACGACAACGAAAGCTTGGTCATTGCAGTATTGCTTCCCCACTCCTCTCGTCATGTCAGACAACCTATTCACTCCCCAATGGGTCCTCCTTAGCTTGGCTATCCTTTACACGGCTAAAACAGCCGCCGACCGTCTCCGCCGCCATGGCACGCCATTGAGCGATATCCGGGGCCCAGAGAACCCCTCTTTCTGGACTGGTGTGTATTGTCGACACGTCGAGTTGAGATAAATCACTCATGGAATGCACCATTCAGGTCACGAAATGCAGATTCGCGAGTCGCCAGAAGTTGGTGAACTCGAATTCAAGTGGGTTCGCGAGTATGGGTATACCTGGCGCACCAAGGGCTGCTTTGGCGTTTGTGATTCCAACGGACACTCTCATTTATTGACTAACCCATACTTCAGTCAGATGTTATCTGGACTGCGGATCCTAAGGCCCTGCAATATGTCTACCAGACGTCTGGTTATCGGTTCTCCAAGACCAAGCTATCCAACGAGACCGCCAAGTTGATGATGGGTCCTGGCATAGTGGTTGCGAGCGGTATGGCTCATCTTATTGCATTTCACTGTCTGTCCTCATAACTCTACATAGCTCATGAACATCCTCGCCACCGACGTGTCATGAATCCTGCTTTCTCTGCGGCTCAGGTCAGGTCATTCTTGCCGACTTTCAAAATGATAGCTGGCAAGGTATGTAATCTCTAATCTACAGACTGGAAAGTCCTAATGGCCATTCTCCAGCTGGTCCAAAAGTGGAAAGATCAGCTGCAGACTGATGATCAAAGCGGAGCTACCATCGACGTTAGCAAGGGTCTATCTCGTATGTCAATGGATATAATTGGTGAAGGTCTGTGTATGACAAGTTATGGATGTTTGGCAAGTGGTGCTGATACTACACAGCGGCATTCAATCATCAGCTCAACACACTTGAGGGACATCAAAATGAGCTCTCGGATGCCCTTGACCACCTTTTGTAAGCTAATCATCTTGTGCATGCAACATATAAGCTTACAGTAAACATAGCATTGACACCATACCCTACCCCCGTGCTTGGGACCTCATGTGGAAGGCGACGTGGGACTGGATCCCATCACCACTCCTTTTGTGGATCAAGTACATACCTACCAAGGAATACTCAAACTTTGCCCATTATCGGAACACGTCGACTCGTGTTGGGAAGCAGCTGTTGAACGCGGGAGCTACCGAAGATAAATCGAAGGATGTCCTTAGCATCTTGGGTAAGTTGAAGCATTGCTTGATATGCATTCAAGTTGTACTAATTCTCCTCGAAGTACGCGCCAACGCAGCTGAGGACGCCCGTGGTCGCCTCGCCGAACCTGAGCTGTTGTCTCAAATTTCGTACGTTGTCGTGATGCTGTTTATTCAATAGCTCAAGCACTGACGTTGCCTTTGTAGGACGCTGCTTCTAGCGGGTCAAGACACATCGTCATCGACGCTCACGTGGTCCCTTTACGAACTCGCGAGGCATCCTGAAGATCAGCAGAAGGTTCGCGATGAAGTTCTTGCCGCTCGCGAGCGAGTCCGAGAGCGAGGTCTTGAAGATATCAGTCCGGCCGATCTCGACGGCATGCCCTTTACAAATGCTGTCATAAAGGTATGTCGAAATTTGTTGTGTTTCACTCCACTCCTCAACGTTCTTAACCAGGAAACTTTGCGTTTGCACCCTATCGTCCCCACTCTGATGAGGCAAGCGGACTATGATGACGTCCTGCCACTTGCTCAACCTATCGTGACCCGGACTGGTGAGAAAATCTCCGAGATACCGCTCCCGAAGGGCACACAGATAACTGCCTCCATCGCTTCGTACAATCGGTACGAAAATCCTTGCGAATTTCTGTGATATGTGGCTAAAGTCCTTTAAAGTAACCCCGAGGTTTGGGGTCAGGACGCTGACGAATGGAACCCTATGCGATTCCTGAACCAGAAGACGGGTAAGGCCAACGTTGGCGTGTTCGCAAACCTGTATGTCCTACCTTGAAAGTCATTGGCCCCCCATGCTGACTCCCCTATTTATAGGATGACTTTCTGTAAGAATCCTGATCTTTATTACGTTTTCTACGCTCATCCTCTTTTAGCTGGAGGGATCCGAGGATGCATTGGGTGGCGGTTTGCGTTAGTAACTCCCTGTATTCCTATCTTCCACCTACTGACACCTTTTCGCCTAGTGTTCTTGAGATTCAGGCTGTCTTAACTGAGATGCTTGAGAACTTCAAGTTCGGCATTGACAAGGACGTTGAGGTCATACGCCTGAATGCTGGTTTGATGATGCCTCTTGTGAAGGGTAGGGAGACTGAAGGCGTCCTGATGCCGTTGAAAGTCTCTGCTTTGTAGTACGTTTATGCATTGAAAGCAATGGACACATCACACTCTTTAGTTATTCTCTATATAATTATTTTTGCACTGTCAATATTGTTGTAACCCTGAGGGTGCCTGTGTTAAACCGTCAAACCCCTGACGCACGTGGCCAAAGATATTAGGCCAATCACAAGTTGGGTGTACACCGACCATCCACACACATTGTAGGCTCTACCAGAGCTCATTACATCTTGGTCATGGTCGACGTAGCTGTGGCCGCTTCTGATTCAACAGCTAAGGTATGCCACTCGTTCAGCGTAGCTCAACAGGTAACCCATATCACAAGTTCTCGTTAGGGTAAGACGAAAGCAAAATCCCGATATCTCAAACGAAAGAAAGAACGGCGCAAGTCTAGGAAAGCTGCAGCGCCCAAAAATCCAAACGTTAGCCAAATTCAAACGGCAAAACAGGATGAAGACACCCCAGATGACAGCGACAGTGGATCTGAAACCGGATCTCATAGAGAGCATGAAGGCGAGGATGAAACTGCTATGCAAATTCCTTCATCTACGATGAACATGGGGCCCTTGGGTTCACCTGCCCCGGAAAAGAATACAACGGGGGGGAAAGGACAAGAAGCTAATGCACATGGGGAAGAACAGCATGACAACAGACCCAGGAAACGTCGGAAGGTGGCCATAGAAGACGTTGAAGAGGAGGTAGTTGCTGGAGACGTACCTGACGAACCTGACGAGGTAGAAGGACAAGATTCGCCACCAGCCGAAACCTCGCGGCTACCGACGCCCCCCGTCGCTCTCCCCTCGTTCCCTCTACCTGCTGCTCCTAGGGCCCCCTCAAGGTCAGTCCTCGCTCTACAAGGACTGGACCGCGCGCTAGTCAAGGCGGAGGTAATACACCCCACCACGGTACTTCCTGTTCCTCTGGACGGATCAGACTCGCAAGGAACGGGCCTTTCAGAGAAATCAAGGAAACGCCTTGGGGACCTTGGTATCACGGAGTTGTTTGCGGGTAAGCATGATCTTGTTTTAACTAACTATATTCCGACGGGAGGTTTCGTCTAGTTCAAACGGCTCTACTTCCATTCCTCCTTCCGGAGACACATTCACAGAGAGCATTGTACGTACCATACGAACCCTTACGTGACGTATGTGTATCTGCCCCTACTGGAAGTGGCAAAACGCTTGCATATGTGCTGCCTATCGTCGAGGTGTGTCAATCTGTAGGAAGTTGCATGCTTTCGCTGATTGCTGAGCATACGACTTTCTAGATCTTGTCTACGAGGATTGTGACGCGGCTTCGCGCGCTGATAGTTCTACCCACACGCGACTTGGTCACGCAAGTGAGAGAGACTTTCGAGGTGGTGAGCAAGGGCCGAGGACTGAAGGTACGCTTCCGTTCAGTCGTGAATGTCAAATAATAGCTCTCTATTTCTCTCAGACAGGGACTGCCACCGGTCAGCATTCGTTCTCACATGAGCAGTCGCAACTGGTGGCCGATAGCTCGACTAGGTCAGAAGGCGTGTATTCTCTGGGCGTGATCTACGTTACTGAGTTCTGTTGTCCAGCTTGAGGGGCGGTTCCAGTAAAGTTGACATCCTCATATGTACCCCTGGTCGCCTGATAGACCATATCAATGGCACCCCCAACTTTTCATTACAGCATCTGCGATTTTTGGTCCGTCTCTCATTTTTTATTGCTAGGGACATTATTCACATACTTCAGGTGATTGACGAAGCAGACAGGTTGCTGGCGCAGTCTTTCCAAGATTGGCTGGCGCAAGTGCTTGCAGCCACGTTACCTCCAGATCATGCTGGTGCTGCCTACACTTTTCCCACGGATCGTTATGGGCTACCTACACCCGATGGGCTGGCACCGACATTTGTTCACCACTTCCAGACAGACATTGATGAAGAGAAGGAGTCATCCTGCCAGAAGCTGCTCTTTTCTGCCACCCTGACAAGAGACCCTGGCAAGCTTGCTGCACTTAAATTGAGGGATCCAAAGTACTTTGTTGTCCAAGCTAAAGAAAAGCTCGATGGGAACGATTATGTCGGAGAGCAGTTCACTATGCCTGCTACCCTCAAGGTAGGTTTGCCTATTTTGTTGTCTCTTCAAGGCTAATTGCGCCTTTTTAGGAACATATGATCATTTGTGAACCCTCGCAAAAGCCTTTGATGCTATTTTACCTTCTCCAGAATCGTTCTGTGGATAATGCGCTCATTTTCACCAAGTCGTCCGAGTCCACGTCGCGACTTGTCCGGTTGTTCGAGCACTTTGCAACTTTCAAGCAATCCGGTGCAGCCTCTGAGGACGATAAACTCGTCATTCAAGCGTATTCGAGCGATCTGCCAGCGGGAGAGCGAAAACGGATTTTGGAGAAGTTCAAGGCCAAAGAAGTCCATTTGTGGGTAGTCATTCGTTTCACGGTGTCTGTTCCTCGTTGAAGCTGTCATTCTAGGTTGGTATGCTCTGACCTCGTATCGCGAGGAATTGATATTAGCCATGTGGCTCATGTGGTGAGCTACGATGCGCCTGTGGATATGCGCAAGTACGTGCATCGGGTGGGACGGACCGCTCGGGCAGGGAGAGAAGGACATGCTTGGACACTTGTTGAAGAACAGGAGGTGGGTGGAGAGATCTTATTCGGAAGTGATCATCAAAAACTAACAACTGATGGCAGGCACGTTACTTCAAAACAATGCTGAAGACTGCGGACCACGCTGAGAAAGTCAAGCGACTGCGCGTTTCCAACGACGATGTCAAACCACTGTCGGGTTACTACCAGGTCAGCTCTCATCTTGACAGTAACAATTCGATGTTTGCGGCAATTAGTAATCGCATTCTTACAGGCCGCACTACGGAGTTTGAAGGAGGAGTACGCGCGTTGATTTGTTGTGTTCCGGCTCATCCGGCATGCTTATTGGTTCAAAGTCAACTCCGAAAAGGCCGGCCGTGAGATGGAGGGTTGGTCGATTGCTTCCGTAACCCGCGGCCAATCGGAGAGGGTCCCAGAGGGTCCCCTGATCCGCGATGGCATAGTCTGTCATAGTCACGGCGCATTCAAGATGTTGGGGTTGTCGTTTTTTAGCTGCAAATAGGTGAAATGATTGTTAGCCGTATTTGTCGCCGTTACAAAGGTTTTCTGTTTTTCACCACGGCTAATTTGCTCTTGGTTTTGATTCGGATTTGGACCATGTGAGTAACGTGTGGAGGAGCGAGCTAAATCCCCGGAATGCTTAGTCAGAGAATCTGAGTCGAATCCGGAGCGCGTCATCCGACTGTCATCCGGCGGGAAATCTGGCCAGCAAGATGGTGAGAACATGACATTGTCCGCAGATACACACATGGTCTCGAGGCCCGGAACTGCCGAGCGCTGACTCGTTCTGTGAATCGAGATCGAGTATACGTAGACCTTTGAATATAAGTTGGCTAGGACTTTTCTCCTCGCCCCCTGACCCAGCCAGCTGCCGTCTACCTCCCTGTCGCACTCATGACCGCAGACACTGTCTCTTCGGAGGAAAAATCAATCCAAGACGAGAAACCCCTCAAAGTAGAGTCGAGGGTTGATGAAGACGTCAACGGAGTTCACGGACATGGGAGTCTCAAGTCGAAGGGACAGCCCGGTGCACTGACTACTTGGTGGAGGTCAGTGGCGCAACCGTGACATATTTATAACCGCGCATTTCGCTCAGCCCGCTACCTTTACCATAGAGTGCTTACCTTCAAACCTCTCTATGCTCCTCCACCTCCAGCATCTCTACACGATGCGAAACTGTCACCGGAGGTTGATGCAAATCTATTTAGTTTACTATGGTTCAGCTGGATGACCCCCATCCTCTCTTTGGGTTACGCACGCCCTCTCGAGGCTACTGACCTCTACAAGATGCAGGATGATCGGGCCTCCGCACTCATTGCCAAGCGCCTCCTCGATTCGTTTAAAAGACGGCAGAAAGACGCTCAGGAGTACAACGATCGTTTGGCACGTGGGGAGATTAGCCCAGGCATTAAGCGTCTTTGGTGGACACTGCAGGGCAAAAGAAAGGAACGCGAAAAGCAATGGAGAGAGAAGGGCGGAAAGAAGAAGGCCTCACTTATTCTTGCCATGAATGATAGCATTAAGTGGTGGTTTTGGATCGGAGGCATTTTCAAAGTCATCGGTGACACAGCACAGATTACCAGTCCACTTATAGTCAAGGCAAGTCCAAGACGCATCTTCGTCTTGTCACTACTTCTGCCAGGATTAATGCCGTGTTCTATAGGCTATCATCAACTTCGCTACAGAGTCTTACTACGCACATGATCTTGGAGTACCAGCGCCCCCTGTTGGTCGAGGCATCGGTCTTTCTTTCGGCCTTCTCGCTCTGCAGTTCATCGGCTCATGGGGCAGTCATCACTTCTTCTATCGCAGTATGTCGAGCGGCGTGCTCCTTCGTGGGGGGCTCATCACCGCCATCTACTCCAGGTCCCTTCGCCTCACCTCTCGTGCCCGCTCGACTCTTAGTAATGGGAGACTGGTTAATCATATTTCGACAGACGTCTCGCGCATTGACTTCTGCATGGGCTGGTTTCACATGGTTTGGGCAGCCCCCATCCAACTGATTGTGTGTCTGATTTTGCTCCTCGTCAATCTGGGGCCAAGTGCACTGGCAGGCTATGCATTGTTCATTATATGCAGTCCCGGGCAGACAGTGCTTCTAAAGCAGTTTTTCTCGCTCAGAGTCAAGAGCATGTCATGGACCGACAAACGGTCCAAACTTCTACAAGAGCTGCTCAGTGGAATGCGTGTCATCAAGTTCTTTGGTTGGGAGCTGCCTTTCCTGAAGCGCATTTCTGAGTATCGATATCAGGAGATGAAGTAAGTGATGTAGGCACCTTCCAATCTACTGTAGCTAAAAGTGCATTTCTATACAGGTACATCCGTACACTACTCATCTTTCGTGCTGGGATGAACGCGTTCGCTATTTCGCTTCCTGCGTTAGCCACAGTACTCGCGTTTATTACATACTCGTTGACTGGGCACTCTCTGAATGCGGCTACTATCTTTTCTTCTCTCACACTTTTCCAACTTGTCCGAATGCCGTTGATGTTTCTTCGTAAGCTTCGTCCACCTTTAACGGCATTTCAATTCCTAACACAACTTTTAGCCTTGGCATTGAGTTCCATTTCTGATGCTGCAACTGCTTGCGAACGACTGTACGACGTTTTCGTCGCCGAGACTATGGACGAGGACCTCATCGAGAATCACGATCTCGATGTCGCCTTGCGGGTCAAGGGTGCAGACTTTACTTGGGACAGCCCTCCCCCTCGACCTGAAGATCCCAAGAAGAAGGGCAAGGGTGGAAAGGGCACAGGGCAGAAGCCCGGCAAGAAAGGGAAGAAAGGTTCCGAGGTACCTGCAGCACCGAAGCCTCCTAACGATCAAGATATCTTTAAGCTATATGAGATAGACATGGAGATTCCCCGAGGTCAACTCGTCGCTATCGTTGGTGCGGTTGGCTCGGGCAAGACATCGTTGCTTCAGGGCTTGATTGGCGAGATGAGACGTACTGCTGGTACTGTCGAATTCGGCGGCAGCGTCGGTTACTGTGCACAGACCGCATGGATCCAGGTCAGGACTTTCGTGATTCCTTCCATTGAGCTCTCAGCACTGATTACCTTGCAGAACGCCACGATTCGCGAGAACATTCTGTTCGGCCAGCCCTTCGACGAGGATCGGTATTGGCATGCTGTGCGCGCATCCTGCCTTGAACCTGACTTAGATATGCTTCCCAATTACGACCTGACCGAAGTTGGAGAAAAGGGTATCTCTCTGTCTGGCGGGCAAAAGCAACGAATCAATATCTGCCGATCCATTTACTGCGATAGCGATATCCAAATTTTCGACGTAAGCTTCACCCTAGTCGGATGAAATTTGTCAGTAACGCATAACTTTCAGGATCCCCTATCTGCTCTTGATGCACACGTCGGGAAAGCTGTCTTCAAGAACGTCATTAAAGAGAATCTGCAAGGGAAAACTCGTATCCTTGTCACCCATGCGCTCCACTTCCTGCCTCATGTTGACTTCATCTACACCCTCTTGGACGGCAAAATCGCCGAGCGCGGCACCTACCAGGAGCTGATGGCAAATGACGGAGCGTTTTCTAAGTTCATCTCCGAGTTTGGTTCTACGGAAGAAGCTAAGAAGGAGGAAGAGGAAGAGGCTGTCGCAGAAATGAAAGACGCCAAGAAATCATCTGCGGCAGCTAAAGGCCTCATGCAGGAGGAGGAGCGTAATACTGGCGCCATCAAGTGGCAAGTCTACAGCGAATATATCTCTGCAGGACACGGTCTCGTCGTGGTGCCACTGTTGATTGTTTCGTTGGCACTGATGCAAGGTTCAAGCGTCATGTCCTCGTACTGGTAAGACGCAATTTCTGATGATGTCTTGATTGCGTACGTGCTCACCGACTTGTGTAAAGGCTTGTTTACTGGGAAGAAAGGAAATGGCACCAGTCCAGCGGCTTCTATGTTCGTGCTCCAGAACTCTCAATCTTCTCAACTGACCCCTTGCTCTATAGATGGGCATCTATGCAGGTCTTGGCGTTTCGCAAGCTCTTACTATGTTTTTCAATGGCGCGCTATTCGCCATGCTCACGTATTTTGCATCCCAAAAACTGCATGCAGTGCGTACATGATGATCTGCGGCCTTGAGCGACACTGACCTGACATTGCAGAGAGCTATCAACAGAGTAATGTATGCACCTATGAGCTTCTTCGAGACTACGGTAAGCATCCGTCTCGACTTGACGTCACAGGCACACGCTAACTATTGGATAGCCTCTAGGTCGAATCATGAACCGTTTTGCCAAAGGTATGCGTAACTCGTGTCTTCGCCAGGCTGTTTACTCATATGCGCCCAGACATTGATACCGTCGACAACACCATCGGAGACGCTCTTCGTATGCTTGCTGCAACACTCTCACAAATCATTGGGGCTATTATCTTAATTTCCATCATCATTCCGTGGTTCCTTATCATCATGGCCTGCATCATAGTTTGTTACACCTATGCTGCCATTTTTTACCGATCGAGCGCGCGAGAGCTTAAGCGGCTCGGTGAGTACCCATCCGTGCAGCATGTTTGATTTACTAATTCAGGGATAGATGCCATCCTCCGATCTTCGCTATACTCTCACTTCTCGGAATCTTTGTCCGGTCTCACCACGATTCGTGCATATGGTGAAATTGACCGTTTCAGATTGGAGAACGAAGAACGCGTTGACATTGAGAACCGCGCTTACTGGATGACCGTTACTAACCAGCGGTGGCTCGGCATGCGCCTTGATTTCCTGGGGATTATCTTGACCTTTGCAGTCGCGTTGCTGACTGTTGGCACCCGGTTTACTATCTCCCCTGGCCAAATTGGCGTCGTTTTGTCGTACATTGTCATGGTCCAACAGGTAAGCTTGTTGCATGCAAACCTGCATCAAATGCTGACGTTCCTGCTAGTCCTTTGGCTGGATGGTTAGGCAAACTGCTGAGGTGGAGAATAACATGAACTCCGTCGAACGTGTCCTACACTACGCCAACGAAGTTGAGCAGGAAGCACCTCACGTTGTTGAGAACAGCCCAGCACCTGCCAACTGGCCAACGGAAGGCAAAGTGGAACTCAATAATGTCGTCATGAAGTACCGGCCAGAACTTCCTGCTGTCTTGAAGGGTATCTCGATGTCCATTGCGCCTGGAGAGAAGATTGGTGTCGTTGGAAGGTTGGTCCCCTGCTAAAGTCTAGAATGACCATTTTGCCGACATATGTTCCAGGACTGGAGCGGGCAAGTCGTCGATCATGACGGCCTTGTACCGAATGGTGGAAATAACAGAGGGCTCAATCATAATTGATGGTGTTGATACGTCTAAAGTCGGCCTCAACCAGCTTCGCACCGGATTGTCTATTATCCCCCAGGACGCTGTGAGTCTCTTTGCTGCTTTGTTGAAGCCATTTGCTGACAGCCCGTTTTTACACAAGTTCTTATGTGAGTTTCAGCTCCAACACATTGAATCTGTCATTCAAATCTTTCTTTTTAGTCTCGGGAACACTACGGACCAATTTGGATCCCTTTGGTCTCCATGATGATGCCAAATTATGGGACGCCTTGAAACGTGCCTATCTAGTGGATTCTCTGAGTGAGAATCCGACAATCACAAATGGCGAGAGGCAAGAGGCCAATCGATCTGGCCCTCGCTTTACCTTGGACAGTCATGTCGATGACGAAGGTTCCAACCTTTCTGTGGGGCAGGTAAGAACGATCCGGTCCCACGTGTGATTCCAACAGATTCACCTTCCTCCAGCGTTCGCTTGTGTCACTGGCACGAGCCTTGGTCAATGAAACCAAGGTTCTCATTTTGGATGAAGCCACAGCGTCTGTCGACTATGAAACGGACCGGAAGATTCAAGATACCATCGCCACCGAGTTCCGTGGTCGGACCATACTTTGCATTGCCCGTATGTCTACATCCATGTTCACGAGAACGACTTCCATCTGAAATTACGCAGATCGCTTGCGCACTATCATCTCCTACGACAGAATCTGTGTTCTAGACGCCGGGACTGTAGCAGTACGTAACGCTGTCTAACTGATGCACTCGGTGGTGACTTAGTATCTTCATCCAGGAATTCGATACCCCGAGCGCACTCTTCCAAAAGACTGACAGCATCTTCCGCGGAATGTGTGATCAGTCCATGATTTCCTGGGATGACATCCAAAACGCATCATCAGCATCCAAGCAGTTATAGATATCAAGGCACCTAACTATTCAATACTCATTCCGCACATCTTACGCATAGAACGTTAACACTTCTTACTATCTCATGATTAGACCAACGTTCACGGTATAATGACCTCGCATGTACCTATTGCTCATACACACGTAGTCTTAATGAACCTGACGGTCGCCTGGTGACATTTTATGATACAACCTTTGGGCTATGGTTGTGACGGGCCTATCGGTACATATACCCAGGGGTGACGTTGAGTTATTGCGAAGCTCGCGATTTTGTTTACCGACCAGAATTCTGGGTTTGTTTGGATTGTTCAGTGTCAACGAATTGGAATATCAACTTGTCGTCTTTTACACACTCACTTCATCGCGATACCCAAACACATAATGCCTCGGGCTCCAAATTGTTACACTCTTTTCAACGTTCTGGTGTGCAACGCTGTCACTGTGTCAGCGTTACCCATTTACCCCACCTTCGAAACCTCCGTTGATCTTCGACCTTTGATCACTGTTGTGATCGCCTTCCTCGGCTTCTTGGCTATGTTTTTGATGATCAAGTATATTTTTCTCAAGTCTCGTCGGATAGAAACCATCCACTCCCCTCACAACCCATCTACGCCCCAATTCCGAAACATTGACGTTGATCTCAGTGAGAAGACTCAATCTCTATCAGGGTCGAAATCGAGTCTAAGGGCACCGCCGGCACGGGCCTTGCCGGCAGATCTGGACGACATACTCGTGGGCTGCCTAGGATCTCCGCACTGGGAGACGACGTCGCACTCAACGCTGGATTTCTACATGCGAAAGCAACGGCAGGAGGATCGCCACGCCTATCAACAGCACAAGGCCAAGGCTCAACGTCGTGCGCGACAAACAAAGGCCCGGATGAGCATCGTGGGGAGAATCAGGGCGAGCTTTGTTCCCGCTCCCGTTTCTGCTGCCGTTCTACGCTTTTCACATGCTTGCCCTTCACTGGACGAACTAGAGGCTCAGCTAGATAGCGGCGCTTTCTATGATCCAATGTTTGGAGTCAATAGGGCTTCTCGTCTTACTCCGCCAAAGCCAGGAGACTTGGGCTACAATGACTCTTGGACGACTGCGGGGGACACCGAGGAACTGGAGAAGCTAGGGCTAGCGTCCCCCTTAGAAGACCCACGCCGACGCTTGAAATTTACCGACCACTCTTCTGCTAAATTGTCTAGTTCCTCGTCTTTCGTGGCGCTCCCTTCGATGGCCTCCGTCTCCGTCGGTTTACAGCGTGCCTCGCTGCCAGTGCATATCGTCTTTGATCACGACTCTGATAGCTATAGCGTGCGGGAACACGTGGGCTCGCAAGAATATCTGATCAGGGCGCAGGCCTCTCAATCCTTCGTAGCGCCTCTTTCTAACAGGGGCGGACAGTTCAGGAGCGAAGGACTTCCCTCAGATTCGGACATGTCTTTAGCTTCTCCTACGGAGCTCACCGACGCCATCCTTTTTGCTGCCGGGCTGTCACCTTCTGGGCACTCTCAAGGGCGGCGTTCTCCTCTGCTCGATCCCGAGCCCTCGACGCCGCGTTCGGGGCGAGAATCTTTTGTGTTCTCACAGCTCGGGGCTGAGGAGCTGGACATTGGAGTGCTCGGGCTTGACAGGTACAGTTGGGCAGAGCCGCACCGCAGCGACGATTCGCGGATGAATGCAAGCCACTCGAGGGAGGATAGCTGTGCTGTTGTGTCACTTGTGGATCGGAGCGGATCTCTACGTAGACCATCGGATGCGGAGTAAATGGTGCTAGACACCTTGAGAGACCTGTTGACAACATTTCTAGGAACTAAGACCGCCACTCTTTAATGGGACGCCGACTTGTCATGGTTGTGTTATAGGCTATGTTTTCGTACTTGGGTTTCGTGTCATGGTTTATGTAATTGTTTAATTAGATGTTAGACTATATATCGTCTCCTTCCCTCTGTGTCTAGCTATCGAACGGGATCACTATGGTTCAGCTCTCATCAACGATGCGCATTGTCTCTGATATCGACAATGACGGGCTGGAATCCTGGTCCTCCAGGGGGCACGCGCTCGCCATCTGGTGTCCGAGACTTCTTACCCATTGGTGCATTTGCCGCGTTCACGACTAAGGTTTCTCGCGGGTTTGGGTTGGTAGAGGAAGCATTCCCTTTGTCAAGTTGCTTGTCATCCTTCGACCAGTCATGCACGAGAGCGCCGTGGCCCTCGTGAATATGTCCAAAGAGATGCAGCAGTGGAGGTCTCTGCATGCTACCTAGGTGGCATCGGAGTTCAGGACAACCTGCTGACTCGCCGCGGGTTGTTGTATCCAACATCTTGTGCGGGGGTCCATGTGTGAGACTGTACATGTGAACTCATGAAAGCACATTGGGATATGAGAGTAAGGGTACGTACAGGATGTCAACTTCAGGGATCTTCGTCACCTTGTCTGATATGGATGCTCATGTCAGAGCTTGAGAAGAGAAGCGGTTCACTCACCCTCCGCCTCGTCCTTCTCGTAATTGAAGGCCCAGTCCCAGAACCATGGTTGCCACTGCAAGAGTTGATGGAATATGGGAGTTCAAAGAGGTCAGTAGGGATTCTAGGAAGCGTGTAATGACGGACATACCGGAGACCCATAGACTGTCCATTCTCGGGCATCTTTGCTTAAGCGGAAGGCGTGCGATTGATCCTGAAGGTATACTATCCCGTAATCATCCCTGATTCTATTCCTGAAGATGTCGCGTAGCTCGGCAACATCCTCATCGTCCTAGGAGACAAGCAGGCATTTTTTGCCAACGAGAGTACTAGTCAGATGCCACTGGACGAGCAAAACGACTCGTGACCAACCTGGGTGAGCGAGCTACCACGGCGGAAGCGCTTGCGATTGTTCTCGTACCACCCCTCGTGTAATGAAAGGTCGTGGTTTCCCGCGATGATTCTGTGCAGGTATCAGGAGTAAGTGGTTGGAAGCACAAGCTGTTCAGCGCGTAAAGCCAAGGCGCACATCTTGACAGAGTGGGACAATGCAGAAAGCCAGTCAAGTGTCTTGAGAAGTTCTGGCTTTCTGCCAAGTTCTGAGAGATCGCCTGAATGAAGGAGGACATCGCCCGGAGGAACTGGGAACTCTGCTGAGTGGGTGTCACTAATGCAGACGAAACGTGTCCAGCCCTTGCCGGGATGAGGAGGAGGGGTGACGATATCGTATGTTGTGTGGATTGTGCCATTCCGACCAACGAGGGAGGCCATTGAAGTGAAATGAAGGATGCTGTAATTACAGATGACCATGAGGCTACCAGTGGGCCATTCAGGGGCAACCTCGAATTAGCTGACATCAATATTACACGGAAGCAATTTCCTAGATGGCTTGCAGTCGAGTGAGGTCATCTTTGGGTCATTCCAGAACCATAATAAATTGGTGAGTCCAGTTTGTCTTGAGCCAGCTTATGTTGACTCTCTCCCGACTCCCCCACAGACTCCTCCGTCTTACCACTCGCCCAATCGTCTCGCTCACCTCCAGAGCAATGGCAGCCAAAACCGTCCCTGTATGCAATGCTTCCGATCTCAAAGATGGTCAAATGTCAGCCATCTTATCTCTCGTTCCGACCCCTATTTACTATCATCCTCCAGGAAAGAGGTCGATTTCGAGGGCGAAGGCAAAGTCCTCGTTTATCGTCTCGGCGACAAGGTGCACGCTACTAGCGCGTTCTGCACTCACTACGGCGCACCCTTGTCCAAAGGTGTCCTTACCGCCGATGGCAGAATTGTCTGGTGCGTATACATTTCTGTTTCTCGTTCATTTACACTCATCATTCCTAATCCAGCCCTTGGCACGGAGGTGAAGCATCACCTTGTCACTGTCTTCCTCGAGTACTCACAACATAAGCTAGCTTGCTTCAATGTCTGTACTGGCGATATAGGTATCCACTCAACCCCATGGTTTATCACGTCAAGTCTAACATGTTCCTTCAGAGGATGCTCCGGCACCATCAGCCATTCACTCATTCAAAGCGGAGGAAGTGGGCGGCAAGATTCAAGTGACCGCTGAACTATCTCGTACCACCAAGAACAACATGACCAGGCCTCCTAAGCTCACCTCAGCGACTGCCACCTCTGGTAAAGGCGTTGTCATCGTTGGCGGTGGCTCCGGTGCTTTCTACACCATCGAGAGTCTCCGTGAGAACGGATACCAAGGCAATATCGTCGTCGTCTCGCGTGAAACATACCCTCCCATCGACCGGCATGTTAACCTTCCTCTACCATAAGTTACTCAGCCCTAACGTGCATATATTTTAGAACTAAATTGAGCAAGGCACTCATCACCGATTCTTCCGCCCTGCAGTGGAGAAACGCTGCAGACCTCAAGATAAAGTTCGGCGTGACACTGCGCATAGGAGTCGTATGCTACTTCTCTTGGGCCTCTCCTCATGATCTTAATGTTGTGTCTGCAGACAGTGACTTCTGTGGACATCCCCAACAAACAAGTCATCCTTGATGGTGGCAAAGAGTCTATTCCTTACGACAAACTTGTCCTCGCTTCTGGAGGGCTCCCCAGACGCCTGCCTGTTGAAGGTTCTGACCTTGAGAATGTTTTTACATTCCGGGGTGTCCAGGATGCACAAAAGGTCGACGCAGGTAGGCAGTTTACTCGCTTGCAACGAAGGTCCTTGTGATAATAATGTTGCGCTAGTTGCTCAGGAGGGCAAACGCGCTGTCGTGATTGGGAGTTCATTCATTAGCATGGAATTAGCAGTGGCTATGTCGAAGCGTAAGCTTGCGTCGCTCGATGTGATCGGCATGGAAGAATACCCCTTCGAAGCCATTCTTGGTAAAGAGGTCGGCGCAAGTCTTAAGAAGGTATGGAGGATAGACCTCACTGAAATGTCGAAGGCTTATCAAAAGGCTCTCAGTTCCACGAGTCTCAGGGAGTGAAATTCCACATGAAGAGCAAGGTTGACAAGATCGTAGCCTCGGATGGAGAAGGGGAAGAGCCCAAGAAGGCTACTGGCGTTGTGATAAATGGAACGACTATCCCAGCCGACTTCGTCGTAATGGGCGTTGGTGTCGCTCCTGCCACAGACTTCCTGAAACAGAGCGGTTTTACTCTGGAGCAAGACGGCGGTGTCAAGGTAGATGAGTATCTGAGAGTCCCTGGCTATACCGACGTCTATGCCATCGGTGAGTCCTTGTTAAGATCAGTATACCGGTCAAAAAGGATTAAAGAGGACACAGGCGACATTGCATACTACCCTCAATTGAAGGATGGAAAGAGCCGGGGATATAGAAGGATAGAGCATTGGAACGTAGGTTCTGTCATATTTTACACGCAGCGCTCCGTCTCATCGTTCCGATCTAGGTCGCTGGGAATCATGGTCGGGCAGTAGGAAAGACTATCGCTGGAAAACCTCAGCCATTCATGAAGGTGCCCGTGTTTTGGAGTGCTCGTGCGTTTTTCTGCAAATTTAGCATGATGTGCATGAGCTCATGGTTTCGCAGAGGGGCAGCAATTGCGGTACTGTGGGATAGGTCATGAGTTTGACGAGGTGATCATTAAGGGCAATCCAGAGGAGATGAAGGTGACATCAGTTTAGCGGAAGCGTACGGATTTGAAGCTGACAGGAGGGTAATAGTTCATCGCATTCTATGTCAAAGACGGGGCCGTAACCGCGGTATCGAGGTCAGCCTTTTCTTCAAACATCATTCTGGTGGTCCAAAGAACTGACCTGTTCTCAGTATGCAAAACGATCCAGTGGTCAGCAAATGTTCGGAGTTGATGAGGCTGGGCCTCATGCCTACCCCCGAGGAACTGAAGAACGGAAAGGACGTCTTGGCGATCGACCTGTCTTCCTCAGACGCACTGCCCAGAGTTACCTCATAAACCAACAATGTAAAACTAATTGATGTATTACTAGAACTACATTCGGCAAGATAAAGACTGTAACGATACAATAGGCGGCTACAGCAAGATCAGCAAATACATAATGGATGAACGACTCGGCCATTCACCAACCACAAAAAGGAGATCAAGATTTCCCTTCAACGAAGTCAAGGGCCGAATCTAAGCCTCGAACGAGTTGCTCGGCGCGCATTGACATACCTCGAACGATGCGCAGACCGTTCTTCCGCTTCTTGCCTCCGTTGACGGCCTGTTCGGGATCTGGTCCTTCGAAACGGAGCGTCACCGAGTTGTCATTCTCAGCGTTGCGTCGGTCGTAGTAGCTGCGTAGGTTGGATCCTGAATGTGCGTGACGAACGTGGCTGGAATGACTGACAGACCGGCTGCTGCTGCCTGTGGAGGAGCTTGCAGGGCCTTCGGCGGTTCTGTCCTTGTCCCTTGGGACCTTGCTGATGGAGCTAGGCGTCACGGTAGACGAGCGTCGCCTGTTGGGCGGCGAGTGGGTACCGACGCTGACAGTGCTGACAGTGGTTGTCTCGATGGGCACTGGTATACGGGTGATGTGCGCGTCTTCGTGGAGCGGTGGGTGCATCGACATGTTGGACTGGAATGACTGAGAGGCGACGGCGTGCTGTAAGGACATGGGCGTCGTTACGGATCGCGGCAAGGTGAGCGAAGGGGCGCGGCCCTTGTGCGCGCGGGTGGGTGCCAGCATGTCGGGCGGGGGCGTAGTGTGAGCGTACAGGCCTGCGCTCGACCCTCGAGGAGACAGCGACAGACCCGCGATCGAGCTGTGTGGCGACAGGCTGGCGGCCGACGGAGGCTGGTGCTGGCGCGCTTTGCCCTGTCGGTCGAGGTCGCGCATCCAGCCCTCCCACTCTACCTCACTCTCCCCGTCGTCCGCGTCGTCGCCGTCAGACTCGCCAGCCGCGCTGTGAGACGCAGCGGACGATGACGACGCGGCGTTGTACCAGTCGCTGTCGGCTTGTTCTTGACGTGCGGCGCGTCGGCGGCGGCGGATGCTGGCAGTGAGCGCGTCACCAGAGACGGTTTCCGACCAGAGAACCCAGGCGATGGGGCGGCCGACGTCGCCCATGCCGGCGCGTCGCGCAGTCTCGGTGATGTCTATCCGCCATTCGGGATACGGCAGTGTATCTTGGGGGGAGGAGTAGACGTGGGGTGTCATGGCGGGGGAGGAGACCTTATTCCAGTAATTGCTGACGCTCGCGAGGGTGATGACGGACGGGAGGAAGGAGGAAGAGATCGGGTGCGGCGCGAGGCGGTGGAGGATGCGGAGGAGATTAGAGAAAGCTGCGAGGGTTTGTGAATCGCTTAGACACTGCAGGGCGAGAACTGACCTTGGTCATCGACCATGTCCAAGACCAGCCAGCGCCCCTCGAGGAGAGGCGAGTCTTCTGGACTTTCGACGCTGGATAAAGTGCTTGCGGTACCGCTTCCGCCTGGTTCATGTTCTTTGATGTCGGTATGAAGGACCTCGTTGTCTTTGATGTCGGGGAGCGGTGGAGACGTCGCAAAACGCTCAGGAGTGTCATAGTGGTCTGCAAGTGGGGAAGAGGGTATGGAGATCGACGGGGAACTGCTAAGGAGGGTCGGGTCGGGTTGGGATCTGAACTTGATGCACACTATTCGTTGCTCGCCAAGACTAGCGCTGTGTCGCTCTAGCGATTCTGCACCTCTCAAAGCTAGTAAGCGGGATAACGGAAACCTGTCGACTAATGTGCCACTCTGGCGTCTAGTTGAACACATCGTCTGACACTGCGGTAAAACAACGTACAGTCCGATCTTTGTAGACGTGCAGCACTCCCTGGTAGATGGCAAGCCAGTGGTCTCGCCACTCCATCTTCTTGTGATGTTTCTTCTTGTGTGCAGCAGACGCATCCTGCTTACCTGATGCTCGTTCCTTTCCCTTTCCGCCCGCAGGGTCGACTGATATGTTTTCCGAGACGGGTGGGTCAAACCGAGCAGACCGTGGGCTGCGGGCGGGACGCATCTTTCGCACCTTGGACTCGAAATAGGGCTGTGCGTAGTCTGATGGTGTACTGCGAGGCAGCGTGACAATGGCGCCAGAGGTATGCATTTCGAGCATTTCATAAGGGCGCAGTTTGTACCACGACAAGGCAAATTCATCCTCGAGGATGCGTCCCGTGGTGAAGGAGAGCAATGCGTATTGCTCTATGTTATGATTGCTGTTGCCAGCTCGGGACTGGGAATATACATCGGTGGCACTGGGCCCGGCTTGGGAGGTGTTCATGGACGAGAAGGAGGCCTTGACGTTCTGGCGCGAGTAGAGGCCGGTATATCTTCTCTCCTGAGGTCTTGCGGGAAAGTCGTCGATATCCTCGGAGTCGTCGTCGAGGTCATCGTCGGACCAGTCTGAGCCGTCGAGCGACGAGCGTGTGCGGGTCGATGCGAATGTGATGGGCGAGACGGGGCGATGTACTGGGGTCTCTGGAGGCTCGATGAGGTTGCACCTTGCGAGGATCCACTCCTTGACCTGCTTGACCTTCCAGGCGGTGTGGATATGGGTGACGAGCCATTGGTCGTACGGGACTGTGAACGTGATAGTGCGAGTGGCGGCCAAGCATTATTAATTACGTGAACCTAGTGCGGGATGAGAGGAATAGGCGAAAGAACGAACCGAATCTGCATGCGATGGTGACAATCTCGCGGTCGCTCTTGTCGACTTGCATCCCGTCCAGGACGCTGAGGTCGTCGAGGGGCAGGTCCTGTCGACGCCCGAGTCCTTTCCCTTGTCAAATAGTAAGTAATTAATGGACTGTTGCTTGTTAGAGCTTGTAACAACCGGTACCGATCGTCTATTACATCCGAGCCACCCCTGCCTCTCGCCAACTCGTCTCGGTGCCTCGCTTGCCTCTTTCTCCCCGACCACAATGTCTCTCGCGTCACCCACCAAGTCATCAATCTGGAAGGGCAAAGAAAAGGCCATGGACGAGGACTACGCGGATTTGCGGCCTGTCATCACCTACAGACATCTTCACTCGCACAACCTCGGCGTACGCGATCCACTCCGCGTGGTCGGCCTCTGCGACAGCGACGCGTTCTACGCCGCATGCGAACGCGTACGGCTCAACTTGAGCGAAGACGCGCCGTTGGTCGTCCAACAGTGGGAGTCCCTCATTGCCGTCAGCTATCCCGCGCGCAAGTATGGCATATCCCGCATGGACAAGATCAAGGACGCCAAAAAGAAGTGTCCTGACCTCGTCTCCGTCCACGTCGCGACATACAAGGAGGGAGAGAAGGAGCCGGGTTATTGGGATGATATAGATACGCGAACACACAAGGTGAGTAGGTTATCTGTACCGTTTCATACAACCTTGTTTCGCATTGCAGTCCTCGGCGTTCATTCTTACAATACATGACTGATGTCAAGGTCTCGCTTGATCTGTACCGACGAGAAAGCGCTAAGATTATGAATGTATTTAAAGAGATGCTACCTAATGGCGAGATTGGTGAGGCATATGTTTGGTTAGAGGGACATTCACTCATTCACAACGAAACCCCTATCCAGAGAAAGCATCGATAGATGAGGCGTTCATCGACTTGACTCAGCCTGTTCGAGACACTATTCTTGAAAGATACCCATACCTCGCGAATATACCCCCAAATGCACCGCAGGGAGCCGACACGCCACTGCCATCTCCCCCACTCGAACTCGACTGGGCTGACAAAGTGCACCTGATCCCCATATTGCCAAGCGACGATGGCGACGATTCGCCCAAGGACGAGAGCGAGTTTCCGCCGACCTGGCATGACGTAGCATTATGTATAGCAGCAGAGTTTATGACGAAGATGCGCAAGCAGGTGCTTGATACCCTCGGATACTCGACGTCGGCGGTGAGATTTCTCTTGCATTGATAAACCTGCCTTTCCTGAGCTTACGAACGCAGGGACTGGCGAGGAATAAGGCGCTTGCTAAGGTTGGTGTATTTGGTTTGTTATACCGAGCAAAAATGCTGAGTCTCTAGCAAGCTTAGCGCCTCCGTACGGAAACCGAACGGCCAGGTAATGCATTCGGTCTTGCCCGTCTATGGTGTGCTGGATAGGCTCATACTGGGTCGCCGTAGAGCATTCTGCGCAATGACGCAATACCGAATTACCTTCGACCGATGGCATTCCAGAAAGTATGGTCCGAGTTACATCTTGTTATACGCGCAGTTGTGTTGATGCTTTGCAGATACGGTTCCTTGGCGGTAAGCTAGGCAAAGCTTTTGCCGACGAGTATGATGTGTCCTCGGTTGGTGATATTCTGTGCGCCATGTTATTGATTTCCTGCGTGGTTTGTGTGTCTGATGAAAATTTAGTACGGTCTCTCTCGGTGCGTCGAAGGCCTTGGAGTTGTTATGACATAAAGCTCAGGTGGTTCCAGATGAGATGCAGAGCAAGTTTGGCGAAGAGTCGTTGTGGGTGTATGAACTTGTCCGGTACGTGATCCCATCGCTGCATTGGTCGTCTTCTCAGCATACACAATGCTAGTGGTATTGACCGATCAGAAGGTATGCATCATATGATGGCGTGTCTCGTGGACATGAACTGAGATGTTACCAGTCAAAGAGAAAACGGCATATTTCAAGAGCATGCTGGCGTCCAAGAATCTCCCCAAGCCAATAACCAAGTCCAGCGAGGGTCCACAGTGGATCCGGGTGCTGGCAGCAGAGCTAACACTGCGGCTGAACGAAGCGCGAGAGACGATGCCATCGCTATGGCCAAAGACGATAGCGCTTCATCTTCGCAAAGGTGAGTGGTTAAGTGTTTGAAGCAGACGAGGAACTAGACGAGAGATGCCAGGCTATGAAGCGTCGCGGTCGAAGCAGGCGCCTTTCCCTTTTGTGAAGGAAGTGACGGTTGATATTGTTGCAAGCGCGGGAAATAAGTTATGGAAGGAGATGACGGGGAATGCCAAGGATGTGAATGTTGGCGCGTTGCAGCTGTCGTTTTCCAACTTGGGAAGAGGAGAAGTGGGGCAGAAGAACATCGACGGCTTCTTTCAGCAGTCGACGAAGCGATCCCGGGAAGATGCCGAGGATGATCAGCCATCCGATACCATACAGGGTCGTGCTTCTAGCTCATCCCCTCAGTCGCCGTCGTCATTTGTGTGCAGTCGCTGTAAAAAGCGGATCGAACTTCCGATTCATGTCGTGGAGATCAGGGGCCATGATGCGGAGGGTTTAGCGGAGACAGTAGCCGCTCTCCGTGCAGAGCATGACGATTTTCATTTCGCACAGGATTTGGCCAACGCTCCCGAGACAGACCAGACAGGTCCCGCCCCAAAGCCGTCAAAGCCGTCGTCAACTGGTCGGGACACCAAGAGGCGGAAGAAGGCAGGGGAGCCTTCCAAAGGCATAGCGCGGTACTTTAACAAGGCAGGATGATACGTTGATGCGAATAACATTTTCGTATTTCGGTGATCGACAGGTGCGGGGCTGTGGTTGTGGCTGTGATGTGTATCAGGTTCGTTACCGAGTCCGAGACTTAGCAACGGCGCTGGATGCTGTCCTGTGTTGTGACAGTTGACTTGGACGCTAGTCGCATCACCCGCACTGGTGCATATATCCACTCCATCATGGCGCCTACTCTCCTTGGAGGCTCCTTCTTCCCCCCGACTTCCATCCTCCTTTTTCTTTCTTCCCTCAGACGCTGCCTCTGGTCAGGTAGACTTTTCGGCTGAGCCGCTCACATTCACCTTCGTTCTTCCTTGCTGTCTGGTACAGTCTTTTTGATAATCTTCCTTCGACTACTCCCTTTTCCTGCTTGTTACAATGTCGGCATCAAACGAACTATTCACGCCCTTTACCTCAAGCCAATCTAAAGGCGTATATGTACGTCTTTCGTTCATCACTCTGATTTCACTCCTTTCCTCACAACACAATTTCTAGATTATTGGCGTCTTCGCCTTATTGTCGACGCTTGCGTTCCTGTACAAGTCGTTCCGCGTTGCACGCGCTTTCCTACAACCTTATACTCGTGGACAGTCCAATGACAACAGATCACTCGAGCGCCTCTTCTTCCGCACTCAACTTGGCATATATGCTGCCTGTCTTGTTCTAAGCAACGTCTTCCTTAGTCTTGCTGGTCTGATCGAGTTCAACTGGGCAAATGACTTTGGTATCTCTCAAGGTATGCTCTCCTCATCTCATCACCCAAATTAGATGGAACACCAATCTTTTGTCTGCCTGTAGGATCTTTGTGCAGGACGCAAGCCGTATTCATGCAAATTGGTACATGGGCTACCTCTTACTTCACGATCGCTATCGCACTTCACACGTGCAACTCTCTCATTTTTGGCGTTGCGAGAACACGCTGGCTCAGTCGCGTTGTTATCAGTCTGGGATGGGCCATCTCTATCGTGGCAGGTACGTGAAGCCTTTCGTGATAGCCGAGCACAAGCTGAATGATGGCGTTCAGGTATAGCACCTTTTAGCAACGATGCCATATATGGACCAGCAGGAGCTATCTGTGGTGTCACCCATGGTTTCAGCCAGTATACATTTGTTCTCGAGGCTCTCCCGGTGCGCATATATTTTGCATGGGCGTGGTCTTATTGTGCTAATCGCGGTATTATAGCTAATTCTGGGCGATGTCGCCTCCGGTGTATTGTACTCCACAATTTTCCTCGTTCACCGTGGAAATCTTCGTGTCAAGGGCGGGCTCAGGTTTTTCAAGACGAGCTCCTCGCGCCGTAGTGCACTCGAGGATATTGAGGAATACCAGAGCTTCATTGGGGCTGTTGCAAGTACTTTGTTGTGGTACCCGATAGGTAAGTCCTGTGATGCTGCTTGAACCACTCCAGCTGATGAAGATGTTGTAGCGTACGCCGCGTTGTTATTGCCTCACCTTGCCATCGCCATCCGTTCAATGACCAGCACTGTTCCTTTCAACGTGGCTGTGTTTGCCCACATCTGCTGTTTCCTGCTTGGCAAGTTCTTATCCTTGTCGGGTCCTGTTCTCTTTTGCTCATACGGGACACAGGTCTCGCCAATGTGGCTCTTTTGTGCAACACTTTCAGAGAGCTCAGTCCATTCATTCAGGCGCCTCCTTCCGAGAAGAGCTTCGACGATCAGGAAAAGGCGCCTAGTGATCTGTCTGGCCTCCCTTCACGTCCACCCGTAGCTCTTAAGCTTCTCAACAAGGAGAACCGTCTTTACGAGAACCATCGTCGCAGTAGCTCGTCTTCAAGCACTTCGTCTCGTCATTCAAGATCTAGCTCGTCGGGCTCTAGCGTCGGTTCTGAGTCTGAGCTTCTCAAGTATGACAGGCGCAAGACCTACCGCTTCGCCCGAAGCAAGATGTCAATCGATGCTACTCCGGCTATGCCTACCGGTGCTCTGCCCCAATTCTCCGTGGGCATGCCTATGGTGGCTCCGGCTGAACTGCAGCGCCAGGGAATGATGGCCGAACAGGTTACAGCTGAGGGTGTCACCTTCCAACTTGCTGTGCCTTCGGTTTCACCGCTAAACAGCACATCTCTTGCGGCTATGAGCGCCAGCCCCTCTTCTCAACTGGCCATTCCGACCTCAAGTCTTACATCCGCCCTTCGCCGCCAGATTGCTGAAGCATCCGGTACCGAGGACAAGGAGCACCAGGAAAAACTGGCATCGGACAACACCGTTCCTCTCATTGAGATCACCGAGGATTCGCCCGTTGACAACCAAAGCATTGTGCAGGAAGAGCGGTCCGCTTCCCCAGCCCCTTCTGAATCATCGCAGAACAAGATGTCGCACAAGCCATCTGGTAAGACTGCCTCTCGCGTTCCCATGCTCCCTATCTCTGGCCATCTTGGTGCTTCGCCTTCGTCGCCGGCCCCTCGCTCTTCTACTGCCCTACAGTTCAGCCCGGCTGCCATGCCTCAATCTGTCATCCCGCAGTCTATTCTTCCTCAGTCCACGTCCGGTAAGAAGCTCGCAGTCCCGGGTGGCGCCAGGAAGGCTTCACGCAAGCCTACCCCCCTGAACCTCCCTGCACCGACCACGTTCGCTCCCATTAAGAAGGGCAAGTCCACGGCTGATAAGTCTGCTGTGCCCAGGTCTGCACAGGAAATCACCATCACCACGCCTCTGCACTCCGCCACCGCCATCCGTCCGCTCCCTCATGTTCCGGAAAGCCGTGACAGCTTCACGTCGGCGTACTCGCACGTCATGCGTGAGGCGACGTCTGCTCGTCTCTCGAATGCATCGTACACTTCACAGTCGAGCTACTCGAGCACAGGCTCCTCGAACGCGGGTAGCGTGCGCCGCCTCCCCACGCTTCCGCCCGCTGCCGAGAGCAAGACTGCCTCCGTGTCGACTTTCGCAACGAGGGCGGACGCGAGCCGTCGGACCACCGCCACGACGATGTGGTCGCAGGACAGCGCTGAGACCGACTCCAGGCTACCCCAGGACACCAACGCGATGCAAGCGTATGCGTCGCTTCGTGCTGGTGCGGACTCTCCTGGCGAGTAGGCTATTCCATAGCTAGATAGACATTTTGCGCGCGTTTCTTTGGACAAGGTGATTGCGATGGAGTTGGACACGTCCTTATAATTGCATTGAATATGTACATGTATTGAAGTAGCTGTCGTTCGCTGATTATTGACTTTTTAAATCCTTTTTGCAATTGGAAACTTTTGCTTGTACCTTCAGAATGAATCTTGATACCCTTTTTCTCTGAAAAGTGATGACAAAACAAGATGATGCTCGTGTCGCGTGGTCTGCCGATCGGCAAATGAAGTCATTCCTGACCTGCACTTGACTGTTACTTATATAGGTCCTCCGGCGGTCGTGAACACAGCAACTATCATGGCTCTGTCAAACTTTGGCATATATCTTCAGCGTTCAACGAAGTTGCTCAGGGACAACAGCGTCAAAAGTGAGCTGGCAGCTACTCATAACAGACCTCCTGGCTAACCTCGCCTCGTCCAGTCCTGCGCATGGAGGGCGCGAATATGCCCAACCATGCCCCTATGACGTTGTTGTCCCTCCAGAACCGCGAAGATATCTCACACTTTGCGAGTGGATGCGACGCCGACATTGGGGGGACTTCGTCCGTTCGCCTCGATGCCGACGAAGACGCGGAGAGAAACGCGGGGAGCGGGAGCCCGCTGACGATGCGCTTCTGGGGCGAGATGAACTTGACGGTGAAGCCGCAGCTGCAGGGCAGGATAAGAGGGGGATATGCTGGGTTCCGGTCAAAGGTGCGTTGTATCCCTGGTCTATATACATTAGCATTGCTGATTCTCATTCCGCTAGCCACGCCCGACGCTGTTTGGGGAGCTGACGGACGATGTGTCGAATCACAAGTATCTGGCACTGCGTATGCGGCTAGGAGGGAGCCCACGGACGCGCAATTCGTACTTTGTCAACCTTCAGACGGACGGTCCTATCACCACGGATCTGTGGCAGCACCGACTGTATTTCCAGCGGAACGACGGCGGCTGGGAGGACATCTTTGTGCGTGTTCGCTCCCTCGAGGACTCCCGTGGAATGCTCATGCGTCTGTCGTGTAGATACCGCTCGAGAACTTTGTGCTCACCAACACCGGCGAGATGGTCAGCGAGCAGATTGAGATGCTGCGCGAGCGGGTGCGCACAATAGGCATCTCACTCCTCGGAGGCAACAGCGGCGTCTCGGGGCCGTACGACCTCGGCATCGCGTCAGTACGCGCAGTGAACGAGGAGGACGTGACAAAACCTCCGTGTATGTTTGCTACTACGTCATCATGTACGCCTGTAACTCACCAGTCCGTAGTGGAAAAGGACGTGCAGAACTTCCACAGGAGTTCAGTGTGAAATGACCAGGGATGGAGCACGCTTCATCCTTTTTGACCTCACGATGCATACTTCGCTCATCGCACACAGCAGGGGCAGGAAGACCTGGCCCGGGGCCAGAATATATATGTACAATTTGATAATCCTCATAAAAAACTATGTTCTCCACTCATTAAGGTACCAAGAGGCGACAGGGAAAGAGGGAAAGGGGTGTAACCAAGTATGCTAAGACAACATCTTGTTCCAGGTCAGCGGGACGGAAGAGGCGAGTAAGGAAAAGCAAAAATAACGAATAACGAATCTAAAAAAGCGCTCAAACGACAACGCATCCACTGCAGCAGCCACCATGTTCTCCCTCGCCGCCCTGGTTGCCATTACCGAACGAACCACCAGGTGCTCCGGGTGTGGATGACATCATGGGGCGACCGGTTTGCTGCTCCTGGAAGAAGAAACGTTATGAGTGCCTCAAGTAGCAAAGACTGTCAAGAGGACGAACCTTGTTGTATTTCCTGATCTCACGGACGAGGTTGCTGAAAGCCTCGTCGACGTTAATGCGCTGTTTGGCAGAAGTCTCAATGAACTTGCAGCCAAAGTGCTTTGCAAGGTCACGGCCCTCTGTCGGTCAAACCAAAAGTCAATGCTGTGACATCACTTTGGATAGTAGACACGGACCGTTCATGCCCACTTGGCGCTCGTACTCGAGATCGCACTTGTTGGCAACGACGATGACGGGAAAGGAGTCCTGGTCCTTGACACGGAGAATCTGCTGGTGGAAGATGCTGATTTCCTCGAACGAGTTGCGCGACGTGATGGAGTAGACGAGAAGGAAGCCCTCGCCGGTGCGCATGTACTGCTCACGCATGGCTCTGGAAAGTACAGCATAAGAGAGCCACCGGGCGAGTGCGAAATGCGCGGACGTACCCATACTCCTCCTGACCTGCGGTGTCGAGGACATCGAGCAGGGCGACCTCCTCGTCGATGACGCACTGCTTGCGGTACGAGTCTGATGGATTAAAAATTAGCCGAAAGAGGTGATGGATGGGGTGGAGCGGCGGGAAAGAGCGGACCTTCGATGGTGGGATCGTACTCGTCGACGAAGTGACTCTGGATGAACTGGATGGTGAGGGCCGACTTGCCGACGCCTGCAAATGCGGGATGAGAAGGTGAAGAATGGGGAGAAGATGGGAAGACGGACCTCCTCCGCCGACGACGACTAGCTTGTACTCGCGCAAGAACTGAGCCTGTCAGAGATGTGATGTGTCAGTATGAATGTGTATGTTTGTGGGTGCAGCAGAGTGATTCATACCCTGGACATTGTGTGATGAGGGGAGGTGGCTGTTGTACAAGAAGGAGCAGCGGAAGAGGAAGGCGAGGTGAGCAGGAGAAAGAAGGGCGGGTGGACGTGACAGCAAAATGGCACAAGCGGGGGCCACGAGGGATTTTGTATTAATATTATTACACGTAATTCCACATTTATCCCAAACTAGATCGGTTGCTGTACTATGTGATGTGGCTAGCGCTCAATGGCAAACCATATCTTGTCATCCATCGACATATCCTCTCTCACACAGCTCACTCCTGGCCAGCCTATTCCACAATAATTCACCTCTTGCATCTTGTGCGGCTTACTTCAAGACTCCTCCATAATAGTCATGGTTATGCTGTAGCCAAATGAGCATGAGTGTATGCCACGGCCAACTACTTCGCCCGCATCAATCAACTCACTTTCTCTGCCGCACCCCGGATCTGTCTAATCGGCACAGGTACGTCCACTTCCAGTATGAACACATCATGTTCCCCGTTCCTGTATTTTGGACAACTGATAGACGCTTATATCTAATTTGGCACCTGCATTCTATTCCAGCACATATCCACACGCGGTGAGCTCAGCCTTGAGCTTGATTGCGACCACGCTCACTTCGGATGTCAACATTTGTCTTCATTTCCCCAGATTGCCCAGAGCCAATCGTGAGTGTGCATGGCACACCAAAGATGTGCCACGCCTCGCTCGAGTCGACTCGCTTCGCAATATCCAGCTTGATGACGGGCACAATACTGCAAATGTCCGTGGTAAATACAGTCTGTCCGATATAATTGTCAATAGCCTGGGGACTTGAGTTATGCCGGCCAACTTGCTATGCAACTCTACACCAAAGTACATCGGCCGTGACCGAAGGCAACGGGGCGCCATGGATGCTATCAATGTTGATTATTGACTAAGAATTGCCTAGAGTACACTATAGGTTCATGTCGGGTCACGGTCCGCATCGTTCTTCGCGTTGCACGCGCAGGGCCAAGAGGCCCGAGGATCACTAGCACTTCCTACTCCGTCTTCTTGTGGTCACCGGCACCGTACACCAGCCTATCCGTTGCTTCTTTCTTCCCTCGGATGGACAGCCACAGCCCCCATACGGGCGTGAAGAGAGGGATGAACATGGCAACGCGCTCTTGGTATGCAGGATATGCCGCTGTGTACTTTCCTCGGGATACCGACTCGCTGAAGAGTGTGCTCGAGTAGAACAGCGACGTGATCACCAGAGATGGAAGAAGGGGGGTCAGGTCGGTGATCTTGTGGGGAGGGGCTGTGAGATGCGGGGACGCAGGAGATAGGATGGGAAAAAGGTTGATGAGAATCTAGTACACGGTGAGGAGCACATGTCAGCGCTGGTCAGGAGTCGAGGCAAGTACACAGCTCACCCAAAAGGTTTGTTCACACAGAAAGTTGGGGTGCCTCGACCAAGCCCACAGCCCGCGTGTGACGAAGCCGCGTTCAGCGTCTTGTTTGGTCCATTGGATACGTGCACCGGGCCATTCATTGGCGTTAAGAACGCCGGAGTGCTTGTAATTCTGATAGGACCACTGCTGGTTATCCGCTGTGAACTGGACTACGTTGGTCAAAAGAGCGAGGGCACAAAGAACGTAGTCCGAGGTACTGAGCGGGCTGTGGGGCTGATGGACAGCCATGTGAGTGGGTAGTGGGAGAATAAACAGGATGATGTTCTGGATGATTGCTGTGATAAGAGGTAGTCGTCATGTTGGCTGTTGGTCTTGCAGAGGAACAGATGGAAGCACAGACCGATGAAACCAAGGTTGAAGATGTGCCACAACACCTTGTTGGGAATCTGCTGGCGCAAGAGCTCCCAGCGATAGTCCTCGTCTTTCCTGTACGGAGCAATGAGCGACTATTCGGGCGAGCAGCTGTGTAACCTACAGGCTGAACAGACCACGCCTCCAGGTGTTGTAACTCAAGCTACAATGCTATTAGTACACGTGTAAATGTAAATCAACGAATGCTTATTACCGGTACATCCAAAGTACCTGCGGCAACAGTATTGATATTAGAAGGAGACTGGCACGTTAAAATAGCGCTGACAATTAAAGTGGCCATCATGACCGCCCTTGGGCTGAAAGTGCTAGCAACAAAGTAAGGTGCGTTGGATGGCGTATACGGAAAGAGAGCGAGAGCAGAGTTTGGCCAAAGTGGAATGAGAGCATAGTAGACAGCATAGACGGTCGGGAGGAACGTCCAGACTCTGTCCGCTTGAGAGACGTTGCCTGTGATGAGAGACAAGAGATATAGGGTGGTCGTAATGGCCAAGCAGAATTTGACTGGCCATACGAGAGTGGGTGCTGCTTGCTCTAGTAATTGCAGACTCGCCATGGTGTTGGTCGAGGTCGAAGAGAGATTTAAGAGGTTTATAAAGTGACCCGTCGTCGATCAACTTCCCCTGTGCTTCGGATCGTGTGACGTCGTTGCAACCCGTCGGCAGGCTGCTCACTGACCCTAACCCTAGCCTGCTTGATTCAAATAGGGCAGCCCCCTTTCAAGGGTTATGTCAGCAGTCTGCTCACTTGCACTGACCACGATGTCGACGACCATCCTCTTCTCGACTTTTCCTCCCTTCCCCACCCTCTCCCTCTCTGTTCCCTCCGAGACGCGTTTTGAAGATTTATACACCCTTTTAAACGACAAATACGACGATTTACCAACCTGCGATGACCTTCTCATCTCCCCGCACTCGGGTGCCATCCCCGACTCCTCGACCCCACTCTCTGCTTTGCATCCTCGAGATGAGGACGCGTCCTCGCTCGTCACTCTCAGAATTACTCCCCGCCTCCATGGTGGCAAGGGTGGTTTTGGCTCCCAGCTTCGTGCCGCTGGTGGCCGCATGAGCAGCCAGAAGACCAGTAACAACGACTCCTGCCGTGACCTCAGTGGTCGCCGTCTTAGCACCATCAAGGAAGCTAAGAAGTATGTCCTGATGTTGTACATCTTATATGTGATACTAATAGTAGTACTTTAGGCTTGCCGAGTATCTTGAAAATGAGCCCGCGCGCAAAAAGGCCGCCGCCGAGGCCCAGAAAGCCAAGCTCGAGGCTCTCGAGAGAAAGCTCGGTATCATGCCCAATGCTGGCGAAGCTTCATCATCAAAGCTAGGAGACTCTGAGCCAGTAGCCGGGAGGAAGCATCGCTTCGACGACACCGAGTATCTCGAGCAGAGTCAGGAGCTAGTGGACAATGTCAGGTCCGCCGTCACAGCAGGTTCGTCCATACGCTATTTCTGTCCACCTATGTTATTTATCCGTATCGCATAGGCCTTCTGAAGAAGAAGAAGAAAGCTAAGCTAGGCCACTCGTCAAGCTCTCCCGACGAAGCGCCCAAGGTCGCCAAAATGAACCTGGCCACGGCATCGGAAAAGGTGGTCGAGTCACCAGCGACGGCGCCTGTAGCAGCAGCGGCAGCGGTCGCAGTTGGGATTGCGAGTGCTTGATGGGACCTTTGGCGTGAATGATGGTGTACTTAGCATGTAATATTACTATTCTTTGTTGGCTATCTTAAGGATGTTTAGAGTGACCATGTGCGGGTAAAGCGAACCTGTCATGTTCCTGGGATTTGCCATACGCGAGTTATAAAGCTTCTCCTCGTCCGTCTCCTGAGTCCTTCGAACGTCGACTTGGACATCTTCGCCATGCTCCCTCGTCCACGCCTCGCCCAGGCCACGGGCAGGCTCAACTTAGCTCGGTTTCTTGCTACTGTCGCACCAAATGGCTCTCGAAGACCACAAACGGTCATCGAAAAAGTCGTACAAAAGTACGCGGTCGGTCTCCCCGATGGAAAGGTAGTCAAGGCAGGGGACTATGTCATGATACGTCCAGAACATGTCATGACACACGACAACACCGGTCCTGTCATCTCAAAGTGTGCTTCAGTTTGTTTGCTGTATCCCCTTGCCATTACTTACATTCGTCTGTCACTAGATTCAAGTCCATAGGAGCAACGCGTATCTCGAACCCGAAACAGACCGTGTTCACGCTCGACCATGACGTGCAAAATAAGTCTGACAAAAACCTGTCAAAGTACGCCAACATCGAGGCGTTCGCAAGACAGCACGGCGTCGACTTCTACCCCGCTGGCCGTGGTATTGGACATCAGGTTCTCGTGGAAGAGGGGTATGCCTTCCCCCATACCCTTACTGTCGCCAGCGACAGTCACAGCAACATGTACGGTGGTGTCGGCTGCGTTGGTACACCCATCGTCCGTACGGATGCTGCCGCCCTATGGGCGACGGGCAAGACCTGGTGGCAGGTCCCCCGTATGGTCAAGGTCGAGCTCCGCGGGAAGCTCGCACCAGGTGTCACGGGCAAGGATATCATCGTCGCTCTCTGCGGTTCGTTCAATCAGGATGAGGTCTTAAACGCTGCCATTGAGTTCACTGGCGATGGTGTCTCGGGTTTGGCGGTGGATGACCGGTTGACCATCGCGAACATGACTACGGAGTGGGGCGCTCTTGTCGGAGTCTTCCCCGTCGATAACACTACTTTGGACTGGTATGAGAAGACACTCAAGAAGCTTGAATTCAGAACTTTTGCTTCGCCCTCATCATCGCTGCCTCCGGCACCCGAGCATCCTCGCATTAACCGACGCCGTTTGGACGCTCTCAAAGCGACGAACTTGACGTCTGATGCCGATGCTGAATACTCGTCCCATCTTGTCTTTGATCTCTCGACTCTCGTCCCTCACGTTTCCGGCCCTAACAGTGTCAAGGTTTCCACGCCTCTGCCAACGCTGGAAGAGAGGCGTATAGCAATCCAGAAGGCATACCTCGTCAGTTGCACCAATTCGCGTGTGTCCGACATTGCAGCTGCAGCGGAGGTCATCAAGGGTAAAAAGGTTGCGCCCGGTGTCGAGTTCTATGTTGCTGCCGCGAGCTCTGCTGTTCAGCAAGAGGCTGAGGCGCTTGGACACTGGGGTACTCTCATTGCTGCCGGTGCTAAGCCCCTCCCAGCTGGCTGTGGCCCCTGCATCGGTCTTGGTACCGGTCTTTTGGAGGAAGGCGAAACCGGCATAAGTGCGACGAACCGCAACTACAAGGGTAGAATGGGCCACCCCAAGGCTCTGGCCTATCTCGCCAGCCCGGCCGTCGTCGCTGCCAGCGCTGCCAACGGATACATCTGCGGACCCGCCTCGCTCGAACCCGAGGCGCTGCCCCCCGCTCGTGCCCCGACGTTCTCGATCGCGACAGACGAATCGGCGGCTCAAGCCGTCCCCACCCAGGTGGCCGAGGAGCCGCTCTACCCCGGCTTCCCGGCGGCCTTTGCTGGGCGCATGCTATTTGCGCCGCAGGACAACCTGAATACGGACGCGCTCTACCCGGGCAAGTACACGTACCAGGACGACATCACGCTCGAGCGCCAGGCGGAGGTCGTGATGGAGAACTACGACCCCGCTTTCGCGGCGCACGTCGCGGGCCTCCGCGCGGAACAGGGCGTCGTTCTTGTGTCGGGCTACAACTTTGGCACAGGGTCTTCGCGTGAGCAGGCCGCGACCGCGCTGAAGGCGGCGGGCATCCCTGTGGTCATTGCGGGCTCGTTTGGGGACATTTTCAAGCGGAACGCGATTAACAACGGTCTGGTGTGCCTCGAGTGCCCGGAGCTCGTCGCGGACCTGACTGACGCGTATGCAAAGGGCGGCAGTCGCGGAGCTGGCGGGAAGGAGAGCGAGTTGACTGTGGACAAGGGTCACAAGATAAGCATTGGGATGGTGGATGGGCAGGTTGTGGTGACGAGCCTGCAGGGCGACGTGAAGAGTTATAGGGTACGCCCCGTTGGTGCTAGCGTGCAGGAGCTCTGGGTGTGCGGGGGACTCGAGGGATATGTCCTCAAGTCCATACAGGCGGAGGCGTAGATTGCGTTTTAGATTTATCATTGTATACTTTGCTCTACCAGCTTATGATTTGTTGCACAAAACAAGCAGAATCAGAGCCTTTTTGACTTCCTGTCAATGAGCTGGATTGTGATATTAAGTCAAAGGGATTCAAGTCCCCCGGCAAGGCTCTGCACAAGCTTCGTGACCAGACTGTGTAAACGAGCGGGTTCAGACCCGCTTCTATTAGTGTGAGGGTGGATTGATTGCAGACTGTCAAGCAATGCTACTGTACATGAATTGTCTTTTAGTACAGCACATCATTACGATGTGTACGTCAGTAAAGTCATGGTAATTCGTGGCAGTCAAAGATATAACTAGAGTCTGTCCAAATGCTCAGCACTTCACAAGGAAGGGCTCCATACGCTGCGTCCCACGCTAGGCTCATGTGAGGTCAATCTCGAGCCCGAGCTGAACTTTTCCTGGAGTACTGCAAGCTTGGAACGATACTCGTCGACGCCGATATAAGCGCCGCAGACTCTGCGCTTGCCGTCGAAAGCGGAGCGCCCATGAAGTACACGATGGTTGTCGACCGCTGGACAGAGCAATGAGATACTCAGCAAAAGGTTATAAAGACGCGCTCGACGTACTAAGGACAGTGCCAGGGGTAAGCTGGATCCAGTACTCGGAGTCCTGGCTCGTCAAAAGCTTGTTCCACATACGAATGGCCTTGTACCTGAGGGCGTAGTCAGCGAGAAAGCTCGCTACGGAGGTGGCCGAGGCCAATGACAACTCACCAGTCCTCGACAAGCGAAGGGTCAAGGTGGCTCATGACGCTCCTATCGTCGTTGTTCCATCGCACTTGCACAAGCTCATCCGAAACAGCGTCAAGCCTGAGCGTTGGATAACCTGTCGGCGGGCTCGGACGGTAAAGTGCGCTCGGCTCGCCCGCAGCGTGCGCGGGTACGGGCACACGTGCGAGGAGCGCGTAGAGGTTGGGGTGGAGCTCCTTGAGGATGGAGGCGACGTAGAAGCCGTCAACAAGCAGTGTGGCCCCACCCGTACCTTCCGTGTGGGAAAGAAGGTGGAAGAGTTGAAGGCCGCATGGATCGGTCTGTTGCATCGTCAAGTCATCTGGAGATGGTGCACACCAAAACGATGGTATCTTACAAAGTAGGTGTTATCAGTGTGAGCGCCGAGGGCCATTGTCGTATAGGCGGTGTCGCCTTTCGATAGGTCGGCAGTAAATTCCCAGAACTTGCCATCTGGCATCATATGTCAACCTCGGTCAGCTGGGAGATGTAGGTAAAGATGAATGACATTGTGTTTCTCGGATGAATCCTATACGCTCGGAGAGCTGTTCCGTGGCTTCTGGTGTTGCGGGCACACCGGTCACTAGGCAGAAGCCGAACTTGTCCTAGGAGGGACGTGAGAAGGTGGGGGACTCTGGGGCAAATGGAGCGAACGAACAACGTTACTGAGGTACTTGTACAAACCATGGTCGCTGCTGCCCATCACATCTTGGTGGGTGACGGTCGGAGGCGAGTTTGCGATCCGAGAGCCCCAAAGAACGCGTCTAATGTCTGTGAGTCAAGCATACCTTTAACATGTGGGCAATACAGACTCGTCCGTGTTCCGTGAGTTACGAGGAGAAGGGTCATAGGTGTTTTCTTGGAGCCAGAACCATGGGTAGAAAGACGAATGTGTCTCGGTCGCCGTTGCAGGCCCTATGTCGTGTGAGCCAGATATGCAAGAGTTAGCAAGCCAAACGACCTACGCACATGTTACTTCAAGGCCCTCAGCAGTGGAACGGACGTTGATTGGTTTGATGTCAGGGGGAATCTAGAACATCGTCAGTCGGGCATGACTGGACATAAAGCAGGGCGTACGTCGAATGTGTTGACCAGACGCTGCTTGGTGATCGGGTGAAAGCAGTCTGGACAACGGCAGTGATCACGAAGCCAGACGTGGTGACTGGACCATCAATCGCGTCAGAATGGGTTGGATAGGCGGATATTGAGGACGTACAAACGTGACCAATTGTGAGGCTCCCACATCAGGGATACTTTGCGATCGTCAATGTTGGCGGTTGGAAAGTCGTCTTTCTTGTCATTCTGCTGAGCATAGCCAAGTTCGTTCGAGGGTATGACTGACTGTGTTGCAGCGGTGGCCAACTTTCTGTTACCAGTGCAGATGAATCTGCGCGCAGGGGCAATTGGCTGATGAGAGTTGGCAAATCAAAGTTCATTCAACGTGCATAGTGGAGTAAGCCGAGAGATTGACTGACTGAAGCCTGTGCTCTGCTCGTCGTTGGAAGTCTTCTGGCAAGAGATCTGATACTTGTCCTGAGCATGTCGAATGAATGAGCGTCGGAACGGAGATGATATGGTTAATCGACGGTTCCCCGTCGGGGTCGGTGATGTTCACATATGCTCATTCGCTTGCAATTATACAGCCTGAGTTGGGTTAGACATCGTCAATGGCTCATTGGACGCTCGACAAGCATGTTTCATAGTGAGAACGTTACACGTGTAAAACGATAAAATTCATGTTACACTCGCATCAAAGCTATTTAGCGAACATGCAGGCTGCCAGGGACTGAATATGTTGATGGGAGGACGGCCTTAGTCGGGGAAATGTGTTGGAGGTCGGCCGACAAATTGATAAACGTGACTCGACCCTGGGTGGAACGCGAAAAAGACTTATTAAAAGTGTTGAAAAAGTGCCAGCATTTCTCCACCCCTTCTTCCATCTCCTCCACTCCAATGGCCTCCTTCGCTCGCTCTGCCTCTGCTCTCCGTGCCGCCTCTCGTCGTGCCGCGCCCCGTGCTGCTGCCGTCGTCGCTGCCAGGCCCGCCGCCGCGTCCTACTCTCTCCTTGCTCGCGCTGCCCCCACTGCTTCGCGTCAGGTACCAAACGTACGCCCCGCTTCTTGTTTTTTCACGCGGCAAATGCCAACACATGCAAATTTTACAGGCCACCCGCGGTGTCAAGACCCTCAACTTTGCAGGCACCGAGGAAGTTGTCTACGAACGCGCCGACTGGCCTCTCGCCAAGCTCCAGGACTACTTCAAGAACGACACTCTTGCCCTCATTGGTTATGGCTCTCAAGGCCACGGTCAGGGCCTTAACGCCCGTGACAACGGTATGAATGTCATTGTCGGTGTCCGCAAGGGTGGCGAGAGTTGGAGCCAGGCCATCGAAGACGGTTGGGTATGTAGCATGCACAGCGTCCAAACCACGTTTTTTTTCTGACTGTTCTTGCATTTCAGGTCCCAGGAGAGACCCTCTTCCCTATCGAGGAGGCCATTAACCGTGGTACCATCATCATGAACCTTCTCTCTGATGCTGCCCAGTCCTCCACCTGGCCCACCATCGAGCCTCTCATCACCAAGGGCAAGACCCTCTACTTCTCTCACGGTTTCTCCGTCGTCTACAAGGAGGACACCAAGGTCATTCCTCCCAAGGACGTCGATGTCATCCTTGTCGCTCCCAAGGGCTCAGGCCGCACCGTCCGCACTCTCTTCAAGGAAGGTCGTGGCATCAACTCTAGCGTTGCCGTCTTCCAGGATGTCACCGGCAAGGCCAAGGAAAAGGCCGTTGCTCTCGGTGTCGCCGTAGGTTCTGGTTACATGTACGATACCACCTTCGAGAAGGAGGTCTACTCCGACCTGTACGGTGAACGTGGTGTCTTGATGGGTGCCATCCGTAAGTGTTGCAGCCATCCATTTGTTCTTGCTTTGTCTGATTACGCTTGCAGAGGGTCTGTTCTGCGCTCAGTACAAGGTCCTCCGTGCTAACGGCCACTCCCCGTCTGAGGCCTTCAACGAGACCGTTGAAGAGGCTACCCAGTCTCTCTACCCTCTCATTGGCCAGAAGGGGTGAGTAAAATCAATATTCGGTATTCAGAATCCGTCTGATGTGCCATGCTAGTATGGACTACATGTACAACGCTTGCTCAACCACTGCTCGCCGTGGTGCTCTTGACTGGGCGCCTGTCTTCGAGAAGACCAACCTTCCTGTCTTTGAGGCACTCTACAAGAGCGTTCGTGACGGTACTGAGACCCGCAAGTCCCTCGAGTACAACGGCCGCTCGACGTACCGCGAGGACCTTGCCAAGGAGCTCAAGGAGATCGATGACCAGGAGATCTGGAGAGCTGGTTCGTTGACTTTTGAATTGATTCTTGCACGTGTTTTGCTCATTGTTGTCCAGGCAAGGTTGTCCGTTCCCTCCGCCCGGACTACAAGCCCGAGTAAAAGGGTTGTATTGACGTTTTGACGGATTCATGGTTCCTCAAAAGCACACCGTGCAACTAATAGACCGCTCTTATTGTATTCTATACACTCACTTGATCATTAACACGCATCTACATTCGAATACACCACGTCATGATTGATTTTCGTGATGCATGATTGCTAAAAGTGCTGTAACAGCTTGAATATTGAGAAAACATTACTTTTCGGTAGCAGTAGCTGTAAGCATCCAGAAAGGGGCCGCTCGCGTCTCCGATCGCGTGTGCCAGTACTGGATCTCGTTTGACCTTATACCCACACAACATGGACAAGGACAATCGTGATGACTTTACTTTTGCAAAGCTATCCAACCTGAAGCTTCCAGTCACGTTTCGTATGTACGAATCTTCATGCGCACGTCTGTGTCAGACTCGTCTTACGACATCTTAGTTCTCAGCTCGAAGGAACCAGGCAGCCCAACTCGATTACACAACTCCTGGAGAAACCTGAGCTGAGGTTTCATGGGGTGCAGCTGCCGTGCGTCTTCTTCGCATGTTATCATAAAATGTTAAATGTGTGTTTGTCCCAGGACGCTCTCGGACCTGTATGTTACATGCCAGCTGGTCGCGGACAACAAGCCCTTGACGATCCCCTTTCGCACCTCCTTCAAGGCGTTCAAGAACAGTTACACGTGTGTTATCTTCCAGTCTCTCTGCTGAAATACTTTGTCATACTTCACCAATAGGTGGAATGAGTGGATAACGTTCCCCGTCCGCTATTGTGACCTGCCACTCAACTCTCAGATCACCTTCACCGTATGGGATATCGGTGGTCCACGCAGTGCAATTCCGGTGGGAGGATCCACGTTCAGGATGTTTGGGAAAAAGTGGTGAGTGCCGTTCTCCTTCGCCGTGCCATGACAACGGGGACATTGGCATTGACCCCATGATGTTAGGACACTCAGAAGAGGGAAGCATCGCCTTTTGCTATGGGCGGGCAAGGAAGCCGATGGCTCAGTTGAGACCACGACACCTAGCAAGGTTGGGACCAAGGATGAAATGGGAAGGTTGGAGAAGGTATGTGATACGCATATACAGTGGGTTGCTTCGAACTTATGCTCTCAAAGCTGGTCAAGAAGTACGAGCGCGGAGATCTTCCCAAGAATGACTGGTTAGACAAGATGGCCTTCAGAAAGATGGAAGAAATCCATGCGGTACGAGAGTTTGCGGCTTGCTCTTGGGGTAACTAACTAACAGCTTGTCTGGGGACACAGGCTGAAGCTGAGAAATCTGAGAACATGTTTTTGTACATCGACCTACCTCGATTCGACTTCCCTGTCATATTCTGCGAACCTGTGCGCACCGAACACATAGACAATCATATCAGTGCTAATAATTTATGCGTTTAGCACAATCCAAACTTGGCCTCTACGTCTAGCCTTCCACCACCAACGGCCCAGCCAAACATCACGCCTGCACTGCCTGCTTCCTTCAACACAGATCCACACTTGTGGGCCATTGTGGACCCCGAGATTGTCCGCGAAAACCCAGTGGAAGACAAACACCGGCGCCTCGTCCGAAGCCATCGCAGTAGCCCGTACGACCGAGAGTTGAAGCCCAACGCCAAAATCAGAGATGAACTTGGGGTGGGCTCGTCTATGGCTTCTCCGCGTGCAATACTGACCGCTTGCAGGAAATACTGGCTTACCCTCCAGGTCAGATGCTCACGTCAGAGGAGAAGGACTTGATCTGGAAGTTTAGATTCTATCTGACTCGTGAGAAGCGCGGCCTCACCAAGTTCCTCAAGTCAGTCACTTGGAGAGATCCGTCCGAGGTGAAGCAGGCGGTTGAGGAGCTGCTTCCAATGTGGACGGAGATAGACACCGATGACGCGCTCGAGCTTCTGGGACCTGGAACGGTAGACTCCCGCGTGAGGGCGTTTGCGGTCAAACAGCTCAGTCGGGCGGATGACGAGGTTCGTTCTTCGTGTTTCTCAAAAGATAGTAAATTCATCGTCCATTTAGGAACTTCTGCTGTATCTATTGCAGCTAGTTCAAGCGTTAAAGTTCGAAAACGCTGCCAGCGATCAAAGGTCAACGCGCTCACTGACCAACGCAATATCTTACGATGACAGTGGTTTGACTGATTTCCTCGTTGAACGCGGTGTGCACAATGCCATCCTTGGGAACCGGCTGTACTGGTATCTTATGGTAGAGGTCGACTTGAACAAGGACGACAGGGTTGTTGCCAAGATGTATGGCAAGGTGGTGTTCAAGTTTTTGCAGCGGGTGGTCGAGGTATGTGGATCATGACCATCTGTGTGTGCTAAAACTTAGATGGGTTGCAGTCGGAGAACGGTAGCGAGCGCCGCGAAATGATGCGTCGACAAGGCGTTCTCGTTGAAACCTTGAGCAAGCGTGCAAAGGAGCTACGAACCAACAAGGACCCACGGCCGAAGAAGATTGAGAAACTTCGCTCGTTCATTAGCGATTCAAAGAACGGGCTGATTAACATGTCGCCGATCCCGCTTCCGCTGAGTGCGCACATTACCATCACGGGCATCATCGCGGACAAGTCCTCCATCTTCAAGTCGAACCAGTATCCGTTCTTGCTGTACTTTCAGTGCGTGGATGGGTCCGAGTTCCCCGTTATCTTCAAGGACGGCGACGATATGCGACAGGATCAGCTAGTAATTCAGCTGTTTACGCTTATGGACCAACTGTTACGGAAGGAGAATTTGGACCTGAAGCTGAGCCCGTACGCGGTGCTCGCGACGGGGCCTCAGCAGGGTATGGCGCAGTTCATCCCAAGCAAGTCAATCGCTGCCATTGTTAGTGAGAATGGGACGCTCTTGAACTTTCTGAGGGCAAACAACCCGGACGAGGGGAGTGTGGGAACGTACGGGGTCGAACCCAGTGTGATTGATACGTTTGTGAGGAGCTGCGGTGAGCCATTCATCTAACTTTTTTTTTTGGAAGCATTAGGCTAAACGACGCGCAGCTGGATACTGTGTTGTTACGTATCTTCTCGGAGTGGGAGACCGACATCTGGATAACTTGCTGCTTTCGCCGGATGGTAAGTTCAGTAAAGTTACCCTAGCGCCATATACTGATGAGTTGGGCTAGGTCATTTCTTCCATGGTACGCCCATGACGACATACCTAATTCTCTAGAGACAAGCACTAACGTTTCTCAAGTGGATTTTGGGTATATATTAGGGCGCGACCCAAAACCGTTCCCGCCGCCTGTCAAGGTTTGTAAGGAGATGGTTGATGGAATGGGTGGCGCGCAGTCAACGCATTATGCGCGGTTCAAGAACTTCTGCTTCACCGCGTTTACTATTCTGCGAAAGAATGCGAACCTGATCCTGAACTTGGTCGCGCTTATGGTGGATGCGAACATCCCAGACATCAAGCACCGTGATGTCCATGAGCAAATACAAGAGAAATTCCTGCTTGATCTGACGGAGGAGGAAGCGATCAAGCACTTTGAGGCGCTGTTGAACGAGACGTCGTACTTTACGGTTGTGCTGGACCGTATACACGACTTGGCGCAGTACTGGCGGAGTTAGACAAAGCGGAATTATGTTGGGTTTAGTTATGTGTTATGTTAGACAAGCATAATATGTTGACTTTTTCGGATGGGTGGAAGTGAGATGTCAGGTGAAATTAGCGCGGTCGCGTTGTGTGCTGTTGTTTCCACATCGTGTACTGAAACCACTATGACTTCGACGGACTCGCGCGCACCAGAGGGCCAGTCGTCGCTGCTCGCAAACGTCTTCAGCTTTGTCTCGCGTGAATTCGAATCTTTTGTCGCCAACGCTACCGGAAACTCTGACAGCCAGGCATGTTAACTTCATCGTCGCGCTGCAGATCGGCCCGAGCTGACATTTCGCACCCCTGCCATAGGAAACCCCTCAGCTCACTCCGCCATCTTCATGCGCTGGGCAACAACATCCCCAGCGGACCTCTCTCGACAATGGACAAACGTCTGTTCAATCCTCAGAGCACGATGAGCCTTCTGCACATGGCTACATTTCCTCTGGCCAAGTGCTTGTAAGTGATTCAGAAGGTCTGTTTACTCTCCTCGCGCATCCGAATGAAATCACTTATGATGCATAGATCCTCCCAAGCGTGATTTCTTACGACCGCAGGATCCCGTAACCCCTCGAGCAGCTCGTGACCTCCGTAAAAAGCCATCCATGACCATGCCAGGAGCTCTATTCCCCCGGTCTCCTTCACTTATGCCTGAAACCCCTCCACACCCTCCTCACGTTCACTTCGCTCAGCCCGCTTCAAGTTCACCGAGCACTCCTCGTCGTCTATCACCTGTCCCCGAGCCTGAGTCTGAACCCGAAGCTGGACCATCAAGCTCGCCTTTTCGCCCACCTGCCATTCCGTCTGTCCGAGACCAAGTCAGCCGCTTCAGGACTAATGGGAGCGACGCGGATCCATCCATTCTTCTTCCAAACTCACCGGGGCAAGACATGACGCCAGTAAGCCCAGTCAAGCATTCGCCTTCTCGTAAAGGCAAGGAACGACAATTTGACGACGACGGCTTCCTCGACCCGAACACGTCCAATGAGCTTCGCGTCCGGACTAAGCAGCGAGAGCTTGATGCAGCCAGAGGCGAGGAGCAACGCCGTATGACGCAGGAACCCAACGATGAAGAGGGTAGAGAGCGCGATATGCACCGTATTAGGCTCCTAGAGCAGGAAGTCGCGAGGCTCAAGGCTGAGGTAGGCTTATATACGAGAATATAGCCACACCGTGTCCATGTGGCTAACCGTTAACATTTGATAGCTTGCACAGCGAACCCTACGACAAACACCTGACCCACTGGGGCGTGCCCCTCCTCCACCTCCTCCTCCACCGCCTCCACCGTTTGAAGTCCGCCCCGGCATAATGTCCACTCCCGCCGCGACTGAGGCGTTATTCCAGAATACTAGAGCAGCCCTTCGGCATATGCCAACACCTCGTGAAGCACCAATAAATACGATAGGTCTACCACGATCCGCACGTCGCCAGGGTATGCCTACCGTTAAAGTCTCCAACGACAAGATGGAGGAGTTTTTGAGCGAGATGAAGACGGTACGGCTACGGAGAGTTGGTAATTCTCTTTGGGAGACTAGGAGAAATCTGGAGGATGACGACTTCAACGTTGGATCCGTCTCAATGATCGACATTCCTGCAAATGCACTAGGGACTAAGGAGCAGGATCACCTCATGCGTCCTGCTACCGAGTGGGTAAAGAAGATTGCTCAGGGGGGCGTGAAGAGGAAAATTGACGATGTTGGGCGTGATGAGTTCCAAGCTAATCTGCGTGAGTGGTCGTTGAGACACGTCTTGGTTTGCAAGTTAAATATTGTATCCAGGCGCAGCGGTTAGGCGCAAATCTTTAGGTTCTGCGAGCGCACCATCCTTATCCAGCTCAGCGTCATCATCGGCGGCGGCAGGCTCTTCCTCAAAGGCATCCTCTTCACTCTCAAAGACATCTTCATTTACGTCTGCCTCTACCTCTACCTCGACATCAGCAGGACCGTCTGGCCCATCTAAACTACCCCATGAAGCAACCTCAATCTCGAACCCAAAGCCATTTACAAAGTCACAAGTAGTCGCATCCCACCTTCTACCTCGGTCTAGAATCCCTCAGCCTACCAAAGCTATGCAGCCAGACCCGCGAACCAACACGAACGATACTGATATCACTACTCCGTCGCTTTGTTCTGATAACGAGCCCGAAGCTGCAGATGAACGATCTCCATCTACTCCGCCTCCGTCGATGGTAGCTGAGCGGCCATCTCTCAAAGGGAAAGAAAAGGCGATCCCAAGGAGGGAGACTAGTTTTACACGCGAGGTAATTGATGTCGAGTCGGGCAGAGTAGAGGTCGTCGCGGTCGAGCCAGAAGAACAGCGAGACGTCGCCTCCAAGTCTGCTCCTCCACAACAGCTTTCGATACCTAACCCGTCATCCTCATTCCGTCAAGCCAGTTTATCCCAAAAATCGCGCTCGCCACGACCAGCCCCGAAGAGTCAGAGTAGCATGTTCTCCAAGAGGCCGCCTATGTCTCCCGCCCTACCTACGCCTCGCAAACCTAGTGCGCCTCGGCGTGCTCGGAGACGCGTTGCTTCTGATGACGAGGATGCAGCAACTTTCGAAAAGCCACGACTTTCCTCCGATGTGTTCCTAGACAAGGACATTGGCCGTCAGGACAACAAGTACGCACAGAAGGTAGCACGGCAGCCGACGAAGACAGTTCGGAAGCAGCGCACATTGGATGAGGAGATGAGGCAATCACATCAGACAGCTTTGCGAGCAGAGGCAGGAGCAGAGGCAGACGATGAAGACATGGAGAGCGGGACATTGGTAGGGATTGGCACGAGGAACAAGCGGAGAGGGTTCCTTGCACATGGAGGTGCAGGTGGTGCTCCGGTATTTATGGGTGTTGGTTATGTCCGCGATGTGGAGGAAAGTGATGAAGCTGCAGAACCAACGCCGAGTAAGAAAGGCCCACGTAGAGGAGGGAGGAAATCTTAGACGGTTGATTTGTATGGACAGATATGTACCATCTCTTATTTCTGAGGCTACTTTTGTTTTCCCGCACAACGTTACCTAACGTCATCCAATAAGGACCGCCCCTTGGACGTTGACAGCCTCGTCTCGGACATGCATTACCGACAGCAATGATCTTCAACTCTTCCTTCATCCCAGCGCCGTTTAGCGTCAGCAGCGAGGTTCTCAATGGCTTGACTGAAAAGTCCAGGACTTGTCTCGAGAGGCTGAAAAGCTCCACCATCGACAGACCCGATCTGTTCGTCCTCGCCGCTCAACTTGACCGCGATCAGGGTGCTCATACTCAACTTTCTGTAGCTCACGCGTACCCCTTAAGAAACTCGCAGCTGTCCTCGTTTTGCTGTTTGAGAAAGATGGAGCCCTGCGAGTTTTGTTAACCACTCGTTCCAAGTCGCTCCGAGCACATCCCGGCCAAACTGCGTTTCCTGGAGGCAAGGTTGATCCAACGGATCGCGACCTTGTTGCTGCCGCAGTGTGTATCTGCCTGTATCGTGCACACGCGTTCATATCTGACATGAGGTGAAGCTTAGAGAGGCAAACGAGGAAGTGGCACTTCCTTTGAACAGCCCATACGTTTACGTCCTAAACGCTTTTCCCCCGTTCTTGTCTGCCTCTCAACTCCTTGTCACGCCAATCGTAGCCTTTTTATCTGAGCCCTCAATTATTGACAGTCTAATACCATGCGCTGGGGAGGTAGACACCATTTTCGACCATCCTTTAGAGGCGATTCTGGACCCGTCTTTGATGGATGGGGAGCCTATGGTCCCGTTACACAGCGAGCATTGGCCGTATGACTCAGAGTTCCATGTAGGCACAGCTTCTTTGTCTTGCAGACGAGATGCTGACAGACATGAAGCACCCCTCCGATGTTGCGTTGGAGGCTTTTGACAACTTCCTCTACCGAATGCAACGTTTCCGCTCATGTGCCTCCCCTGTGAAGGGTCTGACGGCAGACATTTTGGTACGGCCCCCCGGTTCCTGTTTCCGTGCCATGTTTTGATTATTACGTGCTCTAGATACTTGTGGCAGAACTTGCCTATGGGAAACGTTGTGCTTACGAACGTCACCCGCCCGGCCACGAGGACACTTATGCTCGGCTAGTCATCACACGCATGCGCCAATTCGAACAGGCGACATCAGCGCAGATACCAAAGGACGCTGACGAGCCCGTTACCTCCGCTGAATCGCTTCCAGTGTAACAAATCTCCGTACAGTCTTGAGTCCTGTCTCTTGGTACGCTGGAAACTCATCATATGCAATTAGTAGTAGACAATGAACCACCTTATGACGCCAGGCGTTATTTGTGGGTGTTGGGCGGCGGCTTGTGAATTCAACATAGTCAAACAAGGCGCCTGCTGCATCACCTCGAGGTCTGCACGTGTACGTGAAGAGTACTTAAGAACTATTGGCGACGATGGTAACCTTTCAGCCCATTTTCTCTTGTTTTCCTCTCTCGTTGCCTTGTACTAGTCGCTCTCTCATTTGCAGCCATGGATAGGACCGCTATCTTCCAGACACTGTCCAATAACGACGAGTTGTATCGCTCCACTCTTCGCGATCACCGTGCCATACCCACCCTTCTCTCCCCCTGGGAATACCGCGAGGAGTTCGGGATCGTACACCCGTCAGGCTGCGACGTCTGTTCCACCTACATGCAGCACGTAGCCGATGCAAGCTACTCTTCCCATCAACCTGCGTTCCAGATCGCTTTCCAGGATCGCAAGCGAGCACGGGAGGACACATTCGACAAGGGCCTGGCGGAGGGTATCCGCTGTCAGAAGAGGGAGGATGAGGACATCCTCACAGACCTAGATCGTTTCCGGTTCGAGCGCAACCAAGCACGCGAGGAGGCTGCCAACCTTCGTGCTGAACTGGATGCTGTCCGAGCCGACGCAGACCGTTTCCACTCAGAGTTGATGCGCTACCAGCGTAATTTCGATGTCTCCAAACTCTCCGACGACGCGCACGACTCTGGTGAATCCACATCGACGGCCGTTGAGCACAGGGAGGACCCAATTCATCTTGACGTTGCATACGCCACAGTGTCTTGCATTCACAGCCTCAAAACCACCCCCATTGACGATTCGCCTCCGCGCAGCATCCATCCCATATACTCTCGCCAGCCTTCGCCTCCCCTGTTTTCCATCGCCTCCCCTCAGGCCCATCGACCTGATGGTGCCTCACTTGCTGCCATGTTCTCCGCCAGTCAGATTGGCTCAGACGAGTCCATGCCCTTACTCGATCCTCCTGCTAACTCCCAAGTTTGGACGACTGTTCAATCATCAGGAACGAAGTCTGCCAAGGCTCCGAAGACGATCAAGCAAATTCAAAGTCTGATCAAGGCGGCTCAAGAGCCTGGCAATTACAGTGCCCTGACGAAGGTCAAGGCCATGTGCTCGGATGCGCACAAGACGCCCAGGGAACAGAAGACCGAAGTGCAACGCTTCCTGCTCACCAACTGGCGCAGTCCCGGCTGGGAAAACCCCTCTGCCCCACCTCGGACGACGGTCCCCCTCAACAATCCACGCCTTGACGATCCCGTCGAGTGCTGGGTGGCCTATTACGCTGCCAACCCTGGATCCTGCCCCAAGGGCATCCGTTTTGATGCCGGTGGTCAGCCATTCTTCTCTGACATGAGGGCTAGCCGTACCGTTGCGCGCATCCGGCCCACGATTCAGCCAAATGACCCTGAATCTCGCGAGGCACGCCAGCGCTTCATGGCCATTGTCACGGAACTGTTCTCTACTCCGGGAGAGTATGAGAACCTGCTGCGCCGTGCCGCATACAGCGTTTGCCCGCACATGACCTATTTGTCGTATACTTGCAAGGCGGAGGAGATGACGGACATCGGGATCGCTTGCCACTTCGCCTCATGCGGAGTTACGATCACCATGGCCGACAGTGAGCTGGGACCATGGGCGCGTGAATATAGGCGTTCGGCAGGTGGAGATTAAGGCTGAGGTAGATCTGGCTTTACGCGAATATGTGGGAGGCTACTTACGTCCACGAGTCCATACAAGACTCGTTAATTTGTTTGTCGAATTGTATGTACTATAATGCTGGACGGGATGCTGGCAACCTAAGCTTACTGTTAGATATTTCACTCTTTCACCGCTGTAGGCGGTTGTAGATCGGCTTATGTATATGCACTAATACACCCTTAGAAGTACTTTGTTGTGTTCTTCATCGTACCCGCCAACCTCGGCGCAAATTTCGTGACTTGTCTATTGTCATCGAGCACGGCGCGGCTGCACCCGACGTCCTCCAAGCCCATCACTAGGACAAGAGTTGACTCGCGCGAATGAGCCATCTCTACAAGCATCTCCGCATCCACCAGGTTTTTGGGGCAAATACGGATGTGGGCAAGACCGTCCTAACGACAGCGCTCGCAAGAGTATCTACTGTCAAAGGACATAAAGTTTTCTATCTCAAACCTGTCAGCACTGGGGCTCCTCAGGACGCGGATGACGAGTAAGAATGCCTCGATTTACATTGGGTTGAACTGAACACCAATATTGCAGACACATCAAGCGTTTTGGGGGCCCAAGGCGAAGCGCCATTGAGACCAAAAGTCTCTTTCGATATGACGATCCCGTCAGCCCTCACCTCGCGGCAAAGATGCCATCTGCGGAGGGCAGAGTGGTACCAACAGACGAAACCTTTGTAAACTCCATTGCTGACTACGTGAGGAGATGCGCAAGCGAGCCATCGTACGCTCATATGTATGTGGAGACCGCAGGAGGTGAGAGTTCTCCACACCCGTGAGTGGGCTGATCCATTCGTACGCTTCATGGAGAAGCAGAGCGCTGACTTGAATTTCCAGGAGTACATAGTCCTACTCTTTCGGGTACGACCCAGACCGACGCATACCGCCCTCTCTTCCTCCCTACTGTGCTGATAGGCGACTCAAAGCTGGGCGGCATCTCGTCGACCATATCTTCTTATGAATCCCTCCTCCTGCGAGGGTACATCATTGACGCTATTCTGCTCTTCCGAGACGAGTACTATCGCAACTATGAATACCTGGCTCCATTCTTTGCTGAGAAGGGCGTTCATGTGTCATCCATTAATTCTCCACCTTCGCGGCACTCTGACCCAGAAGAAGATCGAGCAGCGACAGAAAACTACTATGCAAGTCTGGCGTCTCCTGAATCTCATGATGGCGTTCTTGGTGTTCTGAGTCATTTAGATGATTGTCACAAGCGCCGCATCGAAGAATTGGACTCCATGCCTCGTCGAACTTTGGACAGTATATGGTGGCCATTTGTTCAGCACGGGCTGGTGAAACAGGAAAAAGACGTCACAGTCATCGACAGCGCTTGGTCGGACTTTTTCAGCATTTATGATGCCGGAAATCGTCAGACAGAATCATCCTCGTCTTCCCGTCTTCAGCCTCAACTCGATGGCTCTGCGTCATGGTGGACACAAGCCCTCGGGCATGCCCACCCTTCGCTGACGCTTGCTGCAGCAGAGGCAGCGGGACGGTATGGGCACGTCATGTTCCCGCAGTCTTCTCATCTTCCGGCGCTCAAGCTTGCCGAGAGACTCGTCAAAGATGGACCAGGCAAGGGGTGGGCATCCAGAGCTTTCTTCTCAGACAATGGTTCCACCGGAATGGAGGTCGCTCTGAAGATGGCGTTGCGCGCCTTCTGTATCAGCAATGGCATCGCCGCGGAGGACCGCACCCGGAGGAACCTAGGCATTATCGGTCTGAAAGGGAGTTATCACGGAGACACCATTGGTGCAATGGATGCGTGCGAGGGTGGCGTTTATACTTGTGAATGGCACGAAGAAAAGGGTTATTGGTTCGATTCTCCCACTATTGGCGTTTGCGACGGGAAGGTCACTGTTCAAGTTCCTTCGCCCATCTTAGAAACAGCCAAAGACCTCCCTGGCACAACTTTCGCTTCCCTGTCAGAGGCGTACGACGTGAATTCTCGGCTCGAAAGCCCGTTGGCAGGCGTATACCGTAGACATATCGTCTCGGCCTTGCAGAGACTATCGGAAATCGAAGACATACGCCTTGCTGCTCTCGTGCTTGAACCTCTCGTAATGGGTGCAGGAGGAATGATCTTCGTGGACCCTCTTTTCCAACGAGTTATGGTCGATGTAGTTCGTGACCCGCAGCTAACTGGAGGCAGTCAAGGTTCCTCGGCGCTCCCTGTCATCTTTGATGAGGTTTTCATCGGTTTCTATCGGTTAGGATTCAACTCTGCTTGCCCAGTGCTGGGGGTGAACCCCGACATCTCTGTTAATGCCAAAATTTTGACCGGAGGCCTCATTCCCCTGGCTGTGACGCTTGCGACTGAAGACATTTTTAACGCCTTCAAAAGCTCAACGAAGACGGATGCACTCCTGCACGGCCATAGTTACACAGCTCATCCGATGGGATGCGCGGTCGCGAATGCCACTCTGGATATGGTCAACAAGTTAGGGGAGAGTGACCTCTGGACCGAGGCCCGAGAGCAGTGGAGAGCCTTCCAAGGGGTGCCTAACGAAGCCCCGAATCCACTGTGGAGTATGTGGGATCCTCACTTCTTGGAATCAGTATCCCGCCTGCCTTGCGTGCGGGAGGCTATGGCCCTCGGCACGGTCCTTGCATTCAAGCTGGAGGACAATGACGCAGGTAAGCTACATTGCATAAAAGAGTGCGCAGAGGATCAATCGTGCTTCTTTGCAGGTTACGCCTCCCACCTAGCTCAGATTAAACTGCAAGCACTCAAGGAAAGCGTGCAGTCCTCGACGTTGTCTGCTGCCCCAGGGGGAGCGCCGTTCGGGATCCACTATAGGACGCTGGGCAACGTCGCCTATTTCATGACTAGCTTGAACACGGAGAGAAAGACAGTTGCTGCTGTGGAGGATAGGATTTGGTCTGCACTAAATACGCAGTAGTTTAGCGTAACGTAAAGTTGCTCCGAATCTTTCTTGTCCTGACCCAATCCTGACCACAAGACCAATCAAGGGACAAGTTTATTGCTGTGGCCGCCCAACCATGTGCCGAGCCGGCTTAGTCAACAGATATCCGTGTGAAGTTTTATGCCTCGCCTCGACAGCGGGGACTGAATTCGCCTCATTTTTCTCTCTTCCACCATCTTCTTCCCTTAGACTTTACAACCTTACTACAGTCTTCATAATGGTCAGTTGGGTTCTCATTGTTTATCGACTGCTTGCTGACGACTTTTCAGAGTTACGGCGGCAGCTACAGCGGCGGCGGCTTCGGTGGAGGAGGAGGATACGGTGGCGGTGGCGGAGGTTATGGTGGTGGTCGTGGTGGATGGAGCGGAGGGGGAGGGGGAGGCCACGGGGACCGCATGGACGGCCTCGGTGGCGGTCTCAAAAACATTGACTGGTCCTCTGCAAAGCTTGAGCGCTTTGAGAAAAACTTCTATGTCGAGGACAAGCGTGTCTCAGCCATGTCCGACAGAGAGATCGAAGAGTTCCGTCGCACCAAGGAGATTAAGGTAACGTAGCCCTGAGATTAAGCTGGTCGACATGTGCTGATCATTGGACAGATCCATGGTCGTGATGTCCCAAGACCAGTGACTTCGTTTGATGAGCTCGGTTTCCCGGAATATATCCTTTCTACGATTCGGGCACAAGGCTTCCCTAACCCTACGCCCATCCAATGTCAAGCTTGGCCAATGGCTCTCAGTGGTCGTGATGTTGTTGCCATTGCTCAGACTGGTAGTGGCAAGACGATCTCGTTTGCTCTTCCTGCTATGTTGCACATCAATGCGTATGCTATTTCTTGTTATATCAGCTCAACATTGTCCTCACATTTTTGGTAACTCACAGACAACCCCTCCTGGCACCAGGTGATGGTCCCATCGCCCTTATATTGGCACCAACTCGTGAACTTGCAGTTCAAATTCAGCAAGAGTGTACTAAATTTGGGTAAGCGATCATCGACCTTTATAAAAACAAAAATAGTAGCATGATACTCACTCGCGTCAGGTCGACCTCGCGCATTCGCAACACTGCCATCTACGGTGGTGCTCCCAAGGGCCCTCAAGTCCGCGACCTCACTAGGGGTGTTGAAGTTGTCATTGCAACGCCAGGTCGTCTGATTGATATGCTTGAGTCTGGGCGCACCAACCTTCGTCGTGTGACTTACCTTGTCATGGATGAGGCTGACCGCATGCTTGACATGGGTTTCGAGCCTCAAATTCGGAAGATTGTGTCTCAGATCCGTCCGGATAGACAAACGCTGATGTTCAGTGCCACCTGGCCGAAAGATGTCCAGAAACTGGCCAATGCAAGTACCTGTAATTCAACTATGTGGTCCATCGCTCATCCCTCGACAGGACTTCTTGAACGACTTCATTCAGTGCAACATTGGCTCTATGGAGCTGACTGCTAACCATAACATCGCGCAAATCGTTGACGTTGTCAGTGACTTTGAGAAGCGCACTAAGCTCATCAAGCACCTCGACCAAATTAGTGCCGAAAATGCCAAAGTCCTCATCTTCGTCGGGACGAAGCGCGTGGCGGATGATATCACCAAATACTTGAGACAGGATGGATGGCCGGCGTTGGCCATCCATGGTGACAAAGAACAGTATGCCCAATGCAATTTGATGCTGAGCTTAAAACTGATAATGATCCCCAGGCGAGAACGTGACTGGGTTCTAAGCGAATTCAAGGCTGGACGCTCACCGATTTTGATTGCCACGGATGTTGCATCGCGTGGTCTCGGTACGTTTTTCATACTGCAAGCGCTTCATCAGGGTACAATCTCCGAGTCGCATCATACTGGTAATCACACCCGCATTGAGCGGGAGGTCTGTGTTTGCTAACGTCTGGCTCATCGAACAACACTGGCTTTGGCCATTGTTACTTGTTCATGGGTTTCGAGGATTCTCGTAGGCCAACCCAGCAGGACATTTCGCCATGGATGCCCTAAATCTTGTCTTGAAGATCCTTATCCTTGAGCTATTTTGTTTGGCGATGTGCTTTTCGTGGTAGTCACGAAGTAGCTTACTGTCGACAGCTTGCTTGGATGAGGACTCTGATGAACTTGATGCGGGAACATGTCTCTTGCTTGGACGGTCTGGACCCTTCCCTGTTGTGCCAGAAACAAACACTTTCCTTACCATGCGAGACCATCAGTTTCCGTTGATGGTCACTTTGTGCTCTGTTCTTGAACGCGCTTGCAACGTCTCTCTGGTTCGGTTTCTAACCACTTTCTTGGGTTCCTTCTCGTTTGTCGAATCTACGATTTATCGCCTTGCTGTGCTTTCTTGAATAATGCACATCTTACTCTAAAGATGTCAAGGATGTAGGCTATGTGATCGTACGTTTGCCCCTCTTTCCGCGTTTGCCGTATTGACTGTTGCTTGCAGAACTATGATTTCCCCAACAACTGTGAAGACTATATCCATCGCATTGGTCGTACAGGGGTAAGAACACTCGCAAATTATGTATTGAGCGCCTTTCTGATTTATTACACAGCGTGCTGGCATGAAAGGCACCTCATACACTTACTTCACCACCGAAAATGCGAAGTCTGCCCGCGAGTTGATCACCATCTTGCGCGAAGCCAAAGCTGTAGTACCCCCTCAGCTGGAGGAGATGGCCATGTACAGCGGCGGAGGCGGTGGTCGCAGTAAGTTTTATTGTCATGTCAGTTATTATCCCGGCGCTGACAACTCATGCAGGTCGCTATGGCCGTGGCCGCGGTGGCGGTGGTGGAGGTGGGGGCGGAGGCCGGTGGAGTGGTGGAAACCATGGTGGCGGAGGGGGCGGCTACGGCGGTGGTTTCGATGGTGGTTACGGCGGCGGCGGCGGCGGCGGTGGAGGGAGGGAACGGTGGTAAATCCTCCCGACTGTTCGATGTTGTCTACTCTTTCGGTATACTAGAGGACCCATAGATAGTGGCGATTTTGCTACTGCAGTTCACTCTTAATCGATCATGGACATGTTTCCGTTCCGAGGAAGTAACCGACTTCACAGTCCTGATGCACGCGTCAACGTTTTGTTCAATTGCAAGAAATACAAGCTATATGATTGAACAGATGGTATCCATAACATCGATCGAGTACATCTAAGCATAACAACACATAGACAATGGGATAGGTATGAGTGCACAACAAACAGGGTATAAGGTGTATTCCGACATGCAAAACAAACATATGGGCCAAATAATATGGTATGGCTACATGACGATGCAAGGGTGGCCTTTCTTCTTTGGTTTAGGGTCGTGTGGGTATTTTGCTAACATCTGGCGGACGAGATCTTCGAAGGTCTCGGTGACATGCCAGTTTCGTTTCGCTGACGTTTCGTAAAAAGGGGCGTGCCACCGTGAGGAAAGAGTTTGTGCTGTGTCGTTAGAAACTTCTCGTTCGTTAACAAGATCCATCTTAGTACCGGCGACGACAATGGGTACGTTCTACGTAGATAAGGCGGAAGGCGCTATGCATCAGAACTCATCACACAGGAGACATAGGCATTGACGCACCGTGTCACCTCCCTTGATGGCATAAATCTGCTGCCGTAACATGTCTATCTCCCGAAGACTAGCCTCCTGCGTTAGGCTGATGGGGTACCCACAGCGTAGGTTAGGCCAGTGCTGTATCGCTTGGCAGGAGAACTGACTCGCCTGTAGACGAGGATAAAACCCCTCCCAGCCTAAGAAGGAAGGGTTATCAGTTAGGGGTCTTGACGTATATAGAAGGCTCACCTTGATGTATCCCTCATTCAAACCCTTGAACTGTTCTGCACCGGCTGTGTCGAGGATTTCTAGCTATAGGTAAATGGTGGTAAATGCAGAAGATGAATAAATGACGATAAGGAGGAGTTTGGTGTGGACAAGAGACTCACGCGAGCGGGAGTGCCATCGACCTGAATCACTTTCCGGTAGTTTTCTACGGCAAGGGACGAGTGCATGAGCGTCAAGAGAAGACGTAAGCGACTCAGGGGGCCTCACCCTCGATAGTTGGGTCGTAAGTCTCGAGGAAGACATCTTGGCAGAAGCGGACGGTCAGGGCAGACTTTCCTACACCTCCGGCTATTGTGCGAGTAAGCAATTAGCGTGAGTATGAAGAGGGAGAGGGACAAGACGGACCGCCTAGGACGACGATGTTAAAGTCTCGCATGGGAGATCTAGAGAGAAGGAGAGTGGAAGCGGGCTGTGATGGGTCGAGGGGGGTGGATCTGTGGGAAAGGGATGAGAGATGAGGATGGCCGTGCTGGCTGAAATAGCGACTGACCGGTGCTAGGCTGGGGAGAGGAGACACAGGAGAGGCTGGGATAGGCTGGGATCTGGTCGGCGGCGATCATGCACAGTTGTATGCGGCGGACACGAGGAAGCTGACCGGGCGATGGCTGACCGAGCGCTCGCCGTCTCGTCGCTAGTAGAACGCAAAAAAGATGTCCAGTGGACAGCAAGTGGACAGCAGTGGCCGAATGGGTCGGGCAAGAGATTGTTGGTTGCCCAGCACCTGGCCGCTGATAGCCAGTAATACATACATAATAATATATGCATGATGTGCGGTCTTTCACCGCTCCTCTACAGCAAGTCACTACTAATTTACTAGTCCACACTAGGCAGGCGCGACTCAACTCCGCCTTGCAATTGTGCGCTTGCCTCTTCCCTTGAGCTTGCCAAATCCAACCTCTCTCATTAATTGCAATATGGTCAGACCACGCGTCTTCTTCGACATACAGATCGGTACAGAGTCCGTCGGCAGGTCAGTCGGCCTCACATACATGCATACAACCACTGCACACCCCTCCAGCTCACGCCGCTTTCCAGAGTCATCTTCGAACTATGGAACGACCGTGTACCGAAAACAGCAGAAAAGTCAGTCTTTTCATTCACACGATCACAGTCCGCTCATGCACCTTTGCCAGCTTTCGTGCATTGTGCACTGGAGAGAAAGGCCTTTCGTCCCTCTCAGAACGTCCGCTCTATTACAAGAATAGTATCATACATCGCTCAATCCCCGATTTTATGATTCAAGGAGGAGGTCAGTTTCGTTTTTACAACATGGAATGCGGACTCTGAGGTCATGCTGTCTGTGCTCCAGACTTCACGAAACGGAATGGCACTGGGGGCGAATCCATCTATGGCAGCGCCTTCCCGGATGAGGACCTCTCTTCTCCACTTGACGCGGAAGCGTAAGCTCGAAATCTTGAATCCCGATGAATGCTGCGCTAACTCTGTCGCCTTCAGTCTACTATGCATGGCCAACAAGGGCCCTGATTCAAATGGTTCTCAGTTCTTTGTCACACTTCGTCCCTGCCCCCATCTCAACGGTGCGTTTTAATTATTTCTTGGGCAAGTTCAGTTTCGATCCGACCCACCTTCAGGCAAGCACGTTGTCTTTGGCAAAGTCATCAGGGGATACGAAGAGGTCGTCAAGAAAATGGCCCAAGTCCCGACAGATGGGAAAGACCGACCCACCACGCCGGTCGTCATTGCAAACTCTGGCGAACTAGAGTTGAAAACCAAGCAGCCGCCTGTCGCAGAAGGTGCTATTCCGTGTTACTCTGAACATCTGGCAGGTAGACCTGACAATTGCGTTGCGTCCTCAGGCGAAGAAACTGAGCAGAAAAGCAAGAGCCGTAGCAAGCGCCGCGACCGCAAGGATCGTTCTCGTTCCCGGTCCCGGAGTCCAGACGAACGGAAGCACCGCAAAAAACCCAGACGCTCCAGGGACGACAGTCCACAAGGCGTACCAAAAGAACCTTCGCGCAGCACATCTATTCAAGAAACCGAGGAAGAGTACGACGCGAGACTCGAGCGAGAAGAAAAAGAACGCATTGAAGCAGCAAGGGTGGCGGAGCTGCAGCGCATCAAGGAGCAGCGTCAGGCTGAGCAGGAACAGGCTGGCGGTGTCCGTTTCAAAGGGAGAGGTCGCATGAAATACGTCGACCCGGAGCTCCATGGAAGACGGTAGAGATCATTGAAAGCCAGCAAGACAGCTCATGGGTCTTAATGGCGGCAAGCACGCCGCATGCATAATCAATCATATAATATACACAAGTATCTTAAACCGAAACCTCAGCAACACGATCTGCGACGTTATCAGCCGCATCGCGGCTCTCCTTGGCTGCACTCTCTTCGGCAGCACGCTTTGCGGCTGCTGCGTTTGCAAAGCTGAAGGAGGGGCGAATTGTGGCAGTAGCAGCTTGAGCCTTGTTACCACTGCCGCTGGCAGGGGGCGCAGTAGCAGGCGTAGTCGAAGCCGGTGGACGATCGGATGCCTGTCGAGAACCCGTTCGTGACATTGAGTGAGGGGGGCGATCAGTTCCCTGACGCGAGTCGGTTCGTGACATGGCGTGCGGTGCCCGCTCTTTTTCAATGCGTTCAGCGACTTCCTTTTCCTTGCCAGAGACGTCGACAGGTCTAATGAAAGTTCAATGTTAGAAGAATACGATCAAAACGTGTATGGGGAAGATCAAACATACTTGGCGGCGCCAAAGGGGTTAGCACGGGCGTTCGTCGTAGCAGCAGGACTGTTGGCCATTTTGGGAGATGAAAGGGGCGATGGACTTGCGGAGGTATTAGTAGATGAACGAGGGAGGAGTTCGAGCTTGCGACGGTTCAGCTGGGGAGTAGGAGGAGTAGAGCTGTTTGCTAGACGAATCGTCAATTTCGCCAACGAGCGTAAACATTATTCATGCTTACGCGACGTGCTATTCCGAGCTGCCGGTTTGGCTCTTCGCCATTCGCCCTCGTCAGGGGGGGCAGTAACGGAGACCGTCGAATCGAAGCGTCCCCGAGAGCGAGGCGGGCCCATTTCTTCTTGCCCAGCGTTAGGTTTGAATTTACTTCCCATGGACCAGCTTTCTGCAGCATCTGCGGCACCTGGAGGGCCGTCACTAGTGGCGAAGCCGGAGCCTCGCCTCTTGACGGCAGGAGGTTCGGGCTCTGGCATGCGAGGCTTGCTCGACCTCCAGGCACTGACTTCATCGGAGACAGCAGGGGGCGCACGCTCGGGAGCAGGTCCGTCGCGCCGCCGTGGCGGACCATCTCGATCCATAGAGCCCACGGGAGGAGGGCCATCCCTGCGCCAGTTGCCTGAGAATTTTTCATCATCATCACCTCCGCCTGAGAACCCGGAACGCTCCTTGGCTAAATATACATGAATGGGAGACCGGAAGGGAGAGCAAACTCGGGCGTACGTGGTTCCGCGACGCTGACACGGACGGTGCGACCTGACAAAGGCTAAGACACATATGAGATGACACAACTGTTGATGCTTAGTGATGCAAGGTCAGAGAGCGTACCGATGCTGATTTTGAGATTGCGTCCTTGAGACCGTCTAATTCTGCGAATTCTACGTATCCAAACCCTTTGGGTTTATCATCCCTATCCTTGATGATTTTGATGGACTTGGTCTGAGAGTTGCGAAGTCAGGGTGGATCGGGTGATGTGATGGAATATGAAGCGGGACACATGACGTCGGACGTACCTGATGCGGGGCAAAGAAGCTCTCTAGCTCGCTTTCAGTGATATCGAAGGCAAGATTGCCAACAAAAGCCGTGAAAGGAGGGTTTGTCGGGAGGGGGAGATCCTCTCTGGGAGGAGCAAACGGGCGATCTCCTGGGTATGTCGTCAACGGCCAAGTGTCAGCCCAAGGAAGAAGAACGGACCACGAGCACCATAGTCATCCCTCCTAGAGAAACGATCGCCCTGACGAGATCGATCGTCGTCGTCGTTCCTTGCCGCGGCTGGGAGAAAATGGAAGGAGTGAGGTATATCAGCGGATAAGGTGAGAGTATAGACCAAGTATGACGTACGGGCAGTTGGAAGCGAGTCCATTTCATCTGCCCATGATCCAAGGGCTAGCAAAAATAAACATATGAGACAAGTTCTGCGGTGGAAAGGAAAGGAGACTTGCCGTTATCGCCCAAGAACTCGTTGAGGGAGATCTTCTGGGCTTTCTGTTTTTTGGGAGCTGTGAAGTACACGCGATATTTAGCCTATCTACACCTCTGGAGAGGGTGCTAGCTGACCCATATTGAAAGCTTGTTTGTTTTTGTGGGTGGTGTGTTAGTGAGATTTGTTGTCTCTGTGCGATATGTGCTGGTCGCTGCAGAGCCAGGAGGAGGGAAATTCTTTCGCGACCCAGGATCGCGCCAGGCCCACGCTTCCCACGCTGGGCGCTAAACGTAAACACCCCTGCGCGTGTCTAGTTTGGACAATACAAACTAGTAAGTAGTAGCCTCAACTTAGACAAGACAGACACCATGATCCTCCTCGAGGTCAGCATCGCTCCTGTAAATTAACCCTCTTCGCTGTTGCTCACAACGATCTACAGGCGCACAATGTGATCATCCAGACAACACTCAATGATAAGCTCATCAAGTGTGTGCCTTCAACTCCAACCTTGTCTGCTGCGCTCATCATCACCTCCGTCATAGGCCCTCATCTCTCGACGTGCAGTTCGTCGACTTTGATGGCGTACGCTTCCGCATGTCCACGGCAGACCGCAAGACCGTCATTCTGCTTTCTATGCACATCCGCTGCTGGGACGAGCTCGTCAAGTACGGCGCCATGGATGTCCTCCAACGCGAGTACGGCAACCTCATCGTGTCCCAACCAGAGGCAGAGTACAATGTCAGTCTCTCCATAGACTTGGAGCAAGCTCCTGCGGACCAAGGTACGACTTCAAACTCCGTACGTTCTGTCCTATTGACGCGTCGAGACAAGAGGCTCGCGACGCTTTCGTCAGATCCATCTCAATGTTCAAGCGCAATGCCCTGGCTGCTCCTTTCGAGTCCGCATTTGCCCAGCAGAAGCAGCTCGAGAGCTCTGGACAGATTGGAGAACTCATGGCGATCCACTACCGCGATGAAGAAGCGATCTACGTACAGGCCTCGCCAGATCGCGTCACCGTTATCTTCTCGACTGTCTTCAGGGAGGAGACGGATCGCATCTTTGGCAAAGTCTTCCTTCAGGTACCCACCTTTCCTGTTCTGTGAGCATAGCTACTCTCGACTCATGGAACATCTAGGAATTTGTAGACGCGCGTCGCCAGCCAAGCATTCAGAATGCGCCCCAGGTCCTGTATTCCAGCCGCGACCCCCCGCTGGAAATCCGGGACGTCCCTGGCCTGCGCAATACCGAAGATATTGGCTACGTTACCTTCGTGCTCTTCCCTCGCCACTTTGCCAACCCGACCATCGTCGCCAACACCATCTCGCATATTCAGCTGTTCCGCGACTATCTGCATTATCACATCAAATGCTCCAAGGCATACATGCACTCTCGCATGCGACACCGAGTTGCGGAGTTCCAGAAGGTGCTCAATCGTGCCAAGACGGAGGTGGCTGTCACCGAGCGGAAGACTGTTACGTGTGTCGATGCGCGTTTTTCTTTGGACGATGTCGTACTGACTTTTCACCAGGGGAAGGACCATGGTACATCGGTGAAGAGGTGCGAGTTTTTGGTAGAGGCAGTGAGACTTTGTACATCCTTTCCTGCAATGCATATATTACGTGGTATCTAGATCTGCAGCCGTGTGTTGTTTAAGACCCCGGTAATGCACCTGATCTGCTCCCTCTCTTCGTTTGTGCTATTCCTGCAGGCGCACCCAGATAAATTGTCTCAGTTGGGCCAGCTGCGATGCGAGATGGATTCGTGAAAGCGTGCATATATGGTGAACCACGGAATCGGATGCTTGTCATCCGGTGACTCGCCGTGACTCGCGTCAACTATCAGGGTAATCTGTCGGAGGAATTTGTGATACGGCATTGGCTCTCCAGACTTTCATTCACATGAACAAGGGAATGACACTCTTGATCAGGCTTACTCAGTGTATAAAAGGACCACATCCAACGATATGTACCAGCTGACACCTTGTTCTGAACCATGACCGTAAAGAAGGACCTCCATGTTGTCTCTGGCTTACAACTCGAGGTATACACGGACGACGGCGCGACGGACATATCGCTGCCAGTGACCGTCTTCTTCCTGCTTCATGGACGATATGGGTCCACCAACAGTGATTACCTCCGGAACTCTCTGGATGGTATATTCAAGGAGTATGGCTCACATTCGGCCTCGGAAAGACGAAGAGAACTAGTTGTTGTGGCATTCGTAGGGCGGTCATTGTACGTCATCAAGAAGCTGCTGACCGTCATTAGGACCAGCGCAATCATGGACAAAGGTTGGTCAAGATAGAGGCCAACGTTGGCTGGCATGAGAAGGGGAAACACAATGAGAAACACGCGTGAGTTCCCTTCTTGGTCGTATGTCGGGTCTGTTGGGAGATGAATAAAAGACATCATGTCACTCCCGACATGTCCGAGACGTCGGATACCTGGGCACTGCCCAGACATGCGTAGAAACTGCGCATGAGGCTCCTGTGTGGAGCGATTACTAAGAAAAGCTCCTAAAAAGTAAATAGAAGCCCCTGAACATGATCCGATGCCAATCCGAGCAGACAAGTCCAAGAGACTAGTAATATATTAGCAATCCGTAGAGGAGAGTACTCCTAATAGCCAATACAAACGAAAGACTAGTATAAAAGTAGTCTAGAAGTGAAGCAAAACTT